GAAGATACACGCACAAAAATCTTAAGGACGTTTCAATCAAATGGCCTTAGCCGACAAACAACGTTTGTCACACACAATAAACGAATATAATGAATATTTGATTCATAAAAATATAATAAAATATTTATCAAGTATTTGTAACAAATACCAAGGTATCAAATAATAATTATTTTTATACAGTTTTATAGGTACATATTTTTTTAAACAATTTATCAAATTTAGGTATCTAATATTTTTTTTTTACTAATTACTATTATTATTATATATATATTTTTTTTTACGTGACAATAACAAATAATAATAATAATAAATGGCAATATTTCACAGAAAAACGTACGGAGTCGTGTTGTTTTTGGGTTCATTTTTATAATCCATTGTTTGATCAAAATCGTACGGAATCGTGCTTTACCGCAATATTACAAACCCACGTATGCACGGTAACACCACCCCTTAAAGTTGTAATAATAACAAAACCATTGTTAATAACGAGTGTGATCACAGTTAAAATAAATAATAAAAAATAATAATCTTATAAATGTAATAAAATCTTATTTCGCGATGATATAGCAGTATAGTAAAATTAGACAGCGGTGTTAAATAATTATTTACTTATAAAAATAGCGTATTTTTTTGAAAAAAAAATTCCTTATTTACTATTTATTGTTACAATTGAAATTCGAAAAATATAAACAAATATTTATGTATAAATACGGTTAATGGGAGGGTTACTTCAGCCCTTTAGTCCCCTCCCCTTGCGTACGCCACTTAGTTCGCGTTATTTTTAATATTATTATGCCTACTGTTCCTTGTATTAATTGCAAAATGTACAATGTTTTATACTAAACTACCAAAGCTAGGGGTCATACCCACCTATTAAATTGGGTGTACCACACCTAATGTATAGGTTCGGCGTCACTGCCCTAATACACCGCATGTATGATCATACGACGCGTTTGGCCAGTTCAGTTAACTATAGGCATTTAAGTACCGATTAACTATATCGTACCTATATTTTTTTAATATTTCCGTTTGAAATGTACAGCGGCAATAATTTATTCGACGGATCCTACGTATAGCGACGTTGATGGGAACCGAATTATTTGTTGTCCACAGAATATTGTGTATGGTCGGACGTGCGTCGCGTATGAAATTTCGGGGACTCGCACCAGCCGCGGTACAATACGCTGTGCGGATATCATCATGTGGGGAGTTTTTTTTTTTTTTTTTCAGCAATATTCGGAATGGGAACCGACAGATTCGGACGCGGCCGTGTTACCCGCGGGACTCGGCGGCCGCGTTCTCAGCCCGTCGAAAATCGTAAAAACCGTTTTACGAATTTTCTCGTCGGTCAGCCGCCTGCGCGCGCGTTGCGTGGGCGCGTGTTCGGATTGCGTAAGTGGACTCGCAAGCGTACCTACATAATAATAATAATACTATCGTTACATTGTGGGAACGGGTACGGCGAGAATAGTAAATCGTTTAAACATCTGCAGTATTATATACTACAGCGGGATTGAGCAATATTTTAGGCTACACGTAAACTCCTACAGAAATTACCTTTTTACCAGTATTTAAAACAGTGTAAACACCTACATAGTCCCTTTTTATCTGCCAAAAATATAGATGGTGTAATCTCCAACACAGACCTTTTTAGATTTTAGATTCTCAGCGATGAATGTATATTGTTTTTACAACGATGTTTAAATGAGATAATTGCACATAAGTGGGAAAAAACAAATCGTATTACGATATTTTGCATTTGATTTTTATAGTTTATGACTGATTATTACTTATTTTAAAATACCTTATTAACTTTTTACGATTTTACAACTATCTAGTGTAGGAGTTAACAATATCTTTTGTAAGAGTTAACACTATCTTTTGCAGGAGTTAACACAATGTCAATGTAGGAGATTACCTTCTTTTGTAGGAGTTTACCACCCTCCATATTTTAGGCAACATGTATGATCAGAAGGAAATTTGCACCCTCCCCTCCTCGCCTTTATTATCGTGAGATTTTTTTTCGTTTTATTAATTTCGTGAACCCAAATAGAATTCGACACTGCTCTCGGCTCAAGTGCATCAGATCCAGCGGCTTTATATATTTTATGCACTATGGAAAATAAAAATGTGTGCCTGTCACAGAACGAGTCCTAATTATAATGGCAATATGATTGCATTCACTACCTATCTCTACTCGATTAGTAATCGATTTCGAATACATGTGTTTACTATGGAAAGTCAGAAAATATCAATGAGATAAGACTCTGAACGGAGTAATATTTTTCGTGATTTTTGCCTTTGTTGTTATAAGTTAATCCAGAAATCAATAAAAATAAAAAAATAAACGGTCATGCTTCGCAGGCTACTTTGAGACGTTGAGAAGGTAGAAGGCAAATTTAATGTATATCTGTATGCAATGATTAACCATAACGGAAAGGGATTCTGAGCGGAGTTCGGTTACACATGTTTCGAAAGGCCTCAATATTTACGATTTAAAAATAATATATTTTACATACATATATTATAACACTTTCCCGATTTTCCAACGGTTTTTCCCATTTATTATGAAAACTCCTGAAAAAATAAAAAAATTACCACTTTAAAGTACTATTCCAGTTAGATTTACTTCCAGGTGACACTTGTTACTCTTGAAAATCGGAGCAAAATTTTTAGTAGAAAAGTTGTTCATAAATAAAAAAAAAAAAAAATAAATAAATAAACGTCATTGTAAAACCAATATATTCCTCGCTTCGCTCAGCATCTAAAAACCATATAAAATTATATTATAATATTAATGAAATTATAATTTATTATTTTAAAATATATTATAGAAATTAAGCAGACAGAAAAAATGTTCGGATTAAACTATAAGTAATACAAGGACAAAAAAAAAAAAAACATAATTCGGAAGTGGAAATTATTTTAACATACCTAATATACGAAGTAATTTAGTAAATTATTATTAATTATTCCTATATTATATAATTAAAAAAAAAAAATAATAAAACGTCCAGCTATTCGAAAAAACAACTTTAACTTCGTACCTTATTATGACGATGTAGCTGTTGACTTATAATAGTAATTTTTCGGTAAAAGTTTAAAGTATATACTTTTACAATGAGTTTTTCGGCGTATAGAAGGTACGAACAAGACAGGTCGGTTGCTTTGAACGTTTAATTTCTCGGTGTTTTATGTCGATTTTCAAGAAAAATGTATAAATTTCTTCCGCGAAAAAATTCTTCAAACGAATTTAACGTGTTTGTCGTAAAAAAAAAAAAAAAAAACAAACAAAAACATGTTTATTACGAGATGACGCTAATTACTAGATCGGTCGGTGTGATTTCGGAATAATATTTTTTTCTACACATTTTGCCGCTATATTCGTAATGAGAGAAAAAAAACCGCGCGTGCGTAATATTATACCTAGGTTTGAAATTAATTGTTATTATTATGTTGTATATAATATTATACGGTCGGGGTTAATTAACCGGCCGACGGACATTAGACGGATTTTTGTCAGCTGATTATATTATTCTGTACGGTGTGGCCCGGCAGCATACAACCGTTCCCCGTACGAAATAAAACCCGGTCGACTGTTATGTTTCGCCCGGTGTACAAGTGGGCGAACGTAATGGTTCCTACACACGAGACCAAGCGGGTGAAATAAATAATCAGACATGTTAGTTCCTACACAAAGGAAAAACCTTATGTGCCCATGTAAGGTACATAAGGTTTTTATTGCGGAAAAATATAATATTTTATACATTAAAATGTAAAGTCAAAACGTCTTAAGAGAAAACAAAAAAACACATTATATTATACAAAATATATATTAACAAATGTTTAGTCAAACGGATAATTCAGTAATTGTAAAAAAAAATTCGATGATTTTATAATTTACCTATGTGGTTTATTTCTGAAACTTAAATACTCAACATAATCGTAATGATTAATTTTTTGTAGTATTTTATTCTAAAATGTTTTCTTTTTCTTTTTCAGCGTATGTTTTACACATGTCTGTTTGCTGTTTACGGTTCATATTTGTGATATATATATATATATATATATACACACATATATTTGTATTTACTTGAAAAAGTTTCAGAATTTCAATAATTTAAAAAATATACGGATGTCGGTGATAAAAATTTGAATTAAAATCCAAATGAAATCTTTCACGAGCGTTTGTCGCATAATATTATGTTCTTTCAGAAGATGCACAGCCCAAATTTTCATTATCAAATCGTATCTAATCAATACGATTAGTGTATAAACTTACGTAGATCATTTTTTCCATCGTATAGAAATACGTACCTTTTTTTACGGTGTAGAAACTTGCACACATCTTTTGTACGAATTAACGTTTGTAATTTGTTTACCCGCTACACTCGTGTAGGAACTTACTATTCCTATATTAGTGTATCTTTCAATGCGAGACAGTCGATTGTCTCGCCGACAGAATCACTAAGTTCTCACGGCGTCTCAGTGCGTTAACTTCAATCTTCACCTATGGATGTATATATTTTGATCAACGATCACAGCAAAATCGCTTCGTATTTTTGTTTTTTGTCAACTACGCCTTTAATTTGCAATTTTTTACGTACGCATTTATCATAACTATTTTAACATTATTTTTCATACGCACGTGCATTGTCTGTATGTGCAACCTGTATTTTAAACTTGACGGGGGGGGGGTGCTAATGACGCCCTAGCTCTCTCCTAGTTGCGCTTACGAGCCTACAGGCGTATCGGGCATTTTTAGATTCACACTCCGGGTAGGTTTTCGTACCCACCGAACGAGAAATCCGAGGGATACCGCACTTGTTCGGTACGACGATACGTGCGCATCGGGTGTACAGTGACCGGCGACGGGTTTTGTTTCGTGCGCGGAATGGTTACGTGCAACCCGGCAGAGCAGAAAGAAACGGTTACGCGGATGTCGGCGCGCGTGTGTGCGGTGCGTGTTGTTTTTTTTTTTCTGTTAACAGTCGCTGAGTGGTCGTCAAGGTTTCGTGTCCGTTTTAGTACCTATAGGTACGCTTCGCGGTAACGTTCGGCTTGGATTTTTTTTTTTCTCAATCTGTCAACAATATTATTAGGATACAATTTAAATACTTTCGTTATTCGTATGCCTACGTCGTTTTTTTTTTTTTTTTTAATATATATATATTTCTCGTAAACAATAATATTGTGTGTCGTGTGCGGCCACCCGAGCGCGCTGAACTGTTATTTATTATTATTATTATTTTTTTTTTTTTTTGTAAATGCGAAATGCGAATAACCGAACCATAGTAAGTCACATAATAATAATTATTATTTCACCGTTATAACGTGCGTATTTATACACCTATATATTATGTTTATAATATTTGTACACATAATCGTCTGTTTCCGTATATTCTCTAAAGTATATATTTTTTTTTTATAATCCTCGAAACTGCTTAGGTACCAATTAAAAATGACGTATTTGTAAACAAATCGGTTACACAATATTTCATCAACTTACACCTCACACCCATTATAATCAGTGGCGTACCCAGCTAGGGAGAGGAGGTTTCAGTTTCAAGGGAAAGAGCCGTGTTAAAATACAAAAAAAAAAAAAATAATAATATATATTATTATAAACTATTATCGGCATTGAAAACTATGTTATTGGCTATAACGCTAACAAAATCCTTTTATGTTTTACATTTACACTCCACTGTAAGTGCAAATAATTTCAATTACTACACAATTATATAGTACAGGTAACCGTGTAGTTTACTGCAATTATGTTCAGGTTTTTGCGAAAAATACCTCAAGATTAAGGCTTTAGATATATAATAGCTATTAACTATATGAGTATAATACATTTCGCTTGCGTATTATTATCTATATATTATAGTTATCTCGTTTACTATATGTTTAGCCTGTCAACGGAAAATCCTGGGTATGCCACAGCCAGTGCCAAAGTATAGACGCTGCCTATAGTCGGATGAAATATTACTCGTACCCACCTACTTTTTACGTCACTGTACGTATAGACATAATGCGACGTTTTTTGTCGTATTATTTGAACGAGAGAACGAATAAAACAGACGAATAGCGTTTTGCACAAGACGAATATTGAAATCACAATGATGCGTTGTGTGGGCTGTGCTCGTTGCCTTCTCCTGCAAACCTATACTGACGTTTTATTAAATAAACAATAATATGTGAATCGGGTACCCAATATAATACAGCATGATACGCTATACACAATATTATATTTTATCTCGGCTGTAAATTGAATTACTGAAGAAGAAAAATTAACAATATGATAAATAATGATACGGCGATAAATTTAGGTTTAAAGGATAAATTCATTAAAAAAAAATATATAATAATAATACAAAAAACTCCTATAATAGGAATTATGCGTTTTACGAATATTAAATAACTATTGGAGTGATGTTGAGTATAATATTATAGCCTTAGAAAAAATAACGCACGGTGATAAATATTTAATAATAACACTATTTAAATTATTATTTTTAAAAAAAAAATAATAGATTAAACGAATAATAGATAATTGGTTAAAATATAATATAACGAGCATTGGTTTAACCTTCATCACTTTCGTGGGTTACACATTAACCTTCTCCGATAATTCGAAATACTGACCCAAAAATATTTCATCGATAAAAATATATCAATAGCACCTATTTACTTAATAATAATAATATATACCTAATTCGTAACTAAATCTATTCGAATATCGGTCGGTAAACCATTTTTTTTTTTTTTTTTAAAAGCCCGTTTTTCTTCCTCTTTCTATGTAGTCTGAAATCTTGAAAACTAACACGAATACACGTTTTCGCCTATTATTGGAAAAATACAAATAAAACTATTACGAAAATCCGAGTGATCAGAGTATTTCCGATAATTACAATACTGGATTTCGCGATGAATTCAAATCCGAACAAATCACGTTACACTGGGTTTTTTTTTTTTTTTTTATCGTTTTCGTTGTACAATTTTGTAAATTTGTTTTTGCAATAAAAAATTATAGTGCGAATATATGTGTACAAGAACAGCTGAATCGATTAGAAATTCATTAAGAGTGGAGACATAAATTAAACTCTAATAATTAACAAGTCGATATCGACGTTGGCGCAATATTACTCGTATACTATAAATAGGCAGCAACTGTAGGATCGGCGGATATTTTTATTCCCAAAACATTTAGTCCTTAACACAGGTTTGACTAGAATTGTACAGCATGTGTTAATGAATATTACAAAAGCCTTGATTATTAACGTGAATCCCGTACACACGTGAATTTACTATCTGTATAGAATCTATTTTATGATGATCAATTACATATTACTGTTAATATTCGAGTAATCGTAGGAAATTTGTAAATGACGGTATTGTAAAAGTTCGGTATTGTATCCGAGAGATTAGGGAATCCAAGCCGGAGCCCGAATCCCTTCTCTCGGAATTTGATCCAAAACCCCGAAATTTTTACGTTTTTTTGCATCGAAATTACGTGAATACTCGTTATACTCGAATATTAATTTTTAAATTTACAGTTTTATAGGACTATATATAAATTGTTAATTTCACACGAAATACGTGAAACAGTTGGGGGACACTATAGATAACAATGATACATAATACGACCACCACCTCGGTGAAACACATAACAGTGATATATAATACTATTACCGATATCACCATCTCGGTAAAGTACATAACAGTGATCTTTACCTATTGGCTATTAGTTAGGATAACTGGGACACTGAGAGGGACGCCAGCATAGTTTTATTATTGTATAACATTATAATATCATAGATAGCCGCAGTGCCGGCCCGATAGATTTCGGGGCCCGGTACATAATTTTGCGGGGCCCTGTATATATTTACTTAAATATATCTATAATTATTTATTTTATTTTTTAACGGACTTACTTTATTTTCATATAATTGTAAAAACTTTAAGGTACTTGTAGAAATCTAAATTTGTATACCTACATATAACCTAATAAAATCAAATTTGTATTTTTATATTAGACACAAAATTAATTGATACCTACTGAGGTACAAACAATATTTTATTATCTATAATTGGTACCATCTTGATTTTCGTCGATAACAACCCGTGTCCTAAGAAAACCACACGGCCACACGTCACATGGGTCGATATTTGCTTACTATTGAGACAATATGATTATTTATTCGAAGTGATATCCGAAATATATAATTTTCAGGGCCCCTAGGGGGCACAGTTGTCATCATTGTATAATATATAATATTTACGTTATCAACAAATAAAAGTTTTATTTAATATTAATGCGTGGGAGAAAAAATTCGAGTATTTAATGTAATTTTTTAATTATAAATGATAATCTAAAAAAAAAAAAATTAATAAAATAAATTCAAATATCGCATGTCGCAATAGCATATAGACATCGTCGTCACTTGTAAACGCCTCTGCGATTTTTTAAACGTCTCATTCGAGTAATACTCTTATATTTTGCTCTGCGTAGTTTCGGTTTAGAATTCTGTTCTCTCCGTTCATCATCAGGTATCATTATCTGAACATCATTATAAAAAGAATATTCGCGAATAGAACGAATAGCGCTCGACCGACAGTAGTAGAGAAATGAATTATGTAATAAACATTGGAACGACGAACATACATCGCGATTCAAAAATCTTCATCCGCTTTCGGAAATTCATATTTGTTTTATAAATGAAAACACAGGAGTGGGGCGAAGTAAAAATATTCCTTAAGTAATTAAGTTTGAATATAGTGTATTTGAGTAGACGCACACTGGTAGAGCAAAATTGCTTGAAAGAGACTAAATTCGCCTTATTGTGACTAAATTAAAGTAAAACATAATATTTTATGTCTTATGAGCACATCAATAAAGCATAATCAGAAAAAAAAAATCCGATTTTTGTCATCAGTTATCACAATTCACTAATGTTGTTTTATTGAAACAGAACGTATACATTATTTTGATTAGTCATAATAGAGCAAACGGGCAATTATATCAATATTAAAAACATTAAACATAGTATTGATTGGCGGTTGCTGAATTTATAATTATCTACTACTTAACTGTAAATATTGTCTACAATATAGCGAATATACGTAATGGCAATTAATTAAACGTGTAGGTACTTAATATGACTAACGCATAATATTTATATGTTCATGTATACCTGCGTCATATAGTTTTATTATTATTATTTTCAGTTTGTTCGAGTTCAAAGGATGCCTAGATGTTTTTTTTTTTTTCTTAATTTTTTCAATTTTCTTCCCATTCAATTTGTCGTTAAATATATCATAAAATAGTAATAGCGACGTCTTCGGATGATATTTTGTTGACTAAACGATAATATGACTAATATTATGTTTTAGGAGTGTGTCATCGTAATACTTTATTATGACTAAAAGCAATATGAATGATGACTAAAATTCCTTCTGTCAATTTTGCATTTCTAGAATGTAGTTACAAATAAAATATGTTCAACATAAACCCAATTGTTGCCCGGTACACATTTATACGGGCCGCTGTCCTCTTAAACGTTTCTGATCGTATAGCGTGTCGCGTGTTTTACAGTGTCGTGATCCGAGTTTTGAGTTCGCCCGAATCTTTATTCGTAATGGTGACACTTAAACTTTAGCCCCATGAAAAAGATACACACTTCGGTTGACGGTGAGGTCTGGGAAACGTGGTGGCCAAGTTTGAATGGACAAACTCTGCTCATGGCTCATCTGCGCCCAATCCACCGACATTAAGGGGCGGGGAAGTTTGTTGTTTAGTTATCGACGAATTTCTAATTTCCAGGATGATGGTGCTTCATCTTGCAAAACTCGATTATCTTATCTTTCTAATAGTATGTGGGCCGTTCGCCTACGATTAACTGTCGCTGAGCTGTGTCAATTCGTAAACGGATGAATACTTTTGAATCACGGTGTATTTATTTTATTTTGAACTGTAGAATGTATAATAATTGCAATTAAGACATTTCTATAGCGCTATTCAAATATTGGTTTTTTTTTCTGGTAGGTGCATCAGAGTAATAATTATTTATACACATATAAAAAATGTAATTTTAAGGGAGCCAATTGTTATTTTACAGTCGAAATGTTCGTGTATCATGATACGAATTATTATTATCAATTAGTATTAACAATTCATAAAGTGTATAACATTGTCTAAACTAAAATTAAATACCCTAAAAGTTCATTTTTATTTTCCATCGTGAACTTCGGAATTTATGTTTTAAAAAAAAAGTTTAATTTTGTTATTATTATAATTGTGTGGTAAATTAATGTCCTCTTAATCATTAACAATTAACATTTTCTACAAATATAACAAAGTTAATCATAATATAATATAATCATGATAATTATCATTAGTGGGGCCCGGATTTAATTATCCTCAAGCATGGCCTCAAATTCTCAAAGTAATAAAAAAAAAAAAAACATCTAGGTAAATACTAGTCGGAAATGTATGTTGACTGAAAATAATTTCATTATTAAATGACCCAAAAATAGAAAAAAAAATATAACTAATGAAATATGTAACTTTCACTTTAAATTAAAAACCTACTCAACTGATAGTATAAATCGAATTATAAAATTTAATAATACGTTAAGTGCACATTATTGATGTTATTTCTAACAAATAAAACTATTCTCGTATTTTCTGCGGAACAACGAGACGATCTGATTATCCAAATGGTGGTTATACACGTGATTAAATAAAATTATAGTCAAAAATTAATATAATATCTCCGAACAGTTTAGGTTGTATAAATAGTTGTCATCCTTGAAAAAACGGTAAAAATGTATATCAAGTAAAACCGTAGAACCTTTTTTTATTCTGGTTTAATATCTAATATAGCTAAATTAATTTTAAAATCAACTTTATTATAAACACGTTTTTTTAACGTTTTCTCTGTTTCCTGAAAATGTTTGATAAATTGAGCTGTCTAGTTTAAATTTATTGTTTAAATTCGATAGTTCTTAAGAAGGATTTACGGGCCAAAAATCAATAATTCGACTTAAACATACGAGATTAAATTACATAAAGGGATATATAACGACTTTTTTGAGAACCAAGCATAACTGGGGTAAATGATTAACACAACCACAAGTTAAACACGATCAGAAAATAGGTTTCTGATAATTGGTAAACACAAGGAAAAGTAGCCCTTAGGTTGGTCCCAATCAACGATGGTCATGATATAGAGGCAAAGGATTTAAAACCATTCTAGGAGTAGACAATTTCAAAGAGAAAGCTCTAAAGACAGAGAAAGATGGCGGAAAGTGTTCGAAGCTGCAGAAATGGCTAAAACTTCAAACACTCTAAACGGCTAGATATATATAAAAAAAAATATATTTGCATTCCGTGTACCGCGTTCCGAGATAGGTACCTCGCTAATACGGGCGGGTTTGGAAACGATAAAACCCCGAGCGATGTATTTTTGTTATTTTAAAATAAGTATTCACACAAAGGAAATAATATAATATAATATAAGTATAAGAAACGTCGGCTTTTGAAATAATTGTGACGGTATTAGGTTTTGAGTATATTTTTAAACCGGGAGCGGGGAGAGGAAAAAACGTATACACAAAACACATGACGCGCGTACGCGTGTTTACATTGCGACGATGTCGGAAATCTCTGCGCACAGCTGCCGGGCGTCAGCTGCAGCCGGTTCGTATTGTGTCTATAATAAAATATAACATAACATACTACCTACTTCCTGTGATCCGCGTAAAAATATGCGGAGACGTCGTCGTATATAAGACTACAGTTAATAACAACAGACGCGAGTTTATATTCGTGTCTAAAAATAGTGAAATGTTTTCGTTTAAAAACGCGTATAAAAAAAAAGGGGAAAAAACACATGACGTCGAGTATATTACAGTAGCTACGGATAGTCACGAGTACTCGCATACTGTATGAGTGTACCGTATACGACAGAGTTAGGGACGCGATTATGTATCGGCAAATTATTATTTGCTTACAGTCTCAGTCTTTAACAGTAGATAGGCACCTGTCTTACTGAAAGTCTCGTCTCTGACTAAATATATAGCGATTGTATTTTAGCGAAATTGTGGCATTAGCGGTTCGAAAGATTAGAGTTTAAACACGGGATAACGATATTTAAAAAAAAAAAAATAGAGTATTTTTCGGCGGGAACGCGTAGAGTCACGCGGGTTTTTCTCAAAATATTATCCGGGGAAAAAGTTACAGCTATTTGAAAAAAAAAACTCGTATGGCCTTCAATTTTTTTTTTGTTCGACGATATGGGAAAATAAATCGTCGTTATGCACACGATAGTATTCTTCTCCTCTTCAAATGTCGTCATCCGTGTTCAGTCTCTGATTTGAACCCCAACGCCACAGTTATTTTACTGTAAAATTCAAAGTGGGTACGGAATTTCGCTATACGCACAGTGTTGCCCCCCTCTGATACGTTACGGGGGAGAATCGGTTGGCTGCACTATGCGTCTCGGCCGGAAGAGATGAGAACGGTACAACGCTACGGTGAGATCGCTTTTCTTATCAACCCGGGGAGGAGCGAGTGTTTTCCGTAACCCAGATTAATGGGCGAGTGCCGAGTAGCTGCAGCTCTCTCATTCCCAACATCCGCCCACGGCGCGGCGGCAACAGGGTATCAATGAAACTACGGAGGTGGCTCCCAGTCTACAATCGTCGCAATCACGACCGTCGCTGATAGTAGTGCGCGTATTATTATTATGAATGGAACGGAGTAATAATTGAGGTGGTCACGGGCCCCGTGTGCGTTCGCCCGTTGTTATTATTATTGTTGTTTTTTTTTTCCCGCTTTTCCCACCCAATCGCGTAAGTAGAGATGTCTATGCGCACAGCGGACGATTATCGTGCATATAGTTTTTTTACCGTCTCCGGTTCGCCCGTTTAAGTCGTCGTCGTCGTCGTTCTGTTTGGGTTTTCTTTTTGTTCGTTTATCGTAAACGTCGTTGTCGTCGACCGCAATTTTATATTTTATACGCGTACCTACAATATGTTGTCGTTTTGGAGGCCACGTCGAGTGACCGGACGACGACGACGACGACGATAATATACGTTCACAAAACCAAAACGCAATACTGGACGCGATTGTTTGTTGTAAATATTATTAAATAGGGTACCTAAAATATTGTTGTAAAACAGGACTTGACGTGTAACCGGCTACGACAACGACAACAGCAGTGATCCGATATTATAATAACAGTCGTCCTTTGGCATCATGTCATCGCTGTCGTTGCCGAGGGTGTTGCAAAACCGCAAAACCAGCCTTGACCAGGAACGCGAACACTTCGAAAAAATTCAGGTACCTATTCATATATACCTAGCTAAAACTATCGATTGAATCCGACCTATAGGCGCAAATAGGGGTAGTTTAGGGGGATTAGCCCCAAATTCAGCAAAATATTATAAATATATACTTAAATATTATAAATATTTTGGACTACTAAACCCCCTCCTCCTAAAATATCCAAGTTATTTGCATCTATGATCAAACAGGATTCAAATAAGAGTTTTTTTTCACATTCTCACAAATCTTTTGTTACATATCTTACATACTTCAGATGGGAAACTTTCTGTTCCGTGTTTGACACATCGTTTGTTTTGTTTTTATAAAAAAAAAAAAATGTCAACAAAATATAATATTTTGTAACCCGGTGGCAATAAAACAAAGCAAACATTTCACAACAAGTTGTTTGGCATTATGTCAAAAACACTTATTTAGTTGTTAACAATTAACATACTTATGTATATTATGCGTCTAACACAATGATATTAGAATTTTATTTTACAAGATAAAAAAAAAAAATATGTTTTTTACAGTTAATTGATTATTGTTTTTTAAATTAGTCGATAAATTATGATAACAAACATATCATCTTTATTATTGTATTAAAATAATCACTATAGTGGTTTATTATGTAGAATAGTAATACATTATTTAAGTAGGTATCTATGTACTTATTTATCTGTCGAGTTATTTTATATTATAAGTAGTCAGTAAATTAATGAACTAAGTAGTGTTGCCATGATTTTCTTTATGTTTAAACTTATTTTAAAAAAAAAATTTAAAAGAAATATTTAAGTATATTATATTTTGCATTCAAAGAAATAATAACAGACAACTAGTTGTACGAATTTAGGTATTTTTATTTAAAACTTTTACTGATATTTTCTTAAGGTATGTCAATCGACGCCCGTCATTTGGAATAATGGAACTGTTGTTTGTAAGAATATTTACTGACATACATATTAATTTATTTGTGTTATTTGTTGTGTATAATTATAAATATTTTAAGTTATTACAGTTGTACTTACTTACTTGTTTAATATTCTAATCAAAATGTACAATTATTTTTTAAAACCACCTGTGTGTAACCAGCTTTTTTTTTTTATCATTATTATCCAAAACCCGATAGTTCAAAATTCCTGGAAGAATGCAAGATACTTTCATTACGTTTCATTACTTATGAAAATGAATCATTAATGAATCACAAATTATACACATGTTCAAAGACCTTCCAATAACACTATGAAATTCTAAATGTAAATCATAAAATAAATTTTTTTACAACCAGAAATTGGTTTTTACCCATCTACCTAGTTAGCATTAAGTACCTAATTAATTTCTAGATTAATTAATTATTTGAAATCTATAATATAATGAAATATAACAATTTAGACACTTAATATAAATAAAATACATTTTATAGATACCTACTAATTTAAAAACTGTATAGTTTTCTGTTTTTTATTATTTAAATGTATTTACCTATTTATTTCCTTGAATTATGGTTAGTATATGAAATAGATTTTTAGGCGCCTATATTATGCACCTAGATTAAAAATAGTAGTTTCCGCTAGTTACCTATAATATAATTTACCTACTTACAATGAGTAATATTGTTAGGTATGTAGAAAAAATGATTAGGTACCTATATAATATTATAATTTGTATATATTGTATTAATTGTTGTAGGCTGCAAGCATTAGTAAAGCAATCAATACTTTGGAAAATCCAGTAAAGGAAAAACATGCGAGAAGTATCCTTTTCTCAATAAGTTATTTTTCTATAATATCTATTTAAATAATTTGTACAATTATATAATTGGTATGTTATTATTGTGTAAATATTCCTTATCACAAATCATTTTAGATGCTATTATAGGTACGTTTCAAGAGAAAAGCGGAGAGACTTTTTGGCGTTGTGTTTCTAAATTACCAGTACAAGAACATCGTATTGTGGCTTGGAAATGTTGCCATGTAGTACATAAAGTGTTACGGGAAGGGCATCCAAATGTTTTAGCATCATCCCAAAGACATAAAACACTTTTACAAGACTTGGGAAGATTATGGGTACTATACTTAGTTAAAAGTATAATTTATTTTGGATTTAATGTTCTTGGCTTAAGGAAATGTCAAACTTCGGGAATGGGATACTGATATTTTCTCACTTCTTAACACATATGTATAGTATACAAATTTAAAATAATTTTTATTTAATCAGTTTGATCAATTTAGTGAAGAGACAAGAATTCTAAAAACAAATTTGAAATAAGTATCAAGTTTATACAAGCCTGGTGAATTTTTCAATTTAATTTTAATTTGTTTTTTTATATACATTTCAAATCAATATTTTAGAGATTAAAAACTAAAAATTGAAAAAGGCTTTTGATAGGTGTTATATACACTTCACATTGGATTCAAAGCATTTATTAGAATTATTGTTGCTTCAATAAATTGATCTGGCTGATTGAAGGTGAATTATTCTAAATTTTTATGGTGCATGTAATTTATATTAGATAAAGATAGAGAATAGCAGTACTTCTTCATTAAATTGATTTATAATTTATTTGTTTGGTTCAGGTTCATTTGAAAGATGGCTATGGAAAACTTATTCAACAGTATTGTCAATTATTACTTGTGAAACTAGATTTTCATCGACGCAACCCCGGGTTTCCCGGAAATCTAGTTTTATCTGAAGAAGATCTTAACAGAATTGGGAACAATGATGTTAATAATTATTTTCAAATGTGCGTGGAAATGTTTGATTATATTGACGAAATTCTAGGACTTCAGTCTGCGAGTAAGTATTTTTAACATACTTAATGTATTTATCGTGTTTAATTTTTTTTTTTCTTATAGTTTTTGGATCCTTAGATATGTCTCGGTCCAATTCAATGACTAGCCATGGTCAGTGTCGATTAGCTCCCTTGATGCCTTGTATATTAGATTCAGCACAATTATATGATTTATGCGTAAAAATCCTGTTTAAAATGCATGCTACTTTACCACCAGATTTACTATCTGGCCACAGGAAACGTTTTTTGAGACAATTTAACATTTTGCGCCAATTTTATTTGGGATCATCGAATCTTCAGTATTTCAAAACACTTATACAGATACCTCTTTTGCCAGAGGTAAAACCACTTTAAATATTAATTTATAATTCAGGATTATAATTTTATTTGTATTATTTATCAGCATCCTCCAAATTTCTTAATACAAGCTGAATTATCTACGTATGTTACTCAAGCTGCCATAGTATTGCCAGACGAAGACCCACCAGAAAATCATAGTATGGTTGGTGAACTTGTAGATCTAGGAATTGGAAACAGTGTCACTAGTAGTGAGACAAGTCAAAGATCTTTGTCTCCTGATCTCTTAATACAAAGGTATGTGTTGTTTTTTATAAACAAAAAACAAGCTGGCATATTCTTACCATGTAGATGAGTTAGGTAATTTAGTTTATACACTGAAAGCAATGATAAATCATTAAAAACAAGAGACGATTATAAGTAAAGTTTGGTTCAACATATTTTGTTTGAAAATTGTATATACATTTTTAATTATAAAATAAATTATAATTTTTGATGGTTTTTTTGAAATTAATCAAAATTTAAACTTTTAAAATTTTTAAACAAAATCATTACTATAGATTTTTGATATTTTTACACTTCATAAGAGCAACTTAAAATGATTCTTACATTTAATTTCCGAGTATTTATACAGGCTAAACCAATTTTATCCACACAAAAACAGAAAAAATCTTTAAAGTTCCACCAGGCAAAAAATGTACACTAAAATGATATATTAATATAACTTTTATGATAGTTTTTAGTAACCTAATAAAGTGTTTTGCAAGAAAAAAACACACCTTATAAAAACTAATAGCATCCTGTTATCACTTAGAATATAAAAATTAAAAAAAATATGTGTACTTTAAACAAATTTACTTATCTAAACTATTAAAAAAAAAATAATTACTTAATATTTTATAGAGATAACATGATACAACATTTACATGGAGAATTGAATGGTCATCAATCATTAATAATTCAGTTAAAACAACAAGTTTCTACATTAGAAATGGAATTGGCAAAAAAAGTATGGCGTTTGTAAAAACTTATCTTAAACATATTTTCTTTATCATATTTAAATTTTTTTTAAATCATAGGACAGTGAACTAACACAGGAACGACTTATCAGAGATGATCTACTACATCAAACGAGTTCTATGGGCAATTATGAAGAATTAGATAGTATGTTATTATAATACTACTGAATACTAAATTTAAGGCGATATTCCAGCAACATTGTGTAACATGTTTTTTATCGTATACTGATTGGATGTTGTAATCTTTGTAACATTCAGAAACCAAGATTTACCTGGAAATGTCTAAAGTTGGCCATCTTTTATTTTCTTTTGAGTCACAATGGTCAGTTTTGTTTTTTTTGTTTAATGTTATCAGCTTCAAACGTCTATAGTTATATACTTGAAGACATGACATGACACACAATGTCGCTGGAGTACGATTTTTATGGATGGAGTTTGAGTAACTATTGATAGTTGCAAAGTAAATCCATCAATATTGGAACAAATATACTCTTGGGGTAAATTATTTTATAAAAAAAATTACTTGCAAAACAGTTTTTTTTTCATCTTTTTTGCAGTAATAATAATATATACTATCCTTGTAACTGTACTCAAACTTTCTTGTGTGAGAGAAAACCATCATTATTTCTCCTTCCCTTATGTGCAATGAAGATAAGAATGCTACATTCAAATGTTTTATACCGATGAATTGTTTATAAAAAACTAAACTGATGGTTGATTAATTATTATTATAATTTTTTAGGAAAATATAAATTATTAGAAGAAAAATTTAATAAATTAAAAGAAGTATATACAAAACTAAGAGAAGAACACATAACACTATTAAGACAGGTAATAAAACGGTGTAAAATTATTATTTACATCGTAATATTTTTTTTTTTAGTTTGGTGCGCTAAATAACTAATTTTTAGAAAGCGGCCGTCGATAAGTCGCTGAAGGGATCAGAAAAAATGACTAGATTTGCACAGGCTGCCAATTCCCTGTTATTGTCCATTGTAAGCAATAATTGTGTTTTACGTGATGGGCAAGGTACTGGGAAGGTGTAGGCCAATTGTTGCGCTTTAAATTTAAATATTATAGAATGATTGGCTGTAAAAATATATTACTCTACTCTCTAGTTAAATTGATAATTTATCTATTCAAATAAAAAATTTAATAATTTGATCATATTAAATATTATGATAGTGGTTTGTTGGTCAAGGGTGTAGTGCTTAGTAAGCAATTATAATTTTTTTTTAAAATTATACAAAAAATTGTAAATGTTGATTTGCTTTGTGCATTATGTTTATAATGTTGTTAAAATGGGTTTGATACATGTTATACTATTATTAAATATTTAAACACTGTATATATCAGATTTTTAATGGTTCAGCATGTATTTAAGGAAACTATTTTATAGGTTACTAGTTAAAAATTAGTTTTGGATAATAAAAAGAATTCACATTTATGTTAATTAAATAGGTAATATTAATGTATTTAATATACTTATTATCATTACCTATATTGAAACATTTATATAATTTTTCTAAGTATTTCAAAATTAAATTGGTGGGAAGTTTGAAAGGTAAGACACATATGGTATTTTAGTTTATATACTGTATGCAATGATTAATCCAAAAAAAAAAAGATTTTGAGCGGGGTACTGTTAAATATTTTATAATAAATCAAAATGTTGATCATTTTTATGATTCGATCCTTTTATTGAAAGATAAACTATAACACACATAAAAAAAAAAAAAATATGTAATTACAAATGAAAACTCTATATGTGAAACCTTGTATCAGATTAAAAAAATAAACCATATAGCATACAAACTTAACATACAGTCTTTGCTTCGCTCAGAATCTATAATGAATAAATATTCACTTTAGTGTATTGAATCTCATGGTGCTTCTTAATACTTATGTATGCAACAAATGTATTACTTGGTTAGTTTAAATTTGATTGATGGAACATAAATTATTGAGTTATATTTTAAATATATATATATTTAGATTTTTTTCACAAAATTGTTTATTTTAATGTGATTAAAAACACATTAAAGGAAAATTAAATCATTCAAAATTCTTTAGTTTTGTTAAGAAATGTTGGGTTGTGGATATCAAGTTGACCTTATATTGTGTATATCATGTTAATAAGTATTATTATTTAATATGTATAGCTATGTTTCATTTTTAAAATACTGATTCTGCTGTCTATTCTTATAAAATATATTATGATTATTATTGTAGAAATCTGATGTGGATAAGCAGTTGTTGAACATGCGTACTGTTGAATTGAATATGGCCCCACAACGAATAAGATTTGAAGAGGAATTAATTGCTCTTCAAGCTACAGTCGATTCTACCACTCACCAAAATGATGTAATTATTTATTTTATTTGTAATTTTTTTGAATAAATCTGAATGTTATGTACTTAACAATGTACAATACACAATTTTTTTGAATAGGAACTTGTAATGGAAAATGAACTTTTGAAAACGGAAGTCTCTGAAGTTAAACAAAAATGTACTGATGTTGAATTTATAAAATCAGATCTAGAATTGAGACTTTCTGAATCTGAAGAGTTACGATTCTCCAATAATGCTCTGTGGTTTGGTTGGTATTTATTAATTAATATTTTGTAATATTTCAAATTTATGTATAATATTAATGACTTTTTTTTCTTTAAGAATCCTGTCGTAAAATAATCGAACATACATGTGATATGTTAGATGACCCTTCAATGTCTTCAGCTACTTGTTCACCTGGTATGACGTTTAATCAAATTTGAACTGTACTTGGTTTCTAATAAATGTTTTTATTTGTTAAATTTAGAATGTGTATCTTTAATCAAAGAAAAACTTGTTAGTGCTATTGGAAAAGGAAAAGATGAAGTTGCAGGATTTGCTCATTATGTTGCCATGTATATCGTTTTTGGAAAAGCGGTGTCAAATACAAAATCTAACCTGAATGATGCTCAAAGTAATTTATTCCATTTCATAAAATGTTTAATAGCCATGTTATTTATTATCTATGTCTAGAATTGCTTGATAAGTGTAAACAAGTAGGAAAAGACAGTGTAAAACTCTTAACAGCCTGGCAAACTGGCATTAAAATTAATGAATGCAGCGAAGGTCTAAAAATTACAGTAAATGATGTCGAATCTATGGCCTCATCAACACAAGCAAATGAATCACTGGGAGATTTGGTTGAAGATGAACTTACTATAATGGATAGAGCCATTGAAGAAGCTGCTAAACGTATTCAAGTAAGTATTAAAAATAATAAGATTAACATATTCTTTGGCATAAACATTTTATTATAATATTTTCATAACATTTTAGGAAATGATCACAGAGTCTAGGGCTTCACATTCTGGAGTTAAATTGGAAGTCAACGAACAAATTTTAGATTCATGTACCTCACTCATGGCTGCCATTCGAGTGTTGGTTCACAAATCTAGAAAACTTCAAGCTGAAATAGTAGCTAATCAAGGCTCAAATGGATCAGCTAAAGAGTTTTACAAACGAAACCATCAATGGACTGAAGGATTAATCTCAGCTGCCAAATCAATTGGTTTAGGTGCCAAAGGTTTATTGTAAGTAAATTGCTGTAAATAGTTGTGCATTATATCAATTAAAAATAAAATGTATTTAAAATAGAGATGCTGCGAATGATGCCGTAAGTGGTGAAGGAAAGCTAGAAAGATTGATAGTTGCTTCTCATAGTGTGGCTGCTGGAACCGCTCAACTTGTAGTCGCTAGTCGTGTAAAAGCTTCAAGGAACAGTGATAATCTGGTTGAATTATCTCAAGCGTCACGTGATGTGACAAACGCTACTGCCACAGTGGTAGCCACTGCTAAATCGTGTGCCCAATTAGTTCAACAAACTGGTAAGGCAATCAAATTATTACTAAACAATATAAATATTATCTGAATTTAGAATTGAATTAATGTTTTTTTTTAAATATATATATATTTCAGAAGAATTAGATTTAGGTGTCTTGAATGAACATCAAACCAAACGTTTGGAAATTGAGTGCCAAGTACGTGTCTTAGAATTAGAGTCATCATTGGAAAAAGAAAGGATGAAATTATCAGCATTACGTAAATTACATTATCAAGAAGATCAAAGTTAGCGAACAAAATGTTCATCTTCTAATTAGTCTGTTGTATCAAATTTAATCTACTTTAGACAAATATTTTTCCCTTTGAATAATTGATCAAGTGTAATTCAGAACATACGGTTCAAACGACTACTAAATATGTAATGTTTGTAAGTTAATATATTTGATTCCATTAAATTTAAGGATCACATACTAATTTTTATTAACTTATACCAATTGAATGTGTTTTAGTAATTTTAAACATTATGCTTACAATAATAGTGTCAGTACAAGACTTGGTCTCTTTTTTTATACTTCTAAAGTTGTTATTCAAATAAAATATTTAATCTCATTGAAATCACTATTTATGCATCAAATTTAAGGCCAAGGTACCATGGAATAGCTTATACATTCAATTTCTCAAATTTGTTTTATTACTTATTACTATCATTATTTCATATTCCATTTTTTTTATATATATATATATTAAATTGTTAATTAAGCAGGCTTGAATAAAAGAACATATTTCTTTTACATTAAAAAATTTGTTAACGTTTATAAAGAGTTATGTAATTTGTATTTTAAGGTTGTGTACTAAGTGATCAACTAAAAATCAACTAATATTCATGTTAATTTATCATTGTCTATTAAAAAAATGATGTTTTAGTTATTAAGCATGCGATCAATTACCTTATGTTTTTATCATATTTTTTTTATAATCCTTAGTTAATTGACGTTAATACTTTTCTATTATTACTATTTAACTGTGGCATATTTTATAATTTTTATACTTAGCTTATATATGTTTTGGACATTGTTCCAATCAACAAATTATCGTTAATCATTGTAACCTAACCAAATATTGAATAATGTTCCCTTTTTTTTATATACATATTACTTTTTAACTATTATTATATATATTTAATAATCGATTAATAATAATTAGTCAAAACCTGGTTCCAAAGTGATAGACAAAAAATAAATTATCGATTTTTTTTTATTCATATTTTGTTTTGTTTTGATACGCTTAACGATTGTTTCCTCTACTATGTACCATTTAATTTATCGATCAGCGAGTTAGTTTTACCTAAAAATTCATATTTGATTCATTTGCAGTATAATTAAATGGTAAGCCATACACAGGCTACATCTTATTTTACTAACTATTGGGTGCAATTCGTTAGGTGTACTCATTATACAGTTCAAATAAAAAGTAAAGTGAATTATAAGTGTATTATAATATTTATTTCTACAGAAAAAAAAAAACAAACAGTTTACATTTTTGAACATAAATATTATATAATTACTAAATGTTTTGAATAACAATATAAAATAAGGCACTATAGATGCATGGTCAAATAATCATCAACCACAGAAATAAAATAATAATTATTATTATAATGATACTATTATCTATTATTGATAAATAAATATATAAAATAGTGTACCTAATTGTATTTTATCTATAATATTTGTGTATCTATATGTATATTATACAGGTATTATAATATATGTATATATATATATATATATATATATATATATAAAAAAAAAACTTAATATAAAAAATTCACAGGATAACAAAAACGGAATATTAATAATGAGGGTAATAATAATATTTTAATAACTTAGAAAAATAAATTTTTAAACACAACACGGATTCTCATTAGAAAAAGAAAAAGTTGTTTCTAATCACTAAATAATAAGCAATACTTATTTAAATAAATACAACAACACAACAGAGTGTCAATAATAATAATATTACGGTGTGTCATAATGTATTGTTCAATAAATAATAATAATAATAATAATATAGTATAAATGGGATGAAAATGTGTTCCCAATAGTTGATTACGGCGAAAGAGATACAATTTTTATAAGGCGCTGGATGAATATTCATTCGATGGATTAAAATAAGTATTTAAATAAGTTTGTTTTTTTTTTTTTTTTTAGATTATTGAATTATTTTAGGTCAAAGATTATGGTTAACCGAGCCAGGGCTGAAAAAAAAAAAATTGAAATTTTCGTAAAAATCGAAAAAGTATTTAAAAAAAATATAATAATATTATAATAGGTCTTACTCGACGAATCGGAAATTTTTTTAAAAATGTATATATATAATATATCTACGTTTGATGATAATAATATCATACTGACTCGCTATGTAGTTGGGGTTCCTATCGAAAAAAGATAAATTAAAAAAAAAAAATCGTTTTATACTTTATCGTAACAAACAACGAAAATGGCACACTGACTTACACACCTATACCTACCTACATAATTATTATTACAAATTAATTAATTTTTTTTTTTCGTATTATAGGTACACCATAACTAAAAATGATGACCTAGAAAATAATAATAATAATAAAAAAAAAAAAAAAAAAAAAAAAAAAAAAAAAAAAAAAAAACAATCGACCGAAACGATAGGTAAAGTGATCGAACGTTATCGTAATTCGAATGCGTCGGAGACGCCGTTTTACAGGTTGGTGGCCTTTTTCTTGCGGAACAGACTGGACAGTACGCCGGACCGTTTGTCCTTGCGGCCGCTCATCGGTATGTTGTTTTGGTGTTCGCTCTCGCTGGAACTCTCGCTGGCCCGTTGTCCTGCGCCGGTCGGCGTGGTGACGCCGGTGGGCAACGTGGCCGACCGGTTCGGCACCGGCGGCGGTGGCTGTTTGAGCGCGTCCACGTTCGCGTAAACTGCGCGCAGCCCGGCAAAAACAAAACACACCGAACGATTATTAAAAGACTGGAGGAGTTGTACAGAACATAAAAGGCCGGACAAAGTTTAATAACGTGCGGGTCGCCTAGTTCGCCGGCTAGTGCGCGAAACCACGTCGGGTAGGCGACAGCTAGGGGAAAAAGTGCGACGTGAAAACCAATGATTACTGACTCGGTGGCGCCGGAACCAGCAGTCAAAGGTGGTAATTGTCACCATTCTTTTAACGGGTGGGCGGTGGTGGATCATTGATGGGTACCCGAGTCATATTTTTTTTTTTATCGAATTGGTACGTATGGAATATTAATCAATAGCGCGTTATGTGGGAGTTTGTTTCGTAAACGAGCCAGGGTGGTGGTCCATTCAACTTTTTATCTGGCCACCTTCTTAAAATACGGTTCGGCGCCACCGATTACCGTTATTATGAAGTTTCTGTGTTTTATGCGCTCACATTAAGACTCGGCCTTTTTGTCAATTCCCAAGTCGGGTTTGATATGTAAAACGGTAATTTTAAATTTATTAACTCCATCTCTTTCCATATTTCATTCATCACAGTGTTATTACATTTTAATGAAATCTATTACTTCGATTTGAAAAAGATTATATTTTCTACCTATCTAATGTGAATGTGGGAGGCATATCGTGTGATGTGTTCCAAAATTAGGAGAAAATTCGAGTAATCTTTTTTTTTTTTTAAAAAAAAAAAAAAAATGATTTCATGAGGAGCAATTCGAGAGCCAAATGGGAGGTGAAGGTCGAATCGAGTGTGCCCAGAGTGGACTCAGCGTGATTGTTTTGTGTAAATATGTTTTTTCTTTTATTCTAAACTTTAATATAATATACTTTTGAATAGTCTGGTAAAACAGTAGGTACTTGGTTTTATGTTTAACGTTTGTTTTTCTTTTAGTAACAATAAAACGTACTTCAACCGAGTGGCTGCTGTGCAACCGATGTTTACCAAAAACAAAGTGCGTATTATATTTATTCCCAATCTAAACGTATTAAACGTAAAACAAATTTTTCAGCCGAGGAAAAGTACAATATTGTACACAAAACTTACCAGCGCTGTGTCTATAGTCTGAAGTCCATGTTTCTCTGTTGGTCGGCGGCGCGGTGGTAGGTAGTGGTGGGGGAGCGACGTCTAAAAATATAACATAATATACGTTAAAATATACCGTGAATTCCAAAAGGAAAAAAAAAAAAAGTAGTTGTTGAGAGTTTTTTTTCATTAACGAACCAGGCGACTTTGGATGGATTCCCTCTTTGTTCCAGTCGTTATTGCCGTTCGCGTAATAGGAATGCGGCCTGGCGGGATACCCAGACTGCGATATTTTGGACCCGTAATCAGGAGTGTCTACAAAAACCAATAAATATATTTATAAATAAATCCGCAGTGGCACTGTTCATGTCAGAAAAAACCACTCGAGTGGATTAAAAAATTATCCGGCACTCGATTTTTTTTTTTTTACATAACAATTTCAAAATATAACGGTGCAATCACGATAGTTTGGGAATGAGTCCTAGTTTTACAAGCATCAATAAATGTAGGAGTTTGATCTAATTTAATAATATTAATTTTGTAAAATGTTCAATTTAAACAACGTTCAAGATAGAACCCAGCCCGGATAAGGACATATTTTAGAGGTCCCGGAGCCTTCAACGAGAACTTCTTAGAAATAATAATAGTAAACATTTTCTTTATATGTTTACTAATAGCAATGTGTTTTGACTTTTACCAAAAGAAAAATAATAAACAGTATGTTGTATAGATCGTAAAGATCTCAATTCAAAAGCCACGAGTATTATTTAAATAAATAAATAAATAAATAAATAAATAAATAATTTTTAACAAGCAGTTTCTAATATTAATATATAATAATATGAATAAGTCATGATCGGGCAACGAAAAAATATTAAAATATCAAAGTACCGAATTGATAGTTAAATGTATACTGCATAAAGAACATAATACTGTGGCGAAAACTAAGGCCTTGGGAATCTGGTGGCCCGGGGGACCGTGGCCTTCCCCGGGCCCCATCTTAATCCGGGCTCGGATATAACGCAGTTGAATTTACTACAGAAGACTTACCGACGCTAGAATGATTGTTTTGGTACGGTATGTTATCTACCGAAGGCGGTCGCACTGGTATGGGCCGGCGGATTTGATTATCCTTGCGGGCGTGTACCACTGGTAGTGGCGGCGCCATCGGTTTTCGTTCGGTTTCCGGTGTGCTTGCCGCACTCGAACTCGTGCTGATGACCGTCGACGGAACCGGTGTCTGGTCTGACCTAGGCGAACCCTGTAGAAAACGCACAATACAGGCATATTTTTATCCGTATAGTGATAATATCAACATACGCCAAAACTGTGTAATCACAGTTTTGGCCTAAGACCGAGGTGACGACGTTGCGTGGTATACAGAATACCGGCCAGTAGACAGCATACCTAGAGCCGGGCTCCGGACAAATGGTCCGAGAAAACCGGTCCGAGTACGGTCTTTTGGACGAGTGTAGTTACTATAGAGGCCAACATTATTAGTTTAATAAGGGCGTTGTCTAGAGAATACTGATAGAGGTGAATTGAAGATGACGGGACGAGAAAAGATGAGACGCGGACTGTTCGGGGGATTTACGAAGGAACGCGGACGGAAGCCCGAAAAGGAGCCTCGATTAGACACGATCGAGAATAGTACGAATACCGGGGAAAAAAATTCGCGTGGTTTTACGAACGTATTGACATCGGTTTACGATTATTAAAATGGTGTCTCGTATGATATTGTTGGTACGCACTTTTTGGTTGTCGTCGTAGCTCAAAAGCTGCAGGCTGGGCGGTAGCTGCGCGTGGAACGTAATCTTGTTCACCCATTCTTCCATTTCCTTTGACGTGTCCGCCAGGAATAGGAACTCGGAACCGTCCGTACAGCAGAGCCTATATACGAGAAAAAAAAACCAATCAAAAACAAAATAGTACCATCGATTGTACAGGAAAACGGAATGTACTGTATGATACAGTGTATCACATACTAGTGTAGACTATAGAGTGTTTATAGATAAAATACAACATATTTTTTATTTTTAATACAGGCAGTGTGATGTGCATGATATTTCATAACGAGAAAATAAATACACGGTTCACAAACATTATGCGACCCACTAAAAACACAATCACGACCAACATTTTGGGAACCGCTGCCATAAGTTGGGTGATGGGCATTTGATTTTGTTACACTACCATATCCGGGCGGCTAACATAAATGCTTAAGCGTTTATCGAAATATTTAAACCGATTATTTTTGTAATTATTAAACCAGACGACATTTATTTGTGCCGGCAACTGTACATCGGTTTTTGTTTATTTTTAATTGCGGTTTTATTGGAACGATGACGTTTACCTGAACACGTGTTTCCGTTTTGTGTAATCGAACGCTTTTTCGCATTTGGCCTTAAACACTATTATTGGTGACGTCGCCGCTTTGCTGGACACAAAGTCTTCCTGGTCCTTGAAGAAGCACAACAGCTGACCACACAGTACTGCACAAACAACACGGTAAGTTTATAAATTACATGACGAGTTTAGATGTGTATTCGTTTTTTTTTTTTCACGCGCTCCTCACCGGTATAAAAGGTTTTCCACGATCTAACGGCCGCTTTTTTCCCGCTGCTCTGTAATTCGTGCTTCCTGTCCAAGAACCCTTGTATTTCTACGGGGGGAAGTTGATCCACGTTTTCCAATTTTTGAAGTTTTCGGAAACTTTGGGTTCTTCTACGAGTGGTGAAGCTGGGCGTTCGTTTAGGTTTCTTGTATACGTCTGCTTTCATACTCTCAGATCTTTTTACGTCTACGTTCGGACAACATATTATACAGTTTGTTGTTAGGTAAATATCGAGTAGAAAATATGTTTTGTTAAAAAAGTACCTTTTTTCAAACGGTTTCCAAATATGGACGAGAAATTTCCACTATTATTTAACGCAGGCGATCCCGGAACCATGAGTCTTAGAAATGAATAATTTAAAATCGAATTATTAAAAAACATTAATCACGAGGTATTTTTATTTTTTAGCTTAATGTATAAATAACGAGTTATGTTTTAAGCAAAATCAATGGCGTTAGGAAAAAAAAAGCAATAAACTTACGTGTTTGAATCATTTGAATCACTAGGTGAAGAAATTTGGGTTTTTAATACTTCGGGCGATCTCAATGGCGCTACTACATCATTTTCATGCGTAATATATTTATCATGCATTCTTAAGCAACAAAAAACAAGGCAATTTCGAGTTTAGTTAATAATAATCAACTTAATATTAATATAAATCATTCAGATGATATTAAATGAAATTATAATACTATAATATTAAGTAGGTACACGTACACATTTCAAAATGAAACGTACCTAGTTAACATTATTCTTCCGGACGCAATATATCTACTTATCATTTATCAATAGTTATCAAAAAACAATATGGAATTCCATGCGAATAATAATTATAGTCTCACAAGAACAAGTAACACTTATAACCGTATGTAAAGCTAATTGTACAAGAACACAATATTATTGTATAAATTCAGTGTGGGTACCTCATGTTCGGATCGAATTCGTCATCATCGCCGTTCATCGTTTCACCGGTGTTATTAACCTTCCACCTATCGCCTTCTTTCTTTCTCTCCTGTACAGAAGCGAAAAGTTTAGCCGCCGCAAAAGTTAATTATTAGATAACATTATTCGTTAACACTCACGTCAGTAATGCGCTGTACTTCACGCTGTTTTCGCGCTTCGAGTTTTTCCCGTTCCAAACGTTCTTTTTCCGCAATACGGGCCCGTTCTTCAGTTTCCAATTGTTCCTTAAACGCCAATTCCAACTACGCAGAGATGTTTGGTAAGTGTGATTATTAAGTAAAAAAACATATTGTTACCAATTTATTCCATACCAAGGTGATTCGTTTTAACGTATCAAACTTCTCCTCCTGGGCCTCTATGGTTTTCTCGAAGTCTTCGTGTTTTCTAATAAGCTCTTCGACCTGCCATATTGAGTCTCCTAACTTGTCGTCGTTTAAAACAGGTTCTCGGGTTTGTATCCACGATTCTAGTAGGTCTGCATCTCGTTTGAACAACTAATAACATTGATAAAATGCATTTTATTAAAATATAATATTATAATTAATTTCCAGCGTGTTAATTACCTGCGTATCTAGGTTTTGGTCATATAAAATTTTACGTTTTTCCCAAGTGTCGGTCATGAAATGATGCCTTTGTTCTAAAATGTGGACTTTTTCTTTGATTTCGTCCGACATAAAATGACCCTAAAATTATCATAAATTAATAACATAGTTACACATTATTGTTCGATTATTATACAAACATGTTGAATGAGATTTTTGCCAGTTTGATAGAACTCGCTTAACACTTCGGAACGGCTATTGATCTCTGCATTGTATTCTTGATGTCGCAGTATCAGCATTTCTGCACCACTCACGTCTTGACTGAGTATAGGCGATGTAATTTTGGCTATTGTTTCATTTATCCATGCACTATACAACCAAAATTGAATAATTAATGACCAATAAAAAAAAGTAAATGTATATTTAATATTATATTATAATATATTTTTAACTCACATTAAATGTCTATATTGATCGAAGTAAGACTGTAAGTGCTCTGCTTGATTAAGCTTGCTTTTCCTCTGACTTGCATTTTCCAACAACGTAGTCCAAGCATCAACGGCTTCTTCTTGTTTTACTTCAATATGGTCTTTAGCATCTGGAAACATAGCTGACAATCGACCAGCTTCTTGTACAACACATTCCACCTGAAGAAAATACAAATTGAAATAAAATACATATTATACTTTTCTACTAAATTAATGGGTAGGTACTTGTTCTTTGACTGCGGCTAGGTCTGCTTCAAAACCTTGGTGTTTTTGAATTAGTGTCTGTATTGTGTCTAAATCATGACCATAATCTTCTGCAGCTAGCAGCGTTCCTTTTTCTTGAATCCAACTGATAGTTTCATCAGCAGTTCTATCAAATACGTGCACTTGTTTAGCACCCATCAGTGCCTAAAATACAAGGCATTTTAAAATTTAAACTTTTATAAAAGTTTTATGATTATCGCCATACTTCTTGTCTAGCATTGGCTAATTCTTTTAGGTCATCCCAAAGTTGTTGAGTGTCTTCCAATCTAATTCTAATTTGGTCTCTTTCAGGATTATTTTCTTCTAGTAATTTGTGTCCTATGGTTATGCAACTTGAAATACGTCCTTCACTTCCATTCAAACCACTCATGAAGCTTTCAAATGCCTAAAATATTTGTTTACAATTAAATAATTAATTTCAATAAATTGCAAATAAACTGCAAATAAATTACAGATTGTAATTTAAATTATGATTTGATTAATTAAGAATTTTAAAATAAATTACTTGGATCAATAGTTCCACGTGTTCTACATCTCGACCATAATCTTCTGAAGCAGCTACTGTTGTTTGATCTCCGATCCATTCTGCAACATCTTCAGCTTCTCGAATAAATTTATAAAATTTGCGACTTTCTACTAATCTAGTAGCTCTTTTCTTATTTAATGTACATAACTCTGTATACACTTCTTCAATATCGGTCTAAACCATTTTTGTTTTTTTAATAAGGTCATATATAATTACAATGAGTTAATTTATAATTTTTAATTTTACCTGTTTACGCAATATATTTTCAGAATCAAAGTGTGAACGATTTACAAGATCTCTGCTGAGTTTAGCTAGTCTTTCAAGTGTATGTTGGAATGTATTTAGTTCTCTTTCAATTCCTTCAAGTTTTTTCATTAGAGTCTGTACAGAGTCTTCATCCCTCCCATAATCATTGGACGCCAATAAAGGATATTTTTCTTTTAACCAGACTTCAGCTTCATTTGCCTCAGCATAAAACTGCAAAAATGTCAACAGATTTAATGACACATTCTATTTTCTTATTACCATATCAAGCATAAACTAACCATTTGTGATTCATAAGCATCTAATAACTTTTGTTTTCTGATTTTAGATTGGTCTTTAAGTTGAGACATTTTTTTTTGAAGTACATTATAATTTATTTCGATTTGCTGTGCAGCAAAATGTCCACTTCGAACCATTTGCTGTCCTCTGCCAACTAGAGCTGCCACAACTGGTTCATGGGATATTAATTCAGCATCCAAAGCCTTGAAAAAAAAATCAAGATGAAAATATAGTTTAAGCATTATCTATAAATACTATAATTTACCTGATGCTTATTTTGCAATGCTTGTACAGAGTGTAAGCTTACACCAAAGTCATTTGATTTGATGAGTAGTTCTTTGTCATTAATCCAAGTCATTTCTTCTTCAATATCTCGTAGTAGCCTATAATGAATTAGAGCATCTTCGAGATTGTCCCTTCGAATTTGCATTGGTTCTTGAAGAGAATAATATCTGTAAATCATTCAATATAGTATTGGTACAATAATTATAACAATATTTTTATCAATTTACCTTTTTAAAACTGCTTGAGACTTTTCTTGTATTTCATCTTTCATAAAATGATCAGAATTTTGGAATGCTAGAGCAGTATCTTTTAGAACTTGACATGCTTCACCGTGACTATGAACATCATTTTCTAACAGTGAATGCCTTTTTAAAAGGTTTACAACACTCTGTAAATCTTTCCCGTGGTCTTCAGATTGTAACTGCATCTCTACTTCTTCTGTCCATGCTTCAAGTTCTTCCAATGTACGATTAAATAATAAAGCCTAAAAGTATGTTAAATGGTTGAGAAAAATAATTATATAATTAATGCATTAATTAAAGATTATAAGTAAGTATTTACTTGGTAAGCATCTTGTAACCGTTGTTTCTTAAGTGCACTCATTTCTTGTAAAAGCCTCCATTTTGTTTCAAGTTCGTCCAATCTAACACGAATTTCCATGCTAGCAAAGTGTCCACTGCTGATTAAGTTCTCACCTTCAGTGCAAATTGCATTAACACGAGTACGGTTTGCAATTAGTTCTGAATCAAAAGTAGCATGTTTTTGAATTTTTCTTTGTAAATTTGTAGGATCTCTATAACTTTCATCTCCAGCTACTTGTTGTTTTTGGATTATCCATCCTTCCACCTAAAATAATAAATTCAAAGTTTAAAAGTTTGAAATTGTTATACTATTATTGTGTTAATTTTAAACATATTGCGTTATCATTTACCTCATACATATTTCTTAGGAACTGTTGTAAGAGCCTGGAATCATTTAGTCGTCTTTTTCGAGAAGCTGTAGCTTCTTTTAGTCTATCTCTTCTATTACATATGATAACTAATCGACCTTGTATTCCATTGCTATCATAGTGTTGACCAGTGACAAGGTCCAGAGCAAATTTTTCTAATTCTTCAACTTTCACTAATTGAGCTGTTAGTGTTTTTTCGAAAGCTTCATGTTTTCTTATTAATTCCTCCACACTTGATAATGATTCCTAAATAAATCAATTTTATTTTATATATAATATTCTTAAATGCAAATTATAATTTAAATCCAAATACTTACTCCTAGATCGTCATTACTTAAAAATGCTTCTTTTGATGCTAACCAATTGTCTACTTGATCAGCTTGATTTCTAAAAATTTGGAGTTCTAAGGCTTGACTTAACATAGTTCTTCTTTCTTCCCATGCTGCACTTAATGTTCTTCGTAATTCATCAAGATGTGCTAGTTCCTTCTCAGGAATCGGATTTATTTTTAATCCAGATTCTTTTAATGTTTTAAAGTGTTCTTGTCGGCCATTAATTTCAGCTTTTCTCTCTTGGTTCAATTCTAATAAAGCTTTTGCTTCTGCCATATTTGTAGGCATATCGTGACCTTTTATTTTTTTAATAGAATCAACGACCCAAAGTTCAGCTTCTCGTAACTCAGATAAAAACTTTTCTCTAATATATGCCTCATTTAAAGCTTCTCGTCGTTTTTTCGATAACATATGCAAATTTCTCCAATTATCTTGTAATTCAGACAATTTAGCTTTGATCGGAGAAGACATATCTGGGTATTTTTGAATAAGTCGTCTACATTCAGATTCATGTTCCTTTGTTTTTCCTTCGATAGCTGTCATATCTCTTTCTAAAGCATCCTGTTTTCTTTGTAATTGTTCAACACTTCCGAGATTCTTACCAGTTTCATTGCTAGACATTGCTAGAGCTTTTTCACTTACCCGTTGCAAAGTATCATCGACATCTCGATTAAATGAATGTATTTCTAGAGCTCCACTTAAGTGTTCTCGGTATTCACTTAGAGCTCCTTGAAGTGCCTTCCATCTAATATAAATTTAATATAATTATTATTCATAGTAATAATTTAATTTTCTAATTTGTATTAAATATTTATTTCAACATACTTATTATTTAGATTTTGTCTGCGTTGTTGCATTGATTGTGTGTCACTTCTCCCTTGTCTAATAAGTTTATCGGCTAAAGTATTAATAGTTTCTATTTTTCCTTCATCTACTCGATTATCAATGTCTTCGAGTTTTCTTTGCAACGCTAAACAGTGTTCGTAATCTAATCCCATTTCTCCAGCTTGGACCATCATTTCCTAAAGTTAAAATAGAATTTATTAATCAATTATAATACTATTGTAAATTAAATGTTAAGGATTATTATAATCTTACTTTGTCTCTGATCCATGTTTCTACTTTGTCTACTTGATTATTGAACTCCAGTATATCTTGAGCCTCTTCTAAACCTCTGCCTTTTTCATTAGTTTCTTGTAACAAGTTTCTCCATAAAACCAAAAGTTTTCCTAAAGAATCTTGAATGTCTTTTGAATTTTTGTGCTTCTTTTCAATCAACATATCAGCTATAATAATAAATCATTAATGAATAAAATATATTTAAACAATTAATTTTAATTAGCTTCAAATAGCATACCATTATATTTAATAGAATTGATTCTTCCTTGGTTGGCAGATAGTTCAGCTTGAAATGCTTGATGTTTTTGTAATTTTTTAATTTTATCTTCTAAGTTATTGACATCACCTTTGCTAATTTCCATATCTAACTTTTTGCGTTTTTCACTGATCCATGATTCGGCTTCTCCGACATCACGTAAAAATTGAGCATGCAGTAAAGCATCATCTAGTTTTTGTTTTCTTAAAACACTTAGTTTTCGAATTTGTGCTCGTCTAGCTAAAACTTCATTCAATCTCCTAGATATTAAATCGCTTTCAAAATGATTTTGATTGAGTAGTTTATCACAATGTTCTTGTAAGAGGGACATTTTTTCTTCCTGTGTTTCAAATAATTTTTCAAAACCTTCATGTTTTTTTACTAATGCTGCTACTTGGTCTACAGTGTTTCCTAGAAGTAAAATTTCATATTATTATTGTTTGAATAATGATAATTTTATTTCAATTTACCATATTCTAAGCTTGCCAATGCTACTTCTTGTGTATTGCAAATTGTGTCAATTTGTTTTGCATCTCGCAGGAAGAATTGTAAATCAATAAGTTGATCAAGATGAACTTTTTTATGATGCCAAGATGCATGTAATTGATGTCGTTCTTCCAATAAATGATTAAGTTTTTCTTGAATTTCCTGCATTATTAAATTGTAAATAATACAAATTGCATACCTATATTATTATTCAAATGAAAATTAAAAAATATCTTACATTTGCTGCAAAATGTCCTCCTTGTACTAGAGCTTCTCCAAGATCAGCAACAGTTTGAAATGTTTCTTCTCTAGCTTCTATTTCAGCTTTTACCGCTTCATGTTCTCCTTTTAAGAGCTGCGCGCTTGCTGCATCTCTTACTTTTTCTTCTGTTAACATGGTAGCTCGTAAACTACTCGACCAATTGACTAGATCTCTAACCTATAAAAAAAATATATTTAATAGTCATATAAATTCTTTAAAATAAAAATAAAATTTACTTGTGCTAAAAATCTATGTAAATCACAGCTTGCTTGTAGAGCTTCTCGTCGATGTGCAGAGCGATCTTGAAGTGAAGTCCAACTCCGAACAACGGTTTCTTGTTGTTTTGCAATATGAGATGCATTTGATCCTGGGTAGAGTGTTTGTAACTTAACAGCATCTTCAACTAAAATCTAATAAAAATATAATGAGGATTAGTTAAATATTCAAATTAAACTAAATAATGTGTTTGCATACTTGAAGTTGTGCTTCCAAAGCAACAAGGTCATTTTCAAATCCTTCGTGTTTTCTAATTAAAGTTAGAACTGAATTTAAATCTCTTCCTAAATCATCAGAAATAGTTGCGTCTTTATCATTAATTCGTGATAATGCGTCTGCAACATCTCTATGAAATCTATGTATTTCTCCTGCGGCTTTCAACCGTTTTTCTCGGTTTTCAATTGTAACTATTAGTTGTTGCCAAAGGTCTCTAATTTCTTCTTGTCGTTTCTCGATTTCTGGCGTATATTCAGAGTCGTTTGCTACTAATTTATTAGCAAGATCTTCACACTGTTGAAATCTTTTTGATCCAGTTTCTACACGGTGTTTGAGGTCATCAAATTTGTTTTGTAACACCTATTTTTCAATCAATTTTGATAACTAATATTGTATATTATTATTTTTTTTTAAAAATAAGTTATAGATTATAAAATTAAATTATTGTCTATTTATTATTTATGAACATCGATTGAGCAATATCTATCGCTCACAGAGATCTAACTTCTCAAACTTTAAGTGTTCTCTGTGCACAAATATGTATATCATAAATAAATTTAAGTAAGTTCTACTATAGTATAAAAATATAAAATAAATAATGATATTGGTAACCGTGTTGAATTCAAATGGCAATGAACAGTTAACTACAATATTAACATGAATGTTTTAGAAATTTGTTGTGCAATAAAAAAAGGCATTAATTAAAATGTTTATTTTATGTATAAAGTAATACCAGAAGATGTTCAAAATCTTGTCCATAATCTTCAGATGATGCTGTTTGCATATTATCTCGAATCCATTGTTCAAGTTCATAACTTTCGATTAAATATTCATGTCTTAAATAAAAGGAAATATATTAGTGTTTTTATTAAAAAAAATATGTTTTTTTTTTTACCTGCACATGCTTTCAACCAAACTATGTTGTCTTGCTGTGGCTAACTTTTGTAACAATTTAAATTGTTCACAAATGTATTGTTGCTTAGATGAGATGGCTTTAATATCTGGATGTTTAAAATTCATCATATTATTTCCAGTATGACACATTTCTTTTACAATGCCTTCATATGTGTCAATTTCTAATTCTAACGCCTAAAATATATCCAATAAACCAATACTTATATGAATTTTTACTAAGCATTTTTATAGTAAATATACCTTATGTTTGGTTAAGAGTTTAGAGGCTGCATCTCTGTCTCGGCCACAATCCGTAGAACTTAACATATTATTTTTTTCAAGTAGCCAACTTTCAATTTCACTTGCTTCAAAGAAGAATTGTTGTGCTTTTAAATTTAACTCAAGTTTGCGACTTCTTTCTTCACCTTTAGTTAATAGATCTTGCCATGCGTCTTCAAGGCCAATACATAAGGATGAAACCTGAAAAGTAAAATATTTATATTTATTTCTAAATTTAATAGTTGGTAATTATAATTTATATTTAATTACTTGTTTAGTTTCTGGATGTTTTTGATGAATTAATGCTTGACCTGATTCAAGGGTTTTGTTAATCATTGGTTGATGACCTTGTATTTCAGCTTCCAGTTTTTTATGTTTTTTATATAATGTTTGCACTTGGTGAAGATTAGTACCTAATTCGATAGATTCTACAAGTGGTAAATGTTCTCGTATCCAACTGAGTTCGGCTTCTAATTCAAAACCAAATTTATGGAAACGTAAAGATTCATCCAGAGCTTCTTTTCTAAGTTTGAGAGGTTTATCCAATCCATTAAACCTGTAAATAAAATTTAAAATATATATATTATATAGTTTTCATTACATAAGTTCTTATTTATTGCGTATTTACTATACATAAAAATATTAATTCTCACATTTGTTGGCATTGTTTACTAGATTTTAATATGTTTTCAGCATCAAAATGACCATCTTGTGCCATTTCTTCTCCAGCAAATACTAAATCATCTATTTTTTGTTTCCAATGTTGGATTTCAGTCTCTATCACTTGATGATTTTTAAGCAGTTGTTTGCAATGTCGTAAATCTGTTCCCACCTGTTGGGACTGCAAATCCTTTTTAAGTTCTTCGTATTTGAAATACGCATCGTCTAATGTTCTATTATAAGTATGCTGGGCTGCTGCTTGTCTCAAACATCTACCCTTTTCTACACTGACTTCAACTAATTTCTTCCAATCATTATTTAGTACTGATAATTTTGTTTTTACTTCATCTTTTCGATAATTATCTTCATTTATCAAACTCTGACCACACTAAAAAATAAAATATACCTACCTAGTTAATAAAAAATTAAAAAACTAATAATTTTTAATCTTACTTTGTTGATATTTCTTAGTTGACCTTCATTTGCACGTAATTCACATTCAAATGCTTCGTGCTTTTGAAGTTTCCTTTCAATGTTGGTAAGGTCTCTGTATGATTCGTCACTGGCTGTTTTTAGTTTATCTGTAAGCCATGTTTTCAGATCATCCACATCAGCCCGGAAAGCTTGATAATTTCTACTGGCTATCAAAGCATTTCTTCTAACTGCTGCTTGATCTTTTACTAAATTCCTCCGGTGTAAAACAGCCTCTTTACGTTTATCAACACTAATATAAAAAAAATTGATATTGTAAGAATGCATTTTAAAATATTTTAGTTTACTTACTGGTCTGTATCATAATGATTAGTAGAAATAAGTTTATTGGCCATATCACAAAATGTTTTTAACCTTTCATCTTGAGCGTAAAGTGAGTTTTCAAAATCTTCATGTCGTTTTAAAAGCGCTTCAACATCATCAACAGATCCCTTAAAAAAAAAATAACTATTTTTTACCCTGGCATCGATAGAAATCATTATAATTTGTTCTCATACTCCTAAATCGGTGTATTCCAAAAACATTTCACTACCCGAAGTAGCTGCATCTATGTGATCGGCTTCTTTATTAAATATTTGTAAGGCTAAACACTGTTTTATCCATTCTTTTTTCTTAGCCCATTCATCTGTCACATTGTTTACTTCTGAAGTTAATTTGTCATTACGTTCTTTCACTTCGTTACTGCTACAGTTACCAGAAGATAATAGTTGTCTTCCAAGTTCAGATACTTCTCTAATTTCATCTTCGTGAGCTCTAATATCATCTCCTAGTTCCTATTAAAAATATATGATATTAAAAAAAAACTGTTAATTTTTAAAAGTTATGCTTGAAAAATTATATTACTTGATGGTTTTTAAGTAAATTTTCCGCTGTTACGACATCACGAGCAGAATTGTCAGTATTGACTAATTCTTTTACAGACGATAACCAGTTTAGTAAATTTTTTGAGCTATTCATAAAAATTTGTTGTCCAACTGCACTTTCTAAACGCGATCTTCGATCCAAAGCTTTGTTTTTAACATTTTGCCATAAAACTTGAACTTCTTTTTGCCTTTCTATGACATTTTCTAAAAGAAAAAAGAAAGTATGTACAAATTGTCAATTACTGATCTATCATTATCAATAAATCATACCTTTTTCATTAGGATAAGAAACTTTCACTGAGTTAGCCAACAAATTAACTCTATTTACTTTTTCTTCTACTGGTGCCAATTCTCTTTCTAAATTCAAATGTCGTCTCTGTAGTGCTTGAATTGTTTTTAAATCTAATCCTACTTCAGCTCCATCTAATTTATCCATTTTTTCTGTCATCCAATCCCTGGCTTCATCACAAGTCTTTTCAAATAATTCCACACTAAACAAGAAAAAACATAATTATATAATATATGTAAAGAATATTATGAGGAATATTATAATATATTTTATATCATTACCTGAGAGCCCCTTCTAAACTTTTTTCTTTTTGTGATTTCAACCAGTTGAGATGATCCCACATTTTATGTATTTGATTTTGTCGCTTTGTAATCATATCAAGTTGACTATGTCCAAGCTTAGTAAAATCTTTAACTGCTTGGTCAATATCTTCAACTCGCTTGTTACTTGCCGATAAATCTGTTAAAAATTTCTATAACAAAAGTTTAATTAATTTAAGATTAAATTTATTAACACAATTGATGCCTAAATTGTCTAATTAATTAATTTAAATTTAAATATACTTCATATTTTCTTTTAGCAGATTCAACGGTATCTAGTTTGTCTTCAGTCTTTAATAATTTTTCTTTGTCTTTAATCCATTTTTCAAAATCATCACATTCTCGATAAAATCCATAAAGGCAAATAGAATCTTCTAAAAGTGCATGCCGTTTTTTGGCTAAATCTTGTGATTTTAAATAAGTCTGGTTGATGTTTGTTATACGTTTTTCAATACTTCTTTCATTATTGAGGTTGTTAGTATCCTTTTTTTTTGGCTCTGATTAAAAATATGTAGTTAGTATATAATATAATTATAATATTATTTATTTACCATCTTTTTCTGGAGCTATTGTTTTCTTAACTCGAACTTTTTGTTTGACCATCTTAACTTTGGGAACTTTTCTTGTACTTTTTACTTTGTGTGGTCTCCTGACTGATACTTGCATAATTTTAGGATCAATTTCACAAACATAGTTGGCCGGCACAAAACCATCTTGACCATTTAATTTTCTTACACTCCACCAATCAGGGTTTGTTTTATTTAATAAGAACATTACCTATAACACGAGGAAATATATATTTTCTTTTTCTAAAATCACATTTATATATTTGATATACCTCTCCTTTAGTCATTGTCATGCCTTGTCCACTAAATGGATACAGACTTTTTACTTGAGGGACTTGCCTTTCTTCTACTACTGTTCGATATTCAACATGTTCTATTATTTCTTCTTCTAAAACTTCTTGGGGAAGTAACCTTGTTTCGAATACCCATTCCTCAATTGGTTCAGTCTGAACTTTTTGATTTGTGTCATTAGATAACTGAAATTTAAATTTTGTATTTAAATTTACAAATATCTTTTATTTTTAATAATAACTAGCATAATTTGATAGAATATTCAATTACCAAAATATTTGATATTCCTGCTTTAACCAAATTTTCTGCTTGTGTATTTAACGATTGTATATCTCCCCGATATGCATCTAACTCTTCTTCTAGTATTTTGTGTCTAGCTAATAGAGCTTGAGCACTTGGTTCATCAACTCCATGGTCAGTTGTACTTAATACTGTTAAATGTTCATGTAACCAAGATTCAGCTTCATTTGCGTCAGCATAAAACTAAATAAAAATATGTAAATATACATTTAAAAAACAATTACAGTTATATTACTTGATAAGCCTCAGCTGCATCTTGTAATTGTTTAGTTCTTAGTTGAGATAAGCTTTTTAACGAATTCCAATTGCTTTGTAGAGAATCGACCTTTGATTGAACTTCAGCAGGTTCACTGGCATTTATGTTTAAGCCAGATTTACATATTTGATCAGATTTTTGACGGTGTACTTTCATCTCATCCAGTAATACCTAATAGAAGTTAATTAATTTAAGTAAATTTACTAAAAATTAACTTAATATTCATTAATTTCTGACCTTATGTTTTTGTTGTAAGCTTAATACGCCTCGTAAGTCCTTAGCAGAAATGTCAGCCTTACAAATTCGTTGTTTTTCAACAAGCCACGCTTCTTCGTCTTCATGATCTTCAATAAATTGATAAAAGTTTCTCGCTTCTTCTAGTCTAGCCCTTCTCTCTTTACTCAGTTCAGATAGTCTGAAAAAAATTCAAAACAATTGTTTTATAAATATGCTGTACATTTTGATATTAAAATATTTACCTATCATATGCGGTGTTTAGTTGATTTAGACTTTCATTTACCAATGCACTATCCTTATGTTTAGACTGTACATATTGTTGACCTTGTCTATTTAATCTACGAACAGTTTCACCAATGGCTGTAGTTTGCATTTCGGTCAAATTTTGTTTTTGTAACAAATCTTCTACAACGAGTAAATGCAGTCCAACATCTTCAGATTTGTAAGTAACTTCAATTTCCTATACAATCAGTAATGTTATTAATGTTATTAATATCTATGCCGTTTGAAGAAAAATATATATTACCTGTATAGTAGACATGACTGTTTCTATCTCTCTAAGCATAGAAAACATAGTACTTATGTTATTTAAATTTATTTTACGACTTTCTAAAAGTTTTAAGAGATCTTTCCATCTCTGTAAAACTTCTTCTTCTCTTTTTTTTACTCTTTGAGCACCATGATAGTTTTCTTTTATCAACTCTTCGCTCATTGCATTCAAATCATGAAACCGTTCTTCTCTTGCCATGATGTCTGCACTTATAGCCTCGTGTTTCTTTACCGTTGCATCAACTTGTGTTAAACTGTTACCAAATCTCGGATCATTTAGTACTAGGATCATTTCTTTTAGGTAACCATCTCGAAGAACACTCTAAATTAAAAAAAATAATGAATAAAGTAAGTCTATTCAAGTGAACAGTTTGTAAATCAAGACTATTGGGTTGCTAACATATTTTTTTTTTTTTATTGAATTTATGTATTTTAATTATGGTTTTTAATTATTCTATTCCTTGTATTATCTATTAATTAATATATAAGCCGTAGGTAAGTATTCAATTTTTACTACATTTTGTTATTAAAAATTACTTATTTTTAGTTTTATTGAATTGCTATTATTAAGAATAATTATGTGTAGAAAAAAAATTACACGAGAAAATTATAATTAGCATATATGTTATTTTCCATTAAATAGTTAAAGAAATAGTGTCCGTTCTTAATACCATTCCCCTTATACTAGACTTCAATATATTTTTAATTGGTGTTTGGTATAGTTTTATAAAAATATATTATGTAATGTTTTGTATACTTTTTTTTCAAATTTGTAGTTAAGTTGTTCTAAACGTTCTTGTCTCAATAGTTCCTCTCGTAAAGCAACTTCACGTTTATGTTCCGCCCTGTCTAAGGCTTCCCAGTTACGTTCAACATCGTGTATTAGTTGTCCGTCTTGGGGTATGAACATGCTTTGGTTAAGTGATTTGAGAAGGGTATTTATATGGAAGTAAAGAGCTTCAATTTCACTTCGTTCTATATACCTGAACACCAAACAAGGATTTATATCATGTTAAAATGTAATTTATACCATACTGTGGAGGTCATGTTTGACATACTTCGGAGGTTTTTCAACAGTTCGGTATTTTTTAAATCCTAATAATTCACGTTGAATGCCTTCTAAAGAATTTGGAAAATTATGATTTTCGAGCTCTTTAATTTTCATTCGTATCCACTCTAACAAATCTGATGTTAATTGTTCATAAATAATTTTTTTCTTATCTGTGTCCATAAGTTGACCAAGTATCTAAAAATATAATACCAAATCATGCAGTATATATATATATATATAATTCCAATATTATTTCAAATTTACATTTGCTATTCGTCGACCACTTTTCATTTCATTTTTCATCCTTGCAAATGTATGGTAGTATGAAGCCACATATGTTATAACTGATTTTTCATCGGGTCTGTTTGTGTCTACATCTATTTTTGTTTAACAAACGTGTTTAGTTTTTAACCTATTTGTATATTAATTTACTTTTTACCTTCAGCATCAAGTAATCTGGGAATCCCTAATTCATTATTGGCTACGTCAAATGCTATGTTGAGATTTTCAATATTTGTATTTTTCTCCAGTGATGGAAAATCAAGTAGATCGGGTCTATGAGAATGAATTAACGCATTGAAAGCTAAACCATTTCTCCACGAACCTATACAAATGTAGACAATTTAAATATGTTTATTTCATTTTTAGAACATTTTATAAATGTTTACCTGTAAAATCTTGTATGTTAACACCCTTGTAGCCATTCGTTTTTCGTTGACACCATAAAAGTAAAGCGTCTTTGGCAGATTTTTTTTCACTACTTTCATTTTCTTCATCCTTTTTATTGGTTTAAAATAAATAATTTTAATATATAGTAATATATAAAGTATAATAATATAAATGTATACACTCTATAACTCACCACATCAATTTCAATTTCTTGAATTTGAAATCTTAAGATAATTGTCCATATTAATCCTAAAATTAATCGAGGATTTCCGTCTACAATATCTTCGGCCCCGATACTCTCTAATCTTACCTATTTGATACAATTGTTAAACATATTATTTTGTTAATGATAAAATTACGTGATTCTAATTAAATGCAAAAATATAAATAAGAGCAAATAATAATCAATGATAGTATAATGTATCAGAGTTTAATTTAATATTTTTTGTAATAATACCTTTGTATGAAGAAATGCTAAACTTTTGTTGACATTTTCTACTTTGTGTACTCGCATTCGTCCGGTATTCGGTTTGCCTAGTTTTTCGCCGGAAATTATTTCTAACAATTTGAGAAGCTTTTTCCCGTCTGCCAAGTCCAGGAACAGATCTTCCACCTCCATCCTCACCTATAATATTCATATATCCGTAAATTAATATAGATACATAGTGGATTGAGTAATATTCCGTAATTCGTTATACTAACTTTTTGTAGGAATGAATTCATCCATTTGGTAAACGTCTTCTTTTGTATGTGTAGCCTCTCTTCCTGGAGGGCTTTAATACGCCCCTGTTCAAACTTAAGCACATCTTCTCTCTGCGTCATCTCGTTGCGTGTGATACTTGAATGGGCATTTTATAAAACTAAAACAAACCGCAAATAAAATTTTAATTAAATTACTTGTATACATTTTCGTTCTAAAAGCCTTTAATGCAATTTTACAATCATATATATAACCTACTACAATAACAATGACGAAGTTTATAAAATACAATTCATTATTCAAATAATAATAATAAATCATAAATTATTAGATAACAAAAACAGGCTAAAATACGTGTCTATATATTTTTTTCTTCGCGCGAGTTTTTGTTTCCGGTTGAGTTAGGTTTAACATTACGTCATACCTGCAGTGTCCCTTTAAAAATTTGTGTGGTTTCGTTTAATTCCGAAGCCAGACAAGTGTAACAGGGCCTCTAAATAAACTCAATCCAATTTTAAAACGTAGCTACTCTACACCCTTTTATTGAGTGAACATTTTATTTTAGACAAGTTGCAATAGCGATTTAGCCTATAAATGTTTAAGTGTAAGACGAGCACAAGGTACAACAATACATTATACATTAACAGGCATAATATTCAGACGAAATTCTAACGTCTCGTCGGAATCATCGGACGTTTCTGTTCCATACTAATTCCTATACCAACATTCGAAATTAAAATCTTTTATAAATACTGCCTAATTTTTAATAGATACATTTATTTTTAAACTATGATTTAATTTTCGAAAGACATACTATGTGCAACTTTTTATGTTCAAATTTGTACTGTAATTATATTTAAATCACACAGGTTCTACACGATTATCAAGCCATATTATAATAGATTTAAATTTCATCCAGGGCATTTTTACAGCTACGCAAAATGTGTCTCAGACGCTGCATTTAAATGAACCATACGATTTTTTTTTTTTTATCAATTTTCGTATCATAAAAAGTTTAACATTTCTATTTCGTATCAGCTAAAAACAATACTGGAATAGTAAAGTTGCACTGTAACATAATAGGCTACCTACGTTTATATTATAATAGTATAATAGTCACATTATCTACTTTATTAAAAATTGCAAAATAAAATTTGAATGTTCATATACTCTTCAAACTATTGTTTTACGCCATTATTAATAATTTTCGCAATGTGTTCTGTTATGTCATCATAATAATAATAATAATAGGTAGGGTACCTATGATAATTGAGTAGTTAATTTGCGTTCAATATTATTATGTAAAAAAGAAGAAAAAAAAAGAAAAAGAAAAAAAGAATAACATCGGGAATTTAATCGGGTTTGGGGTTTATTAAAATAATATAAAGTAAGAGGTAGTAACTGTATAAAAAAAGTAATAAAGAAAAATGAAAAAATTAAATAAGACGCGAATAAATTAGATAAATTATATGCGAACGATATAATAATTTATGTGCTTACCTACGTGAAAATATAATATTGAAATTTATTTCGACGCGTTTTTTTTTTTATTTTAATTAATTTATTATTTACTTTCCGTGGGCAAATTGAGTGCCGAAAATGAATATTTATCGTTTTCCAAAAGCGTCAAATTGATCGCTATAACTAAAAATGAAAGTATATCGAGTCCCACATATTATACTTGGATTAATTTAATGTACAAGGTGCATCAGATTCTCTTGTTTCGGCTTAATATTTAATCTTAATTTTTGACATTCTAAAATATTGTACAACAGTCGAGAGTCACGTGAAGCTCAAAAGTTTATTTTATACTATCTAGAATCGAAATATAATTTGTTATTAATTTTAATGAACTCGAAGAAATCGAATAAAATCAGCGAACTTTCAAACAAGAAAGTAACGGAACACGGAGAACGTATTTAATGATAAAGTACAAGAATAATATAATTGCTAGACTAGACTTTATTAAGGTTTGAACCGCTAAAGTATTTACTACTGATAAACAATATGCCAGCCTAAACTTCTCGTGGTGCCAACTATAGGGTAATTAAAGCCGGCTGGAGCATTTCATTTTTATCCGGAACACAATTTACCGCTTTCAATTTCGATACTTGCGACCTAAAACGAAACTCGATTTACCGAATTCGACTATAATACGAGTATGATAAACTAACGTTTAAACGAAAAAAATATAAAACGAACGATCCCGTTTTTAAATACAATATACAAGACGATCTACAAAACGATTTTACGTCCCGAATCAATTAATGTATTGTGAAATATACCATGATACAGAAAAAAAAATAAAAAAAAAATACTTGATATGGGTTCTGATGTAGGTTTTGGTTGTTTCCCCTTTTGGTTTTTTCTCCCCCTCCTCTTACATATATATAAGTAACGAACTAATGTATTTCGGCGTTAATTTCCCGCTTGCGTGCACCCCATTATCGGTTGACCGTTTTGTCACTTCAAAATATTATACACCTTTATAATACAATTTAATTTAAGATCGTAAATAGTCTATCTAAATAATAATAAAAAAAAAAAATAATAATAATAATAATATCACCGGATAATATATTTCTGTTTTCCGCCCTAATATTATACGCAGTTACCCGATCACGTAAAATTTCTCTACACATAACATATTGTATTATTGATGTACAGAAAAAGGAGTTGACGGCGGGCCGTAGATAATACATAGGCAGCAATACATAATTATGTATTATCTATGCATATAGGTTCAGTTCGTATCGATAATGTAAACGAATAATATGGTGATGGCTTTAAAACGGTTGTTTGTTTGTTTGTTTGTTTACAGTTTACATTGCGATCACGCGTCGAAACGGAATTCGGAATTTCGAACGGAAACGCGCATGGGCAGACTGGACAAACGGCCGTTTAAAGATAAACAATTTTACATTGGAAAAATTTCGCATTTTTAAGCCGAGCGATACGCGTTTGAGATAAAATACCTTAAAATCTGTGCGCGTACAATCAAGCTAATAATATCGTGCTGTAAATACATCTATGGTCCTAGGGAAGAAAGGTTCGAGTCGGTGGCGGATCCAGAGTTTAATTTTGAGGAGGGCGCTTCTCGAAAAAATTACTAAGCAAAAAAAAAAAAGAAAAGAAAAGGCTATATTGGGAATAGATGCATTGCCACTGTTGTAGGTGGGAATTCGAGAAGATGAGACACATAAGGTTATTTAAATTTATATTTGTAAACACTGATAGACCACTGCTAACTTATTTTTGAATGGAGTAACATTTTCGATAGAAAATTTGTTCACCGACAGAAAAAAAATAAAAATATATTATAGTACAATCAATACATTCATCGATTCTCTCCGCTTTTCTTCCCTGAAAATTTTAGATTATTTATGCGTTAAACAATTAATTATTTTTGAAAGCAATAACTTTTGTATAATCTATATAATCCATAGTTTAGAGTTCACTGGTTGGAGTTGATTTTGAATAGTATTCAATAAAAGACTGATTCCGGACTGTATTTAAATAATATTTTTACCCGTTTATTAAAAATGGACACTATCAGCTTTACCATTAAACACGAGCATAACAGAAGATCTAAATAATCAGTTAATCTTAATTCAATTAGTTTTAAAACTGTCATTGGTTAGAAAAGTGTTATTTTTGTTTGAACTGGTTTGTACAGAAAATTTGATATTAAAATATAAAGCACCTTAAACCATTGTGCAAAACACAATTATCTAGTTTTTTCCGTCTTTGAATTTTAATAATATGATAGTTTTACTCTTTTTTTTCTTTGTTTATATTTTTTAATGTATTATTAATTAAAGTACTTGTGATTTTTTTTTGTTTATACGAACTAGTTTTGAAGTCACCATCCCCTATCACAAGCTATGCTTATCATCGGGGAGGTGTCGATATATCTTATGAGATAATTTATGCGCATTGTCATTATTTTGACAAATAAATGTTATTATTATTATCAAAGATTATACAAAATACAAAATTATATATATAAGAAATGCCAACAATTGACTTAAGCCCTTTTTCGCCGGGACCAAAGATATTTTATTTAACAAAAGGCGATGATTTTAAATGGAATTTTATTTCGATAGTTTTACATTGATTTTTTTTTTTTATCTATTGGTATGACTATATAATTGTTTTTGTCCACGACGTCACCGCCGTCGCCAATGCACGGTTGATGGTGAATGATGAATGGGGTTTATTTGTTGGCATTGATGAATGTCGATGTATTCTTTGTATAATATACATTGCTTTTATTATTCGCGATTGAAAACTTAATGGTCTTTATTATTTTCCACTATTTTTTTTATTATTTTATAATCAATTTTTCTTTACCTCGTAGGTATTTCATTTAGATAATAGATAGGCTAACCCGTCCATACGGTTTTCAAAGTTATAATATTTTCGCGGGGGCCCACTTTTTCGAGTCGTGTCGCCTCATTTATTTTGAGTAAAGCTATCGTTTATTATTACAAAATTAATATGACGGCGGTATATGCGCACATTTTTTAGTCATTCTTTATAATCGCAGTAATCGTAGTGGAATATTATTATGTAGGTATGAATAATAACTATAGCTTTTTTTTTTTACTACACTTTAAAATGCGTCACGTGAACAAAAGAAAAAAAAAATATAAGTAAATCTAAACGTTGAATTGTGTATTTTTTTAGGAATTAGGATTATAAGACGTTGACGACGTAATACTTGGCTGTCTGATATAGAACATTGCGGTAGGTACACGAGTTAATCGAATTTGCACCGAATTTCAGTGTTTGTATAAAACGTTATCTGTTATATATGAATATAATTTTGTTGTCGCTGAAAAACCTTGTAGACAATATTTGTTTTTTTTTTTTTTTTTTAAAAACATTCCTATTAAATTATTTTTGTTTTATTATACTCGGCGGTAAAATCGGAATAATATTATATTTATTTTAATTCAATACCATATAAATCTCGTACATAATTCAACCATTACGAATTGGGGAGGGAAAAAAACGCGTTTTTAACGCGTACTACTCATTTTCGCTTGAAATGCGATTATATTTTATATACAGTTTTGATGTACGTAATACGTAAGATGTTTTTTTTTTGTTTTTCATAACAGATGACGTCGGTCTTGAAATCTCGCGTGGGGTCTCGTCTTGCGTATATTTGGACTAAAATTGTGAGTGCAACTAATTTACAATAGACGGATGAAAAAAAAAAGAAAAAAAGACATATGACTAGTCACGATGAATGAAAAATTACATAGACTTAGGTCTGTATACTATACAAACTAACTGGCGGTGAGTAAAATCGATTAAAAATGATATCGAAATAACGTTGAGAGCAGAATAGTTTTTTTTGTTTTGTTTTGTTACATAAGACGGTCTATTATATTATTATCGAACGATTCGAATAGGTTAGGTATCTACCTACGTATTGTTTTTTAATGATAATTTCAAAATTAACTATTATACTGTAACTGACGCATATTCGTTGAAGGATATTGCACTTGGCGAAAAAATGTAGAATTATATTACGCATCCATGTTGGAAGCTAGGAAAAATTTCAGATTCCATTTAAAATAATAATAATAATAGAAATTTTGGCCGTCACCGAAATGTCCGTTATTGGACTATTTTAATGTTAAAATCATCAAACAATACCTATAACATATGCAATACAATAATATTATTGTAGTACTGGACGGTGAAAAACAATAGAAAAGATCATCCATCACCTCAGAACTAATTAATACAAATATGAAAATCTTGCGAGTTTAACTCTAGCGATTTTTCGTATTAGTGGCGGTTTAGTCGAATTCAAATGCGACAATTCGAAAGTGTAACAAAAAAAAAAAACAATTATTAGTAGAATAATGCGAGTGTATAATAATATTAGGTACATAATATTATAGCTAATACCATTAAGATAATACCGCAGATAATATTATTATATAAAACAACAATATTGAATACGTCGACTCTATGAGTAAATATGAAATAGGGCAAATCTCATTGATTAACCGATTCAATATTTGTTTATGCCGTAAACTATGTGATAATAATAGGTAACACAGAGTAACTCTACGGACAATATTATAACGAAGTCGATTCGAAATTAATTGCAAATTGTTTCTGTACTTATATTATTATAGCCCAGAAACGACTGTTTTATATATCTGTGGATAAGACATCGCATGAATTCGGATAATTTTATCCGAAAACTTGGACCAAATTTTACTCTTTGAAATATAGCAGTAATATTTAATTAGTAAATAATATATTATTATAAAAAAAAAAAAAAAAAAAGTTACAGTTCGGTTATAGTTATTATACCTTATTAGTTATTAGTGTTTGAGCGTATCATAAATAGAATCTTTGTAGTCTTACAACATGATATGTGTTTTTTTTCCCTTATAATAAATAACGTATATTACGATTAATACGGACGGTGAAATCAATATCCAGTCGAAAAATTAGATTGGTGTCCTGTCCGTTTGCACTTTGATTGCATAATAATTCTATTATAGAGTATTAATAGGACCCGAATACAACTGTATAGTTAGATAGGTATTCGTATCATTAAATATATTATTTTCAGGTTGAAATTGGTTCAATATTGTGGTACCTAAGTACTCCTTCAAACAAGGTCGAGAGGGAGCTATGACACCCTCATCCCCCCCTCCGCGAGCACGCCCCCGTCGGTAATAAAATATAATTATACAACTGATACCTATATAATGTATTTGTACGGACCTACTCATGATTTAGTATACTGCGACCGTGCATTTGTGGTACAAAATAATATAATTAGCCGGTTTCTTAATATTTATTTAGTGAGTAAATAACTACAATATACTTGGACGCTATTTTGACAAATATATACCTTCACACGCAATGCCCGTATTATGCAGATTTGTCAGATCACTCAGATACGCGTTGTACATTATGTTATTATATAATAAAACTATATACGCGCTATCTAATAACACAATATTTCAGTCGTGTCATACGGACAAAAAAAAAAAAAAAAAGCGACGATAAAATAATTATAAGACACACGTCGTCGTCTTTATAGCTACATAATAATATTGTCTAGTTATGACACCGAATGAAAATAACAATTTTTTAGATAGTGTGAGCCGTGCGCGCGTGTTTGTACGAGTTAATAATAGATATAAATTAAAAAGAGGTTAAAATTATGGGATCATGCGACGTGGGTCGTGCGAATAATAATATTATTACACTATATTATTAAAGACGACGATAAACAGTAAAATGCCGACTGTATTTTAATATGCTGGAGCAATAATATTAGTTGAGAGGACGTGATACCCACATGCTCGTGTCTCGGTCCAATTACAATGGGCGACAAAGTGAAGTTACGTAGATTTTGGAGTTAAAATGGTGGCGTTTAGGTAGAAATTTAACCAGTTTAAACGCTGGTAACAATATTTTCGAAGAGGGAAATGCGTATTATATGTAAAATATTAGCAAACAAAGAATAGTTAAAAACAATAGCAAAAGCCATTTGTGCAAAAAGGTAAAAACCAAAATAGCTGTCTGACTCTTCGTTTGACGATATTCTAGAAAAAAAAAAAGCTACGCGTGGTTTCATTTTGATTTCAGTCTAAACGTTACAAATTAAATTTTTTGAGTTACCTAATTTCATTATGTCTCCCCTTAATTTAGGGTTGCCATACGTTCCGGTACACCGGACATGTCACCGGTTTATAACTTCGGTCCCGGTCATTCTTTTAGATCCCTCCGAAAGTCCTGGTTAAGTATAAATGAAATGGCATAGTTTATAAATTATGTTTTTAAAGCTATTTTCATTTAAATACAATTTAATTTCATGGTGGACTGGTCATAACGCAAATGTTGAAAGAATATTTTCACTGATAATGTTAGCCAGGTAACCCAGTAAACCAAAGAACGCTACGATTGTCTTAAAATCGTAACAGTTGAATGTATCATTAAATGCAAATTTAATTTCAAAATGACTTGTGCACGATTACACACCTACGTCGTTAGGAAATTTAGTAGAACTACTAAAACGGGTCAAAAAGTCTGATAAATATAATATTTCAATGAACTATAATGATTTTATGGTAGGTGTTTTTATTCTCAGTCCGACTGTTATACGGTTAGTTGACGGAGACGGTAAATGCCGATAGCACGTCCTCTCTTAAGACGATACACTTAATAATGATTAACGGTGTATATTATGATAATAATATATTCGAAAACGGAAAAATTAACCGCGACGAATGGACAGTATAATACTGTAATGATACGACGACTACGGTATAATACGGAAATACAATATTATATAAGTAATATTTCAAAGATATAGCTATGGGTAACGAAGAAAATATACGCGGCGACAAAATGTGTGTAAAAATATTATTTTACAAGTAACATTCGAGTGCGTGAAATGCATATTATATTCGGCGGGACGAAACGTCTTTTTTGCTTAATATAAATTGCAAAATTTATGTTTTCCTAAACGGTTTTACCCGTAAAATATAAGTACTCGTCGTTTGTTCAATTTCCGTTTCGAGCAGCATTCAATCATTTTTTGACCTACCCGACGACGTGGTTTCTTATGGTAAATGTATAGATATTTTCTACGTTGTATAGTAATGCTAATTGCTAAGGATTGGTTTTCATACGCACAACTCGATCGCAATAATTAATAGCCAATACAACAATGTATTTTATTATCGGTTTCGAAAAATGTTTATTCTCTATTTGAAATCGTTTTCACGCGGAATGTTCGCGAATGAATGTAGAATTTGTATGCACGTTCGTTAAATAAATACGAATATTTTACATTGGGTAGGTTTATTTTTCTAACAAATCCTCAAAAACCTTTAAATTACATGCATTTTATTTAAAACCATATGGTTTTATTCGAATTTAGAACGAGTTGTACCGTACAGACGACACAATTGAGTGCAACCAATAAATACGGCCCAACGGGAGGGACATTAAATGCGTACAGAAATCCCTCTTCTTCTTTTGTAGTTTTCACAGCCCACCATTTAGAACCGCTTCACTGTTTCCACAGTTTAATGTATTACTTTTCAAATTTTCATTCTCTATAGGTATATTCCATCCTTGAGCACATTTGTCAAGACTGCAGTCTCCACCCTCAGATCTTTTCGCGTCGTCGCCAGGTTACATATCCAACCCGCCCGTTTTCCGCCATATCAAGTGGCGGATATCGGGGAGGGGGGTGTTTGGTGGATCGCCCTCCTCCCTTGAAATTATTGTCACCGCTATATATTATTATTTACAACTTAATACTTAAGAATTTATGTAGGTATAGAGGAAATTTTGTACATTTACGATACCCCCCCCCCACCCACGGGATAAATGTCTTGAATAATCACTGGAGGCAATAAACCTCATAACCTCTGTGGATTTGAAAATCGTCCCTCCCCTTCAGAACTAGGATATATCCGCTACTGGCCATATCTTTTAGTACTCCTGACGAAACGCTTTTGATATTTGCTTTTATATATATATGTATACAGAATATTATACTTCCTCGTTTGTTCCTAGCGCTAATAATTATTATTGTTATTGTAACACGTCGAGACTTCGCGTATTGTAGGAACGCGAGCGGTTTTTCGCGGCGCACAATGCGTTTACATACTGGGGTACCAGCCGCTGGGCGTTTGTCGATATATTATGCGGACGGGACCCGCTGCAGACGACCATGCATGACAATGCCATCCTTGTTAGTAAATTTCGTCGTGTAAGTAATTTATATTATACTCGTGTGAAACCGCGGTCCGTCTCTCATTCTCTCGTTATAATATATTATAATATTATGTTATATTGATTAGCGAACGCGCGCGTGCAAACACACAAACACCAAAAAAAAAAAAATACTCGCAAACACACTACACGAGCTACGCTCGCTGAAAAAGTTTTCTTCTACAGCCGAGTGCATTATTAGACATACTCTACGACACACTACCATAATAATATATCGTATTATATTATATAATATACGTACCGTGTAGTAGTGGTAGTAATAGTAGTAGTAGTAGCAGTAGTAGTAGTAGTAGTAGTAGTAGTAGTAGTAGTAGGTATAGATAGGTAGGTAGGTAGGCGTATATACGCGAATAATATATGTCAGTGACCTGGCCCGACGACGACGACGACGACGACGAAGACGACGAAGACGTTTATACGGATAAATAATAAAGAAAACGCATGGCGACGACGACGACGGTCTACGAAAATTTCAATGCCGAAGAAATGCGTTTTTTTTTTTTTTTACTCGTTGTCACTTATATAGATGTGTAATATTATATTTTATTGTTAATAACGTACACACGACAATATATAATATTATTATATCGGGTGTACAGGGCGATTATTATTATTATATTTTAACACGCGTTTCTATATACAGAGGTACCTATATATATATATATATATATATAATATATGCGTGAATCAGCATGATTATCCGGCACGAAAATGTCGAGTAAATTTGACAAAATATTACTGCAGCGGTCCATATAATATTTGTATAATGATTTAGTATATTATTTTTTAAATTTTACGCATATTCCGTAAACCGCGAATGGACATGAAATATTGATTGTTATTATAATTAGGATCCGGATTGCGCTGAAAACTATCGAAAAATGATCTAACAAATTGCAAAAAAATATGCTTTTCTTAACGAAATAATATCCTTGAAAATGGAAAAACTGCTCGTGTATTTTATACCGCCCCAGGGTAACATTCCGAAAATATTGTAAGACGATTAGACCGGCGGCGGTTGCCAAAACTTTTTAGGTAGTGAGGACAGTGGACGCCCTTTTCGAATTCGGTCACGGCGTGCGGTTTCCAATGTATCGCGACCGACGCGAATCGAAAATTAACACCGCGGTCCCCGTGGTTAAAAACCGATTTAAGTAACATTGCGTTAAATACATAGGAGATGGTGGTGGGGGGGGAGTAGGAGAACGAGAAAAATTTTACGAAAAATTGAATTATATAAAACTGAAAAAACGTGCGACGCGTGTAGACAATTGCTGTGAAAATCGACAAAAACAAATTGCGATCGGTTGTAAATTGCCCCTCCCCCCTTCCTCCGTAAACTGCGGGACCCTCGGAATCGCCCAATAGGACAACGCGGTTCGGGAATCGTAGCATTATTCGACGACGTTCCATATACGTCATCACCGTATTGTCAGAACGTCAGGAAAAAAAGGAAAACCCGACGACGTCTTCATCGTGTACGCCGGATAACCGCCTCCGGTTCGTGATAAAAATAACAATCCCACAAACCTTCGGGATATCGTCTCTCGCGAGCGATAATTGAAAACGATCATCGTGGTCGCGGCGAGTTCAAACCCACGAGCGTACAATAATAATATTATTAAAACAGTATTATACATCACCAGTATCATGGCTGCCTACGCGCGTTCGTTTATTATTATTTTTGTACACACGAAACACGATCCACGCATTAAGATGCGATTTTCGCATGTCGGCAAAAACGGAAAAATCGGTCGATTGCATATTATTATCGTGCACAATGTTAAAAAACATTAGTACATGCACAATGTATTTAAACAACCCGTCGCGTTTTGAATAACGAAAAGAAAAAAAAAAAGAAAAAGAAAAAATATCTCGGAAAAAAAAAAATCAAAACGTTAGCGAATAATCCATTTTCGTATTGTATATTATATAAAATAGTTTTTGAAAGGTTTTTTTTTCTTTTTCAATGTAACCAAAGCCTATATACCAATACTCTATAGTATACATAATATTATATACACGTAACGCGTTATTAATTTTTCGTTCGGACGAATTGCATTCTTCTGCGCGGGCACTTTTTCGTTTTATCACGATAATAATAATAATAATAAAAAACAAAATTAATATTATAATTATTAATATTATGCAGTCTTTACCGGGAACCCTAAGGCGCGCGCGCGTACACGTCGCATCTGAAACATTAAATCGATTTTTATTCGCGTCGATAAACTGCACAATATAATAACACCGCCATATATATTATACGATTCCATCGTGTAATCATAGACAAAAAAAAAAAAAAAAAAAAAAAAAGACAAAAAAAAAGTAGAATGATACTGCAGACTGTAGTACGCCACTGATTTAAGAGGAGGGAAGTCGGAAGGGGAGTGTTTAATGATAAACATAGGTATATACGTAGAATAATATTATGCGCATGGAGATAAATCGATTTGTTAACAAAAAACGGTTCTGAGCAAAACCGGTCTTATTCTTGTATTACCTCCTTGACAAAAATCGACTGCCAGGTTTTCCCATATCCATTTAGTTAGAAATATTACAAAAAAAAAAAAAAAAAAATTGAAAAATTACCATCTCAATAAGTGCGTCGACTGATTGAAAATGTTACAAGAAAGTTCCTACAAAGTTATTGGTCGGGGGCGATTGATTTCTGATAGAAAAGTCGTTTACATGACATATACACTCAAAACAAAAACAAATCAACTTGTTTCTCACGATGGGCGGACCACTGTAGTAGATGAGAAGTTGGAAAGGTATAGAGGGGAAATTTAATGTACGCAATAATTAATCATTGCTAACGAAAAACGATTCAAAGCTGACTTCGGTTATATACATGTTTTGAAAGGACGTAATATTTACGATTTAAAAATAATACGTTTTGTACATCTTCCCATTTATACCCGGTTTTTCCCATTTATTATGATAACCCATGGGAAAATTAAAAAATTACCCCTTAAAGTACCACTTCAGGAAAATTTTTTTTCAGAAAAGGTGCTACACACACAATAGTAGTAAAACCCATACATTTTTAAAAGTATAGAAAGAATAATAATTTTTTATCACAATATAGTTATTATTTTAGAACGTATTAAAAAACGGTATAGTAGTTATACTACAACACTATAGTAAATATTAAGTGAATTGAAACGCGTAATAGTTAGTTGGTACTCTCTATTCGATCGCGCGAACATTATTATTCTTGGATTTGTAATGTTGAAACATATAAGTTATTAAGTTATGTTAGTACTTTATTAGTCGATATTTTGTCGGTTTTTTTTTGCTTAACACGACGATTCAGATTGTATTTTTCGAACGTTGTCATGTTTTTCGAAATAAAACGTAACGAAACGACGACATAATAATTCAATAACACGTTACGTATTACACGGTAAATTATTACAGTGATGACGATAACACGATTATTATTATTATTATTATTACTCGAATTTAATGACGATAATTTTGTTTTGTTCCTTGACAAATTACGGCGGAATAATGTATAGGTATCATATTATCATTACTATGTTTTTCTTGATTGAAAAAAATTTAAATTTCTATGGAAGAAAACCGTTCGACGACATTTTTTTCCACGGATTTATATTGGTAAAGTCGATTACACGGAATTCACAGAAAATCCACCTCATTAAATACGCACCCGTTACCAATAGTAATTATTATGGGTATTTACATCACGAGCGAGTAGAATATAACACATTTTATTGAAATTTCTTAAACTTTCCCGTCTGGTAGATAAAGCACAAATAAAATTGCGACATATAATACGATAATAATATATTTATATTGGTCATTCATCAGAATCGTTTCAAAGTTTAACGTGCTAAGGAAAGTTCCGTCCGGGTTTTTCTGCATTATTTCTACTTATAAATATTAAAAATGTATATGGTCAATCATTGCGGATGAACATTATAACTAATGGGTTCGTAGCGTTTTTCGAACAAAAAAAAGTTTTTCCATCGTCGAGAGGTCTTAATATTATAATTTGAGATATTTTTATTGTATAAGTTATGTTTTATTATACATATTTATTTTAGATCTCGCGAGAAGTTAAAATAGTTTCTTTCCGCGGTAAATATAGGACCCCCCGTTTAATTTAAAAGCGGTATAATCATTATAATAGTACCTATATAGTTTGATAGAAATGTATCGGGAAAACTAACAAATAGTGCTAAAGGGTAATAAATTACTATCAAATCGTTATAGGTAATTGGTATGGATTTTTTTTTTTACCGGTAGGTACGTTAATAATTTTTACGTACAGGTATAAAATGGCGTATAATAGGTGGTAAACCGGTCGCGTTTAAAGGAGTAAAACGTTTATGGGAAAACGCAAAAATACGACTTGTATCAAATTAATAAATAATTATCACCATGTACTATGTATCAGCATAACAAATGTGGATAGAAGAAAAGTAAAGAAAATCAAATCGTCGTACAATTTCTTTACCTATAGAATATAATATATATATATATTTTTGTATAATCCACTCGGAGTAGATTTTGCCTGGTTCATATTTTTATTTTATACCGTCACCCGCCTCCGATGGATACTTTTTTTTCGTTTCTTATGAGCTTAAAGAACGAGACGAGTATTCTATAGACGTGGCGATTCGATTATAGGATTTTTACATTTGGTTGAAAAAAAAAAAACAACTGAGCATTACAGAAAAATAACACGTAACAAACTTATATATAGAAAAGAGAAACTTTTTCTAAACAAAAATTATTATCCTCGACCGGATAAAAAAAAAAAAACCGTAAAAGCAAACGAGAACATAAAATCCATGTATCTTTAATGTTATTATATAGATACAGAGGCGTAACCGAGGGGAGAAACAAGGGGGCTACAGAGTCCCCCCATGAACTGGGTTTATGTATGTATACTGTAATTTACGATTTGAGTGTTAACTACTTTTCAGTTACCTTATTCCACTCTTGCAGATAAAACATTTTCTACACCGATTCGAAGATATTAATGAAAATTATATAATTACTGCCTTTGCTCAAAATTCTCTTTTATATTAGGATGCAATTATCGGAGAGAGGAAGTATAGTTATAAGTTATGCCAAGATATTACATAATGTATAATAATTATTATATTCTTATTTCATTGTTGAGTTTTTCGTTGTACAAATTTTCGTTTGTAAGTATTATGCTGAATGCATATTAATTTTGTTGGGAGGGGATGGGTAAAAACCCTTTCCCTTCCTTTATCTATGCCCACTTGTCAAGCAAAATTGTAATTAGCTTTTATACAATTCAAAATTCTGGCTACATCACTGCAGTATAATATGTATACTTATGTATAAATTAAACTTCTGTTTTAGACAGCGCGCTGAAGGAGCGGGTATAAATATTTGTAATGTGTGTTATTATTTTTTTTAATAATTTGAATGATTATGTAATAGTAATTCATGTTTTATTGATTTAGTAGAATTATCGTAAATGACATTAATCTCCAACATAACGAATTAGACAATCCGTAGACAACTTTAATATTGATTTAGCCTAAAAAAGATTACGGAAGAAAAATAAGAAAAAGTCCTAGTTATAATATTATTTTTGTATTAATAAATGTTATACATTCAGCCAAATTTTTTGACGAAAAGTCGTTTTTTTATGTTTAATTTTTTAAAGTTTTGAAAATTACTTCGTATAGTATAAGAAATAATACAATCGAATACAATAAGGAGAAGTACTTATAATATATTTTATTCTTCAAAACGGGAACTTATTTTGCACAATTTATGTTTTTTTTTAAACCGCAATTAGTAATACACGGGTAGGTATGTATAATGTCGGTATACGAACAGGTTTTAATTATTCTTTTTGTTTTGCTTGTAATTGTTAAGTCATATTGATATTTTGTTAGAAGTTAATAGAAAAAAAAAACTACATAAAAAAGGACTGTGTTTTTTTTTTTTTTAGATAATATGAAGAACGCATAAAACTAAGAATTATAGAATAATAAAGTATAGATAATAAAATACCTATAGATAAATTGCATACGTGCTACAATGCGCATGTAGCTATGGTGGAGTGACTTTATTGTTCTAGTGCGGTATACTAACTTAACAAATCCCATCGGCCACCCTCCCAACTTATTTTAACAGTAACAGTTCATATTTCATACCTAGATTTCCGTAGTACACTTACTATGTTTGTATAGTCGATAAAATAAAACAATACAAAATTCTCTTTTAAAAGATTAAATCGGTGATATTACGATGGTATTGATACTTTGTACGTATAACTTCATCTTTACGATGCAACCCGAGTGCCTTCGAATCACCACTACTGTCCGAATCGTGTGCATAGCAATAAATTGCTATACACTTTATCCATAGTTTCGGCGCCACTGAGTATTAATGGTATTAATAATTATATAAATGAGAGCACGAAATTGCTTTTATACACGGACAATAATATCGTTAATCATTTTTAACATTCCGATCATCATATCGGCAATTCTCTCCAACTCCAATAAGACGACCGAAATATCCATTTTTGGTCGGTTTGTAAAGTTTTCAATTAAAAATAATACCAATCGCGTAAAATATAATATATTTTTTATAAAATTTACAAACACATTTGTTACTTTCCTTCTCGCATACTTTGACGAATTGACACATTACTGAGCTAGCATACTCTAAACATTCTTCGACCATACCGTAAATTACAGAAAACAACTTTTAAACTATTCTTGTTCTTCGCCAACTTTCCTTTACTCGGTTTCCGATTCCACTGTCTTATGACTTTTTAACACAGTCTGTTCACCTTCAAATTGGTCTCCCTAAAGGCATTTTTCCTATGGGTTTAATCGTCTTATTTTTAGTTCTCTGGAGAAGGTAATTAATCTAAAAACCAGTCTTGTCCACAGTATCATTTATTCGTTATTTGCATATTTTCGACGTTATCTCCGTTTTCACACCGTTCTCCTGGCGTTATAATCTATTTCAAATATTTAAATTGTGGCGTTCTTCTGAACGTGCGTCCTAATATATCTCAATGTGTTGATCTAATCCATCATTTTCATTTATTCAGCTGACAATTAAGTATTCCCTCGACAATTTATTTCAAAACAATATCGTTGAAAGTTCGTCGGACTTTCGCAGATGTATTTCGTTTCCGTTCGTTAAAAAAATAAAAAAAAGCAGTAAAAAATGAACCAATATACAGTGAATATGAAGCGGCATCAAATAACTTAAAACGATTTTAAATCTCGTATTTACTATATTACTATATTTTCGAGACATCTTACCTGAAAAAATTACGTGGCGTATCAAAAAATGTGTTTCAACATTTTAAAGAAGCGAAATATCCACGAAATATGTATGAAATAATATAATCATTATAGTAATAATACTGTAATAATAATAATAGTAATTGAATTATCGTGTCGAATTAAAAACAATTATAGTATATTAGTATAATGTATTACCGACGTACAGGTACTCTGAACCCAAAATTATCGGGTTTAATTTTGCGTCAGTGTACAGTCAGTGTTTATCTATGTATATTATATCCTAACATTATCACTGACTGTTGTAATGAGTATGTGTGTACCACATTAATCGTTAATTAATATGCTCGATAATTTTCCTATGGAAACGTTGAGAGTATCGATAATACCGCATTAGTAGTGTACGCACAGCATTTTCAACACTATTAGCATATACCAATTATTATTGGTGTAGCGACTCGTATCAATATTTATTCTGTCGTAGTGCTGACCTCAATGTTATATCGGAAATTAAACCGGCATAGAATCAGATAATTAACCTAGAAACGGTAACCAGTAATACGACGACGCGTTATTAATTTTGTTTTACTAAAAGCACGTTATAGTATGTGGCCCATATACTTGACCACCGAATTTCGATTTTCGTTTATAAAAAAAATGCTGAGACTATCGATGGATGTTTTTTCCACTGTTTTTTAAAAGGGACGGTAAAAAAGTCGGATGTACATTATATAGAGCACCTAATTTAATTTATATCTAAAGCAACGAAAAACCTATGCTAATGAAAAATGATTCTGATCAGAGTGTTATAAGTCGTATTTTTTTTCTTGCTGTAATGTAACAACCCAGAAATCGACAGAAATATACAAAAAGTTTTCCCCAATTGTTAAGAAAACTACAAGGAAAATTAAAGAATCGCTTTCTCAATGTTCAAAAACACTACAAGAATGTTCCTGTACAATTTTAAATTGGAACAAGATTTCTGGTAGAAAAGTTGTTTGTAGACAAAAAATAAAATAAAAATCACACCATAGTAAAATAAATATATTTTTCGTTTCGCCCAGAATCAAAAAAAAAAAAAATATATATATATAATCGATATATTATATTCATTTTAAAACGTTGGTCAGAGTAAAGTGCAGCTGAAAGTGCCCAAGAAGCTTTTTTTCTCTTCTAAATGACACTTGGCAATTTATAGTTCTCATAATAGCATTTGATTTTTTTTGTTTTTAAAAAATAAGAAAAGTTTACATTTTAACGAAAGACACGATATTCAATATGCAATGTTATTATGTAAATAGTAACTACAGTTCCTTGGTAGACTGCTTTAATATACAAATAATAATTGTTTTTCTAATACAGATTTATTATTACGATTAGCTCAATCGGTCTAATCGATCAGTTTCTAAAAATCTTTCTCGGCCAATCCGTTATCATTTCTAACATCGTTTCACGGATTTTGTGTTTATAACGTAATTCCTTTATTTATTTATTTTTATTTTCCTTTCCGGCGAAAGCGTTAATTATATGAAATTAATAAATTGCCGTCGCGATAATCGCGTTGTCGTGATCAATGCCCTCGGTGAGTATACCTTAGGTCTTAAATTGGTGACGTTTTATCGATTCCAAATTACGATTTCCAGCACGAAAGGTAAGATCTTGTTGTTGTTGTTGTTTTATAGCGGTTTTTTAATTTTTTTTACTCGACGTTGCACTACGCCGCGCATGACTTTGTAAATGTTCAGGATTGAAAAAAAAAAAAAAAAATTATTTTTTTTTGTGTGTGCCATGCGGATATCGGACGGCGGGCTACAAAAAATAATTGTTCGTCCGACTGTGTCGGCCTTGAAACATTATGTTGCTGACCGAGCGCACGACTTCTTGACTAGCGTAGTTGGCCGTTTCCACAGAGAAGAATCGCGCGCAAATTTGCCCAGCGGCGATTTGCCCCCTACTGGCGGCGTTTATTTTTGTGCGTCGTTTTGGCGTTTTACCCAATATATATTTATATTGCAATAATAATACGTGTTAGAAAACATAATAAATACCTACTTGATAATTGTTATAGTAATTTATTTATTATAATTAAGTCCCGAATTGTCGAAAAATCGTGGTCTATTAAAATATACATAAAACATAGTTTGGGGGGTTGACGACCGTTTCCGCCACGGTCGACAATTCTCTTTTCGAAATTTACCCGATGGATTTGTTTTTAAATTACAAATAGCGAACACGTGTATGTAAATATAAAATAAGTATATTTATATATCATAGCGTTTGTACATAAAATACAATACCGATGCCGATACCCGGAAACAAATCCGACTGATAAATAAATAAACAGATTAGCAATCGACTTAGTAACGCAGCAACGGATCTGATAATAAACAAATAGTAATACCTACATTTGAAAAAAAATAACGCGCAAAAACGGTTTACCGTAGGTCACATATCTATTTCCAAAATTATTTCTAAAAAAACAAGGTTTTTTAAACGTTTAGATTTGTTTTTGTTTCAAACGCGGTCCAATTTCGCTATCCAATGATTACCGTTTAACACATATTGTTGTTTATGATGTATTTATTTTTTTCGGTCTCAAACAAACTATCACATTATAGCTAACCGTTCGCGCGGGTCTATTCGAACTCGGCCGAACTGTGGCGGAAGTGATCGCCAAACACAAAACTGGAACAATTCGCTTTCGTCTATATACACGCGTCTAAATAACCGTTTTTCCCCCTTTGCGCACGCACAACACCCGTTTTTACGCAAGAGTACGCAACACGCTAATTTTAGCATTTTACGATCCGTTACGTACGCCCGGTCGTCGGTAGGCGCAGAAGCAACCGGGGGGGGGGAGGGGGGGCGGTCAGGTCTGCAGGTTAGATTCAAACCGGCCCGGGCCTCGGAGCCGATTGTTTCGCCCGCAGCGGCACTCCGCCCGACGGTCTCACAAAACGCAATACGTTATAGTTTATCGAGTTTATGGTATTATTGTTGCATTATTGCTATTACAATGCATTATGCGAACGTCGCCATGTAGCGTGTAAATAATAACGAAAACAACAACAACAACAACAACAAAGTCGCAACGCGCAGTTAAGAGCGGACGGCTGCGGCGACGAGGGTACAAGTAACCGCGCGCGGAGGAGCCTATACCGGAGACCCGAAGACCGTTACAATACGTGATTCTTTTTTTTTTTTTCCCATCCGTCCGGTATATTATTAAATCGTTCCGACAAGACAATAATAAATAATACATTATTTATACCTGCGTATAACAGTATTAGTCGCATATACGAATAATATTACAGTACACGAGTGCACCGCGAACGCATTAGTACATGCGACAATATTAAATATTCGGGTATTTTTTATTTTTTTTTTCTCCTACTCCGTCCATTGATTCATTTCGCGAATAATTTATGTGATTTTTTTTCTGTCTCTCTCTCTCTCTCTTTCTCGTATAACAAAACATCTTTCTGGTAAATGATTACACGACGCATTATACGTCATATTATATATTGTATAACCTATATTACGTACCGAATCGTAGGCGAAAAACAAAAACTTTAGAATTAATTTTGCTAAACGACAGTACAGTAATAATTTCGGTACAACTGTCGAATTTCAATATCACCGTTAGACGGGTTTCGCATTAGTTATTTTTTCATTTTTTTTTTTTTTTTTTTTTATTATTTCTTCTTTTACGGATACATTTATGTACGCGTTGATTAAACGTGAAAATTGACTTGTAGACAAATTCGCAACCAAACTGTTGTATTCATAGTTTATACTATTGACTAAACGCGGTATATGTTTTTGATTTATACAACGTAAACGTGTATCATACTTGAAATTGTTTTTTATGTTCATCACCTATATTTCTCTCTATCTATATATATATATATATATATATATATATATCCTCTCTGTAATTCGTACCGATCCAAGGAAATGGTTCGTAATAATTGTCCCCGTGTTTTTTCTATTTCAAGAAGCTTTTCACTTCTCGGTATGAATTATGAATCGCATTATCGATCTTCTACAATTCGGATTTAGTATTGTAATCTTGATAACCAACTGTATAGTGTTTTCCTTCTATCATCACTTTCATGCATAATCCAAAAAAACCCCCACGTCTGAGAAGATTAGTTTCGATTTTTTTTTAAAAAATATTTTTCCACAATAATCTGCAATTTTATAAGCAAAATTTTCTCATTATAGCGACCCTATCAGTCCAACTTGTTTTCTCCAGTCGTCTACCCGTTTAACAATCGTAACTCATGTTTCTAAACGTGTTTTGTATTTGTATACAATAATATACGTTGTTGTTTTAACTATTACAGATTTCCCAACAGAATACTTTCCAATGGATTATTTTTCCGGGCCTAAGAAAATACATTTCGAGTATGTAATACGCGTTCTGGTAAAATGTTTTCCAACAAAATACAGCTCTCCCGCTCCGTTGTGGTCGTAGACATGTATAATAAACTGACTGTAGGAAGCCAACATAATATAATATTGCATCTACGGTTTATATATAGGTAATAAGTTGATATACGAGGAGCTATAATACGAAATAGCGTACTACTAAAATAAACAACCATAACCGCTATTGTTCGACGATTTTCGTTATAAAAGCTCAATGTCTATACTCTCTCTCTCTCTCTCTCTCTCTACTTCGTCGTATTATAATAACGCGGTATAAACCATTATTGTAATATGGTCGCCGTTATTACTGTTGCGTCTATTGCGGAACAAAATATTACAATAGTTGGTAAACTCAACCCCGGAGGAGGAAGAAGACGAGTATTTTGTAACTTGATATCATTGAAATGCCGATTGAGCGAGATTACAATCGTGACAAAATAAACGAGTACGCCGCCGGGGCGGCAGTTGTATACGCATAAAAAGGTTACAGCTGCCGATTTGCTGTATATTATGCTCCTATAGGTGTGCCCGGGGAACGGGGGAGATAGGGGTCAATGACCCCCCCCCAATTTGATCAGGAAAATAATTTATGTGTATAAATTATAATTATTATTATTATTACTAATCACATTTACAATTTACCGGTTTTTATTATAAAATGATAGTTCAGTTCGACAATATTACGTTTATAATAAACTAGATAAAATGTTAAGAGGACGTTGTACTCGCATGTGCTGTCTTCGTCTAAAAATCCTACACGTTTTCGTTTAGCCGCAGGAAAAACTCCGTGTCGTTAGTTTTATTATTAGAGTGAATTGATGTGTCGTGTCATCGGTTTTTTTTTTGAAATTTTAATTTTAAGCGAGATATGAGTGTGTGAAATATTATGAATTAAAAATAATTATATCTCGCTTGAAAATTAAAACTATGAAAAAAACGACGACGTGAAATATATTATGTTCTTATCTTTAAGTTTGATAATAGGTAGGTCAATTCACTCTAACATGGAGTCCTTAAAATGGACAACACAGAGTTGTTCCCGCTGGTCGAATTTCTATGTAGCGTGGTTGTAAGACAGAGACCGCGAATGTGGGTATAACGTCCTCTTAAGAGAATATCAGTGCTGCACTATTTGTTTTCTCTCTCTGATTCACGTGTAATATATAGCAAATTTGCGTTTAGCAAAACCAAACTGGTGTTTTTAGCTTAAGTATTAAAGTAAATTGACCTATTATCAAATTTAAAGTTAAGAAAATTATTCATGTTTGTACGTTGGCCTTTTTTATGATATTTGTATGGTAAAGTAAGTTACGGGTGTAAAATATTACAATTTGAAAATGCTCATATTTCGTTTTGAAATTGAAATATGTGAGTGAAAAATAGATATACATATATATTACGAGTATATGTTAAGTATTTTTTATGAATTTCACACATAGTATCAAAAAATGCGTCAAAAAGGAAAACGTAAAAATTATTGCATTTAGAGTACATTTAAATATGAACAAATGTATTATCTCTGTATTTATATGCATTGCTAGGTGTGTTTAACTAAATCCATAGCATATGCCACTGCTCCTATATAGACACCCGACACTATCGATCTTCGAATTCCAAACGAAAAATGCACAAACAAATATAACATTATCGCGATACGATTTTTTTCAATTAGTATGGCGGCCGTTCAGAAGCGGACACGCGATGCTGGACGCCGTCAAATTCTTAGTGCCGCGGCTGCGCAGTAATCTCGATATACGAGTATACTTATTGCTGAAATATACATCTTATGCTATATAAGGTGCTTGTTTGTTTTATCACGATTACAATTTTTTTTTTGTAATATTAAAACACGATGCGTTTTAGCCTACTATAGGTTTGGCTTAGGTACTTGCAGTAATACACAGGCACAGAGATACAAATTGGAATCGGTAAAAAGACGAGGAGATATTTGTATTATTATAATTTTTGTTTTATGGGTGTGCTGCGTTATTATTTTGTACGCTGACACACCGATATATACCTATATACGTTTTTTTTTTTTTTCTATAATCGTTCGCTTTATTATTCGGACGAGGGTAAATAATAATACAAAACTCCACGATAATATTATTATTATTATCATCATCATCGGACCGCACCTATCTTATTATCCGTCGCCGTCGTATTTGGATTGTACCGCAGCGCGTTCCCTATCCCTTCCCCCAAGTGCTCGTTTTTCACACGCGTGTAATAATTCGTTAATGTTTTACCACTCTCGTATACCTGTGTATTGGTAGGTACACGACGAACGTCTGGTGGTTGCGAGCAGCAGCACTCGGGCGCCGTTCACACCGTATAGACAATATTTTATGGATAGGATATCTCATCATAATACGATAATATTACTTCGGATATTTTTTCGTCGGGCTCGGAAAGCATATACAATATCAAATACTCGTTACCAAACTGGTTACACGCGTGTTTACGGTCGGTGTTGGTAACTTAAATGGGGGACGGTGCCGACGAGCGTATACTTATATTATCCCGCTTGATTTCGCTATATACATTATTATTACGGTATTATTATTATTATTACAATAATAATCCAACTGTCCAACTATTATAGGTATCGTCAAGTGACGGAGCCACGAGTCTAAATGAATAGCGAGATGGTCCCATCCGAGTATTTGGATTTCGGACGAGAATCTGACAATGAGGCCTAGGCAGCAGCAGAAAACGACCGTCGATTTTTAAAAACCTATAGTTGCATTTGCTCCGGTAATATCGAATGGCTAAAAGAGTATTGGCAATATCAAGTGTCTGTACTCTAGTGCTTCACGAAATCGCACACCTTGTGCCGTGAGGTTGGAACGATTTTTATTTTTATACATATTTTCTCATATTCGTAGACACTCGTTTTTAAACGCATGTTTGCAGAACAACGTTTTGCGAGTCCTAGGCCTGGTCTCGGGTGAAAAAAAATGGACGTGTTATTACGATGTACGCAAACGAAACAAAAATAGAGTTGTGCGCAGGTGAGATGTATACACGTATCAGCACCCGATCACCTAAACCAGTGGTGACCAACCTTTTTTCATAGAGGGCCATTAAAAATAACAATAATTCTTGGTAGGCCAAGAATTTTAACGTTTACTTTTAAGTTAATATATTATTTTATTTTATTGTAGGTACATCTTAATATACAGTGATATATTTAATTATTTATTATGTTTTGGTTGTTATAAATGAGAAACAAAAGCAAAGTATAAACGTGTCATTTTTTTTTTTTAATATGAGTGTTAATTTTTGATTTTAAAACACTTTGGCGGGCTGATTAATAAACATTCGCGGGCCGTAGTTGTTCACCACTGCCCTAAACGGTACACGCACATTTATTTTCTATCGCTGGAATTGCTGCTTCGATAAGAATGCAAATAATATGACCATTGTCGTATATAAGCAGCAGCTATTACCCGGTCGAAAAAACACCACGCGGCGGGTTCGTTGGTAATTATAATTCCGCCGTCTTTGGCTGGCTACGAATATCGTCGATTGCGCGGCGAAAAAGAAACACGCGAAAAAAAATCATCAGACGACGAGGAGAACATTATCATCATTTTTTTTTTTTGTTCGCCGATAATCGACCTTGTTCGCTGTACAAATAAAAGTCGATATCGTCGACAGACCGCGGGCACAATAATGGTTATACAGATATATTATTGGACCAAAGTACGGGTAAAGAAATTTATAGTCTTTCTATAATTTTAATTTTCTAACCGATATCCAATGAATAATAAAATTATTTTCAACGTGTGTCGATTGTGTATCCGGCAAAAATGTCATTGTAAACGATACATTTACTGTAAACTATATTTTATACTCAATTATTAGCTTTCCGTGTCGACCGAAATTTCAAACGATTAAGACTGCGCTCCGAGATGTTTTCATTTTTGGAATTCGTGATTTCTGCATGTTAATGTATTTTTCTATGAAATTATGAAATAATTTGTAGAGTAGGTAATAGCGTAGTATAGTATATTAAATATACGTATAGTTCCTATAGTAATTAACCAATGGTATGGTTTTAATATTATCAGTTTTTCCTTATGGCAGACTCGGCCGAATCGCATTAAATGTTCGAGATAAAATTACTAAATAAACACCCGCGGTGTTATTGTTGTACAAAACGCTTAATCTCCGCTCTCCCGCACACGCCCCCGGGTTCAGATGCACCCGGTTAGACGACGGTCTACGGGTGTCGCGTGTATAGCTGCCCGCCGCGGCGTGTCGTCGTCGTCGTCGTCGCTGTCGACCGTTACTGGCGAAACGCGCGCGAATGTCGCCTACCGGAGAAATATTCTAAAAATCCGAACAGCCGAAATTATTGTTATTCTTATACGCGCATACGCGTGTGTAACATATTATCATTATTGTAGGTACGTATACGCGGTGTCCGTGCTGCAGGACAACGACGCGATGATGCGCGCTCCTCTCGCATCGCGCGGTATCTCACGTACGACGACGACGGTCTTTGTGCACGCGTACATACGTGTAATGATTTTCGCCGGTCCAAACACGACGTCCGTAACTCGGATGTGTCCGCGTGCCGGACTCTTCACCGCTGCGACACCCGAAGGAAGGTAACTGCACTCGGGGCCGACGGAAAACACGGTATACGGGGCAACACGGATAACTGCAATGGTAATTAATTTGATCGAGTATTGTGCGCGGATACAACAGCGCGCGGTCGATGAAATGTGAACGATTTGCTCCACGCGCGTTGGAAATATATTGTCTACCGCCGACTCTGACTACACAACGTAGTGTAGATCACGGATAACAACATAAATTAATGGTCCTTAGCTTATCACATGGTCGGTTTCAGGGTTAAACGCCAGAATGTATCCCGCGCAGACTGTTTTAGGGAAAGTGATAGGACGGAAAGAGAAATGGCATCCGCCGCAAATACCGATACAGATGGCCTTTTTTTTGTGAGTAAAACTATGTAATACACGAAAGGCGAAATTTAAACCGTCTACCGGTGAAGAATACAAATAGACTCGTGACGTTTTTACACAATATAGTACATTAAATATACTTATGAAATGTATTTAACGTATGCCACAGCAAACGGGAAAATCGTGCTTTTTCAGTCGTGCCATTTTTCGAGCGGGGCCCCGCACCCCCACAAGGGCGCGACGTTAGATCCGTTTCTTTATTATCCGCGATATTATGTGGGCAAGTTTAATTGTGGTGGTCGTCGATTTTTGGAATTATTCAGTATTAAATTTCACAATATATTATTATTATATTCCTATACGCGTGAGCTCACACGCACACACACACCACGTGCGCTAACACCCTTATAAAAATTAAAAACAACACATCTGTCGGACATATGGTCGTCGTGTGCGCTCACGTTTTTTTGTTTTATTTTGTTCTTTTTTTAAATATTACGTGTAAATATATATTTATATATATACACATTCAAGAGCGGATGTTGTGCGAGTACGTTTCGGCGAATTTATCGTAGCACGTGTCGCCCTGCAACTCCAGTAGCCGACAATGCGCACTGTGCAGCGTGCGTGTGTCTATGTAATGTAATTTACGTTGGCCCGATTGTTTTCGTGTCTATCGCCGAACCCCGTCTCGTCGGGATGTAAATAATAACATACGCGTGCGTGTGTCCGGAATTTTATTTTTAACTCAGACACTAATTTAGTCACTAAAGTCACTGCAGTAGTCGGTACAGTCACTGCACAACAATAATGTTATATTGTATATATTATGAAATTCTAAATGAAGACCGACCACATGTTCGAATTTTAACATTTTTCGAGAAAGACAAAAAACTCTATACGGTTTTCAAGAGCCGTTTGTAGGCTATACCTTTTCTAGGCGAAAACAATCTAGAATTTTCTAATATTTCATAAAATGACTGTAGAAACGCATAATACCTAACACTATATTATAACGTGGCCTATAACATTAATTAGCAACGTACTATATGGCAATTTATTTAAATATTTTTTAAAAATATTAAGACGTCATTTTGTTTTTCTTGAAATTTTTTAAAATTTGAATACGCGCCCGTTCTTCGTACAGCTGTACTAGGCGAATCGTTTTTATCGCGGACCAGCGAAGATGCGCATGAATATTTCGGGTAAATTTAATTTTGGTTTCAGTTTCAGACATTACATGGTATTATAATATAATAGACATAGAATATATTATATGATATTATTATATTATAGATTCGTTAGTTGATGTTACGGAATTGAATTATTGATTTTCAAATACCGGTCAACTCCCTCCCTATTCTGCACGTTCGTTTTTATACTCGGATTCGAACAAATACCGTTTAAACGATGGTTATTATAATACAGTTTTTAGATTTTGAATTGCCGACGTTTTTATACAGAAAATTATTCTCTTTTTTGAATTAAAATTTAAAAATGTATACATATTGGTTACTATTTGATAGTACGACGTGATTTCGGTACACGAGAATATTGGGAAATTGGTAAAATGTTGCAGAATATATCGTAAATGTAACATGTAATATTTTAACGATACGATGTTCCATAATAATGACCGGAAAAAAACCAAAATCAATTTTACACGTCGCAATCTTCGTATATAATATAGACTACATAGATAATCGCTGGTTCGTGACAAAAGAATCACCCTGTATTGTATTGTATATAGGTAAGTACACCAGTTCGACAATAATAACGATGCGGCGGCAACGACGAACACGCATAGAAAAAATAAAAAACCATTTTTCCGTTTGTTTATTTTTTTCCGTCGGATTGTTTTGTTGCGGTAGCCCTTCCCTCTTTCGAACGTGCGGCGTCCCGAGACGTTGTTCCATTATTATTATTTTCCGATCCCAACATTATAATTTATAATATTGCTCTGTTGCGTCGAATTATCATCGAATTGATACATTATTACAACGAATTTGAAAGATGAGAACATTTTCGAGATTTTCCTAAAATATTGTGAAACGAATTACTTTTGTTCAAAAAAATGTAAAAGTAACTAACGTGGCTGTAACTTTTTAAAAAAACGAAAACGCACTCGAACATTTTTTTCGATTTAAATCTCGTTTACTGTGTTAAGCTCCAATTTCAATCCATATGCCACAATTTATATCGAACGTTCTAAATCCAGCTGATAGGATCTTTATGCGTACACACCAACTGAGATATTTACTCAATTAAAATTTAACGGCAAGGGTTACGACACCCTCTTACATTTATCAATTACGATGATTAAATTAAATTTAGCTTTATATTTATATCAATGTCATAAACTCGTATTATATTTCGTTTTGTCACGTTATCAGATCAGAAATCGCACGAAAAGGAAGATTGAAAAGGAAGTCTTTTTCGTAGGCCTTTCGATTTTTTTCTTGTTTTTAAATTTCTATTTTCAACTTTTAAAACTTTCGGGTGGCCAAAGGTCGAGAAACGCCGTTCTAAACAACGTGATTTTGCTGTGTTAGTTATAGTAGTTATAGCGACACCGGTGTACATAAATACCTTCCTCTCAATACTTATATAAACACTCCCAGGACAATAAGTAAAAGCTCGCCATATCTATTTTCGTATTGTTGTTATTTCAACGATATATTATATTATTAACTCGGAAATTGCGTAACCTATGTATTTTTATAATTGCTATATTATTACAGGTAACATTATGTAGTATACGACGAGAACGTTTTAGGAGAAAACGTCGTAGGTTATAGACAACTCTTTCTCTCTCTCTATACATCATATATATTTATCGTATCTACCGTGTACGTTTATGTTTCTCTCTATAAATTATTATCATCAATATAATATAGTTTTAATTCTCAAACCGTATAGGCACCCGGTAATATATGAGTTATATTATTATTACTATATAGTATGGATTATGATTTGTTTACGCGGTGTATGTAATAAAAAAAAAAAAAAATGCGTACGTATAACGACTACACACTCGAAAGTGTTGAAACGATAAACAAATAGTAACAACACCAACTATACGTTTTGAATTCATACGTTGTACAATAAAAAAAGGGTTAACCCTGATAACCGGGACTGTACTCTGATAAACGTGAATATTATTGCATTTTTGTGAGGATAACCGGGCGTAAATAACATTTTAATATTAACCACTTAAAAGCCACTTAAATTTTGTATGTATTAATATTATGTGATTTATTTTTATCGTTAAAAAGTTTTAATAATATTCACAACGCGGTTGTATACTGTGACTACATACTCGTCAAAGACGTAATATTCACAAAACCGAAAACAACTTTAGAGTTATTAAATTTATTAAATTTGATCGGGTAAGTTCTTCGATCCGTTGTTTCCGTAATGGATTGCGGAAGAATAAATTGAATTCAAATAATTATAAACACAGAGCGTAGGTATCGCAGAGTTCGGAAACAAGTAGACAGTTTTGCAGGCGTAGGTATCAAATATTTCGAGAAACCTGCCAATCTTCGCCAAAATAATATTGTTTCAAGTCGAGTAAAATGCAATATGATTGGTTATACTATTTAAAGTTCAGATATACATCAGGGATACTGTAAGTTCAGAAACCGACATTACGGTCCACCACAAAAGTAAAAATAAAAAAATGTGCCTATAAAAATTGTATTTAGAAGAAAAAAAACAGAAATGGTGATACTTTATGTTCTAGTCAAAAACCATCACCGGTTATAAATTGGTCTTGGCAGGTGCATTATCGAATTATATCGGAAAGTAGGGAAAGACTTGGATCCATTGATGCACACATTGTAATATTATGTTTACAACGAGAAAATTATTGATGCAGTTATTGAAGACCCGATAGGTATGTAGTGATGTCATGTTTACAGTTATGGCGCAGCTTGTCATTTTTTTTGAACGATTTTCTATATTTTGACTGAGAAATTATCGTTATAGACAGTATATAGTCGTCTGATGTACGAGGAATCTGCCGTTGGTTTCAATTAAAATCTAATAATGCTAACGAGTCAATTATAAATTACACATTTTTATACGCAGATAGTTATTTAAAAAGATAAATTTAAAAATATCTAGATAAGAGATGATGTTGTTAGAATATTGCTAGAGGTAGATAAAATATATGATGGCAATTCAATTATCTACAGATAAATAATAGATTACTTTTTAAATAGATTTTTAAAAAAGATAAATTTGTTCATTAAGTATCATAAATCTAAGTGCTAAAAGTAGTAAAAAATACACATTTAGATGTTATGAAAAAGGTATTACGGTTGATGTGATATAATAATAATTGCTCATTTATTTATTTAGCCGTATTTATTAACATATTAAATTAAATATGTTTTGTCTGTTATTTCTAATAAATTTAATATAAATAACTATTTAAAACAATTCAATTATTTATCTTATCAGCAGCAGCTCAGAGACGACTTTTTTTCTCATTTATCCAAATGAAATAAAAGATAATAAAAAATATACCTATCTAGATGAAACGCAACAATGCGGGCGCGTGTGAAGTGTTATTTACGAATGTAACTTGCGATCAAAGAAAACCCACAGAGAATTAATTCTGGTGTTCATAGGCTAAAACCGTATTCAATATGATTGCTGTGTATCGTATATTAAAACACTAACGCACATAGTTTGATATGCAGTGTATGAATTAAAAACCATTTCGAAACAATTTTTTTCGGTTTAATCTGTAGGCGCCGAATGACTTTAATAATATATGCATATATTATATATATATATATATATATATATAGACGTATTGTTTATACATTGATCTGGACTTGCGCGTTCAATTGAATTAAATTATTCATAATATTATAACAATACGAAATTATAAACACATTTTATCGAGTGATTTTTATAGGACACGACGACGTGAGGAATGCACACTCCACACACGAGCACGCAGCTACCGTCGCTTTACTATATACGTATATAATACATATTCCTATTATAATGTAGCGTATAGGTGCGTAATTTATGAGTTCGGAATAAATTATTATCACTGTCGATAAACATTTTGTATTATTGCCCAATCAAATTCTCGATATGTTAAATAAATTGGCATTACACCCGTACACCATAAAACGGCAGGTATGCACATTTAATAAACTGCACGTGCTCAGGGTAATATGAAATTAAAAAAAAAAATATTAAGTAAACATATAAAATAATAAGGAATCAACGATAATAGTAAAACACTTACACGATTGATATTTAAGTCAATTCAATGAAACGATAAATTATTTCGCTACAGTGAAATCGATCGCGAAACGTCTCCGCAAAGCAATAACGTTCTCAGGGATTCTATTGGGAGGGAGGGGGATATACAAATTGTTTGCAAAATGAGCAATCGGGGTCGTATAGGCCCTCACACCCACACAATAACTGATGACCATAATAGAATAGGTAGACGTTGAATTTCAATACACATTGCAACATTCAATTAAGTAGTTCAAATTAATTTTTTTAATATAAGTTGTTATTGGGTATCAATCAGTGGCGTATCGAAGTAGGTTTATTTGAGGTAATTGCCTTATGACTAAAATTGGCGAGGGACGGGTCATTAAAGATGTTGAGTGTTGATTAACTATCACGAAATCAGAGATGCCCTTAGTTGTGTGTATTATCTATATATATTTATATTATTAATATACGTACATTCGAATTGATAGTCTATGGTATGTAGCTAGGTAAATAAAGTTTTTGCTGTGAAAAAATTATTTATAGGACATATACAAATTTATGTTTTGGGCGGGTGCTAATTTTTTTATTTTGTCTAGAGTATAAAAAAGGTTTAGCATGCCTCTAGTATCAGTTATTTCACAAATCAAATTTTTTATCACTATTTAAAGGCGGAAAATCGTCCATTTTTAATTAGCCAATGGTATTGGCTTATTTTATACGTAGTGCCGAGGCCATGTACATTTTGTAATATGCCTACCGCTTGGAACAAAAAGTGATAATGATTAATAATGATTAATGACGATTTGTAAAATAACAATATAACAATACTTCAATACCCGTTATTTGTCGTTAATAATAAAAAAAAAAAATAAAGGCCATGGGGGATTAATCCCCCATATCCCCTCCCCTGTGAATATGCCCATACTACAAAGTAAAAAGTAAAATTCTTTGAATAATTATTGTATTTATCGTATCGAATAAAAAATATGAAGAGACGTATTTATATTCTTAGCGCCCTTTCATAAGAACACAATCTGTTTACAAAGTATTATTTTACACCCTCTTAGTGAGTGTAAGCTATAGAATATTATGGGTTGATATTAAAAAAAAATCGCTGTTTTACCGAGTCTTAAAAGATTATGATTGTGGCGCCCGGAGCAAATATCCCCCTCCCCCTAAATACTGATAATATGACAACACAAATTGCAACGTACCTATATTATACGATACCGCGACTCACAATTATTTACGAGTTTTCTAAACTTAAAACTACTCGAGTAACTTATTTTTAATTATTGCACACTGCACGTTCTATGATAAAATCTATTAATTCTAGTTACATTACAATGTATGAATTTTTTGAAAAACGACCATTTTGTCTATATTGTCTGGGTACAAATTCGAAAATATATTATATAAAAAATTAAAGAGACTTTAGTCTTGTGTCCTTTAGTATTTCGCGTAGTTGTGTATAATTTAATTTCGATTTTAAACTGGAGTAATAATATTTCAAACGTTCGCTCGTATAATATTTTTATTCGTATCGTTTATTCTGCAGTTTCTCGAGACGTTCTCACGAGCGTCTCGTGAATTAATTTTCTTGGAATAAAATGGGACAAAAAAATCCTCCACTATTGAGAATTAATCACTCACGGGACAAAACAAAATACGTTAAATATAAAACGTACAGAAGAAAAAAATAAAATAAATATTAGTCAATTTAGTTTAGTCAATAATGTTGTAAAATTAAATCCATTGTGTATTATGGTTTATCGTGTTTTAACCGATTTTGTTAATAAATCGATAGCGCACACCGGGCATAAAAAAACCATGTGCGGAAACAGCAATTTTACTATCAAATATTAAAATATATAATATGTACCTGTACATAAACGTTAAAACACTTAAAACGTGCTAAAAACTTTGAAATAATAAAAACAAGTGGTCGTATAAAATTGTTATTACCGAAACAGTATTAAACACGAGTGAATAATTTTATTTGAAGGTATTCGCGTATTGCATTCAGTCGAGTATTAAGTGCTATTATTGATAAAATGAATTCAAACCAGGGTTATAACGTAAACAGTACGGTATAGTATAAAACGTAAAATATAAAACCCTTAACTCTATACGTTTTATGCGTATATTACACTTAGTGCGAATAAATTCCGCATTATCTTCCACTCGATAATACCTACTATATTATGATAATAGTATATTTACAAATTCGGTAATGTTTTACATGTTTATTTTTTTATCACGCTTCTTGTATTACGCAGTTAAACCATAAATCATTAACATTATACATGGTATATAATAAGTATAAGAGCGGATCCAGAACAAGACAATGGGGGGTGGTTGATTTGATTAAAGCTGAAAATCGGTTGCTCTCGATCCACCTCTGAGTATTATACCTAGTACAGTGTAACTATATGTATATATGTACAAAAAAAGAAAATTAAAAAAAAGGCCACACATATTTTATTTCGTATTGCGCTGTATTTTCGAATAAAAAAAAAAAAATCTGGTTGTCTGTATAAAATATACGCAGCTGGCTTATTCGCATTAAATGGGTATTTTGAAATGGTCCGAAATATAAAAAGTTTAACTAGCTATATACCTTCACGGTTTAATGGAATTGGCGACCGTGTTTATTTTAGTAGATTTAGCCTCAAAAGCCAGACGAAACCGTAGGAATTGCGTTAGACGGATTCCAATTTTGGAAACGGATTATGGTTCTTTAGGTTCTTAACTACGACATGTTGGAAACTGAAATGTTATCATTTTACTGAAAATCATAAAAAAATTGTATTGTATTTTTGATTTATTTGTCAAAACCGTATATATAAAGTATTTTTCTTTTAGTTGTGATGAAGATCATTAAAATAACATAAACAAAATTCCAATCTGATGAATCTGACGTTTTTTTTGAATCATTCATACACAATTCCTCCAGTTTTGTCGGGGTTTTCGGTTTAAAACGTCATATTCGTTCGTTTCACCGATTCCTATTGAAGAAAATATAATTCACTATAATAGGTGTTGTCGGAAATAATAATTTTATGTTGTTAATAAATTGCTCTTTCATATAAAAACCAATTTGTTCATCGGATATTTTGTAAATTCGTGGTTAAATAATATACTATATAATATATAGTGGTGCGTTATTTGCAGATATTTTGTTTGGACTGATTAATATTAGCTACAGAGACAAGACGTGAATTATTTTAACAAAGTTCAGTATGTATGTATAGTAAATTTCGAGCGTACATATACAATTTTAGAAATCAGTTTCTCGTGTTTTTCTTTCGGTTATAGAACTTTCGAATTTAACTTAAATGTACTTGAGTAACTTATATAGTAAGTATATAAAAGGTTCGTATGCGATTCGAAACCACAATATAATTCCACGTGCTTTCTTTACTAATAGTTCTGTAAACTCACTTTGATATGTCGTTGTCGGCGAAGACAATACGACAAAATACCTTATTTGGCACAAAAACTTGGCAAGTATTTTTTATTTTTATTTTTTGGTATACACATATATACCTATATATCTATATATTTATTATTATTATTTTTCTATTTAGGTACGCAGGTGAAATTGTGCGTCAGAAATACTCGATACATAATATAGAGAATATTATTAAAAATTATTATTTATATTGTATAAATTGGCGGGCGCGCCGGCGGCGTATTTTTTTTAGAGGTAATTTTTTTTTTTTACCGAAAATATATTAAAATGTTATTAATAACGCAATTGTATATTGTACACACGCGGATTGGTATACGTACATACGGTTCGACGTGGAATTTCACAAATTTGTGTACATTATTGTAAAATAACGAGCGCGTAGGTAGGTAGGTATATACGAAAATGCCAATTGACGGACCGATAGTTATGAAAATATTGTTATAATATACTATAACTCTACGTACAAATTCGAAAATAAAACGCGAGTCCGTCCCCAGGTGTACTTACTCGTATATTGTCACGCCTCGGGCGAAAAAATAAAAGGATCGCGTAGAAATGTCGAACATTATTATTATTGTCGTTCCGCCCAAAAATGTCCTTGGATAAATTATATTGTGTTTTTAAATACCATTTTTTTTTTTTTTGTCTTTCTTTCTCTCTAATGAATTAAATTTAATGAATTCGCAATTACGTTCGCAATTAGTATTGTACCTATGGGCACACTTAAACAGCTTCGTTCACGGTAGTTTTACGTGTTTGCATGACATTGTATACATTGCCCGGCCTGCCTATTGAAATAATAATTGTTTTTGTTAAACGAATATTGTTCGCGTTTCATGGTGTATAGCGTTTAAAAAGAGAGTTTGGCCGGTTTTTGATTTATGTCGTATAGCTAATTTAATTCTCGTGGAATTGTGCATGTATACAGTGTTGAACCCAGGTATATGACTGAGGAGGACGACAGCCCTCCCTAGAATTTCATATGTCTCCCTGTTAAATGTTTAATAAATAATTAATTAAAATCTTAGATGAGTAAAAAAAAAAATTTACTGTAATTTTTAAGTGAAAGTTCAGAAAAATGTTCTGGATTCAACACTGCATGTATAATATGCTCAAATGTTACACAAATTGAATTATAATAAAAATCGGTCGAAATTATAATATTGTTTTGACGTCAATATGACCAACAAAATAAATACCGATCGTTCGGGATTCGCGCGGTTTATTTGATATTTAACTAACATGCGGACGTATTTATTGTTGAACACGATGATCAATCAACGAAAAATTTTACATTTTATACAAATATTGTTGTTGACTCGAGTAAAACCGTCCAAAAGAATACATTATAGAGCAAAGATCGAGTATACTTATGCAAAACAAACACGTTAATTTCATTAGATCAAGGTCGAACAGTATATGATTAGCTATATAATTGAGTCGAACGAAAAAAGTTTAATCATTTAACGCTTTAAAATTTGGTTTTTTTTTGTTTCTGTTGAATGATTTCGGTTATACTCTTAAGTTTAAAGTTAATTTGAAAATGTAATTGATCCAAGGCCGGTTCCAGGTACCTAAAGATAGCATAAACGTATTATTGTTATACAAAGATTAATACAAACGAAAATCGAACTGAACGCGTCTAATAAAACCGATACAACTTAAAACTTAAAAAAATTATTTAAAACAAATCTGTATATAAAAAAAAAACAACATATTTTAAATTTACACACTTAAAATACTCGAAGAGACTTGTATTTTGACGGACTGATTTACTATGTAGCCCAACTAGAATAGTTTTTACGGTATGTTAAAGTTGAAATTTGTTTCTATTTTATTCACCCAGTTTTACGGTATAGTATATATAGGTACGATTTAAATAATTTGCAACGATTGCATATTCTAGTGAGTGCAAACAGTTAATTATATTCATAATAATTATAGATATCTAATATCTCGAATGATAGCCGTGATCTATTTACCTATGACAGATAATATTATTTAAACGTTTTATTAAGTGTTTAATATGTGATAATTCGTTACTTATATAGGTACTACACAATAATATTATATCGTAATACTTATTCATTCGTGTGTCGGTAATAATTAGTGTTATCTATCGAGATACGTCAACGGATCATTTTTGCTAATTCTATTGCGAGAATGTCTTGTAAAAGTCGTAATGCGCAGGAACTTACTCACCGGTGGCGTAACCGCGTGTTTATAGTTCACCCTCTCCCCCCCCCCAAAAAAAAAATCTAAGTAATAGATAGCGCCCTAGTAGAGTTAAGCCAACGGGAGCTTGGAAATCCTACAGTTAAGCCATGAATTTACACATTATAGTTAGGAAACCGTCAGGTTTGAATTAATTTATTTTACAATACCTATATGAGATATAGCGACAACGGTTCGGGACGAATTCAATACTCAAATCGCCATTATCATTTAATCGATATTGAGGATGTCGGAACGCATCGGACATCTACTCCCCCCCCCCCTCATACCGATATTTCCGGACAATCGTTTCCTGGCTTACGACGGGGAAATATCTAAAAATAGCGTGTGACTATAATATTCCGAAATATCGTGTCTACGTAAAATCGTGATAAACCGAACATTTATCGTCAGTTTTATACACCGATAACTGCAAAAAAATGTCTTCGACATCGAGGCACATCACCGGTAATAAATAATAATAATTATGTAAGTCGCACAGAGCGCGCGCGTTCGTAAAATATTTTATAATTATAATTTCAAACGTGACCTTTGGTGACGAAATCACGAACGTGTCGTGTACAAGGTGAAACACGAGACGCGGTCCCCGGACGTAATATTATATTATTGATATTACGGTTATGTGTGCGTAAGGGAAATATTTCACTTAACATTTTCACGTTTGACATTTTTCAACGAAATACTGAAAAATAGTGTTTTTGTTTTTAAATATTTGTTTACCGGTCCGGTTTTGTATAAATATTATGTTGTCATTGTACCGCAGTCTAATATTGCTCGTGGTATCGAGTTCGCATGAAACTTTAAATAATGCTATTTTTTCATTCAATCTGTCGAAAAATTAATACTGATTGAACTGTAGATGTTTGCCATGGTATAATAAGTTGTCAACAATTTTTAGAAGTCTCTACGCAAGACCTTAGTTTGTATAGATGTCCGTCGTAGTCATCACTAGTGTAGAGTTCTAAATTTAAACATCAACGATACGTTTATTTTGATTTTTAATCGAAATGAAATATGTCATGCAACTTTCATGAATGATTTCAAAAATAAAAGTTTCATGAAATTCTGGAACCTTAACTATCATTATGATAATATGTTGGACGGGAACAATGTCCATAAAAAACTGCAGTTCTGTAAACTTTTTTTTTCGTTGTCGGTTCTGTACAATTACAATATTATTATCATTGAACGTTCCACGAAAGTATTTTATTATTTCGATATCCGTGTACAATATGTTACCTGCGGTTGTAATGTGGATTTTGTGACCAGCAGCGGTTTTACGCGAGAATATGATTATACTAAAACGATGATAAGGAATATTCCGTGATGTCTAAACGGCTCAGCAAATTTCACAGACCGGAAACTAGTTCAACGACTTTGATGATAACATTTTTTTTTTTCATTTTACAGAACGGACTCCGATATTGTGTAGCCGAGCTAATTGGCTAATTATCGGTTCTGTGAACTGCCACGCGACCCCGGTATTAGACTTATTATGTATAGGTATCTGTATATATATATATATAGGTGCCCGGAGGGAGGCAATACGGGGCGTCTGCCCCCCCCTGGACTCCAAAATTTCAAACATAATTGTATTTTAAATACTTTTTGGTGTTTGATTTTATTATGTCTTTTTCTGATAAATTTCCTGCGGGCGCCCATGCATATATATATTGTTAAGAGTATTATTATTATATTGTACATTGCACACGAAATAATATTTCGAAACGTTACATATATAATTTTTGTTGTTTTTTTTCTCGTAAATTTGATGACGGTGTAGTGAACACGATTTCTCCCCTTCCACGACGCGTTCATGCATAGGTACCAAAGAGTCGCAGACTCGCAGCAACCGCAGCACACGTCATATAAGGTCAAGGACGGGCGCGCGAGTCTATGTATTATTTTAATATACATATAGGTATTGTATAAAGATACAACTATACAGCATCGCATAAATCTGCAATATTTCGGTCGAGTTTCGTTAACGATGGTTAGGTTCGCGTATATTTCGGTTTAAATACACAAGAAATTATAGTGTGTCGTTATGCCGCGTTCCGAGTGGTGGTGGAGGGAGGGATTGGAGTTTATTATGTAACATCAGTTTCCGAGCAGATGAGTACAGTATCGTCTCGTTCGATTGTTTTTGTTTTTTTTGAAAATTTACATTCCACTACCCGCAAAATCGTCAAACTCAAAACGCGTAATGCTCGCAGACAGGTATCTCGCCGATGGATCGACGGAAATCAAAAACATCACTGCCGACTTATTTTCGCACTATACATGCGTTTTTATCTGTTTACAGAATTTTCACCGCATTACATATCATTATATAGGTTGTCGTTGGAAAATCAAATTTAAAATTTCCATAAAGAAAATTCCGGGAAAAAAGTTCGTGACATACTTTTTTGTTCGAGATAGTGTTTTCTTACGGAAGATTGATCACTCCAGTACACCTATACCGAGATTGAATCTATTCCGCGGGAGTCTTCTCCCCCCCCCCCCCCCCCCCCCCCATCGCCCCCATTCCCTCATTATCTCGCCTTTATCCCGTCATGCCGCGGGTGGCAAGCGGGGACGAGCTACGCGCTACGCAAGCATCTCTCAGATTGGTTTTTATTTTTTTCGACGCCTTTGATTCGTCGTTTTCCCGCGAACTTTTGCGAAGGTCGCCTTCGACGAATAACAACGTACACTATATATATATATATTTATATGTATATAGTACATATCCGAAAAAAAAAAAAAAAAAAACACAACGTCCTTGGGACCTATCGTCGTCGGCCTGCAATTGTGTACGTGATGTACGTGTACAGTACAAACCCGACGAGTATATATACCAATACATAATGTAACAGCTATATAGCCGGTGCTGTGGACCGGAGTGAATAATAGTGATGTATATACACTCGTATATTATATAGAGTATATAGCGTACAAAAGACAATAGTGGACGTTTTTTTTTTTTTTTCGTCCTGAAAAAAATAAAAAATAAAAGGTAATAACGATAGAGAAAAAAAAAAAAACTAACAACAAAATCGTAGCGGTGGCACCGCACACGCTCGCTGCGACTCACGATAATAATAATAATATAATTATTACCGTGGCTTTGAAGGTCACCGGTCGACCGACAGACCGACCGACCGCCACCGCAGACCGATAATTGTAATTATTATTATTATTACTATTATGGACATTGCACTTCGCGGGGTTCGGTTCTCCGTGCGCTGCAGGGGTGACTCCTACAGGGGTTCGGTAGAATATCACGGCGGGTACGACCCCCCGAGCCGGTACCGATGGCTACTGCAAAACCTAACCGCCGTTTGCCTGACCTGACGTTACACTGGCCCCGACATTGGCGTTCCGAGTGGACGGACGAATCGTCCGGATAAAGTGTTTTGCGACATCCGAACAGCGTGGCGGTGATCATATTCGACCGTATTATAATGTCGTTAGTATAATATAATTGCCGCGTAAACAGGACCGGGATTTTAATTCTCTATAGAAAATATGCGACAAATGTTGCAAAAAAAAATTTCGCCGGAAATATAATTATCACGGCTTTAAAAGCAACAGAAAAAAAAGCCAAACGTAACGTTTGTTACGATCCGCCCACTATAGACTACATTATGTATGCCGACTATCACGATATGACGGTTTGCTGGTGCAGTGTAGAATAATAAATTGCGCTCTCGGTGACGATCATTTTGGAATGCTGCCGAAAATTCATATAAAGTAATAATATCGAAAGAAAAAAAAAACCGGAAAATTAGGTAAATAATCAATAATAGTATCATACAGAAAATCTATTTTCCCGTAGCCATACAAGTTTTTAAATAACCGTAGCGAAAAAAAACCGATATTGCATCAATTTTCGCCTCTATATTTATCTATTATTATAGTCCTTCTAACTTGTACCATTTATTTGCAAATAAATTGTTATAATACGATTTACACTAGGTTCTCGGTGATTTATTCAATTTTGAGTATAACGACTTGGAAACAAGGGGGAAATATGACTAATACAGCTTAGAATCGTTTTTCCGTTTGAAATGATTTGCCGTAGCAATTTATTATAAACTTCTTATGGTATTACCTTTTTGGGTAATGATTATCATTTATGTATCGGTAAACTTGACATCATTTTAAACTCTTTAATCAAATTTGTACTTGATTAACCTAAATCCTATACGCGACACTCTTACTACATAACGAATATTAATCTTCTAACCTTTTTCATGTTTTTTCCCATTTATTTGTAAAACTCATGGGAAAATCAAAAAAAGACATCATTAAAGTACCTCCCCAGAGAGATTTATTTTCATAAAAAAGCGCTTTTATTGTAAATCCGAGCAAAATTGCTGGTAGAAAAATTGTTGGCGGAAAAAAAAAATAAACATCATTGTAAAACCAATACATTCTTCGCTTCACACAGAATCTAAAAAAAACACAAATGTTATTTTACCTTTAGCTTAAACAACTTATGCCCAATTGCACCATATTATGTATTTACTCGATTTAGTATAGATAATAAGATCATGGTACAATGCACATAACTTTTACTTATTTAAACATTTAAAAATAAAATACTCGTTATCACTTTCTTTTAATGATATAATTATGAAATAATTGCTCGTTGTATTTTAACGAATGTGTAAAAAGAAAATGAAAATAAAAACCGTAATAATTGTGTTTGTGTTTTAACGTTTTTGTGTTTTCTCGGTTGTTGTTTTTATTAATTTTAATATTCATATGCATATGAATATGCATTTTGTAATTTGTATAGGAACTCGCTCGATCCAGTTACCGCGGCTCGTTGCTTTTTGAAATCGTATCATTGCTGTATTAGTTTTCGTTTTCCTGATCGGCATGAACGATGAAAAAAAAAAAAAAACCAAAATTGTTAATTATTACGGGGGGTGGGGAGGGGAATCCCAAAATTACCCTGTACGTTTACCTACCCACGTCACAACTATACTCGCCTACGACCGGCGGTGGCTCACCCGCGAGTATCGGCTTTTCACAAATTATTATCATTGTTGTAGTACCGACGCGGGCGAATTGGTTCCCAAAATAATCGAATTGAATATCAAATAGAATGATCGTGTGACGTCTCGGCGCGCTCCGCGCGCGTTCGCCAGAGAGAGTAGGTAATACTGTAACGTTATACGCGCGCACATACACGCGCATTCAGGTTCCATGACCTGTGTGTGTGTTGTTTTTTTTTTTTTATCACTATCTACTCGCCAAACGCGACTACGCCGTCCACCGAGAATCGTGTGTTGTTATTATTTTTGTTGTTTCTGGACGCCGAGCGCGAGTGCCCGGCCGCGAAATCATATACGACGCGCACGTCATAATATTATTATTACGCGTTTAAATTTGACCTACACGCGGCCGGAAATCGAGATCCCGGGGAGAAAAAAAAACGCCGACGAAAAAAAATTAAAAAAAATATGTTACTTTTACAACTCGTTATCCGTTCGAATTGAATGGCCCCCCGAACCGAAAGGAAGGGCGTCGCGTAAAGTTTATTAAAATTGCAGCGGCAGGACGACGACGGGAAACTGGCCCGTTTGCATTAATATGGAAATTCATAAACGGTATAACAACGGCCATTGCATTTCTCGTTTACGATCACGAATTTCCGGATCGTCGAAACGGATTCCTCTTTTACCATCCCTAATAATGTACTACTTATAATTACTTGACGGTTTGTTAAAGAATGCATAAATCCGTTCCTTCAACTTCCGCAATAATAAATCTCCAACTCAGTCCCAAGTCTCCATATCGTCGCTGTAAATACGCCACTGCGAAACTAATGTGTAAGCAGTCACGATATTTCCAATAGCGCCCATAAAAAAGAAAATAAAGAAAGTAACTTGTAAGTTGCAAACTGGCGCGCTGTAAAGGTTAAAAAATTAGAAGACTTTAAATCCAAGGTCATCGAACTGAAATATTGAGTGTTAACTGAAAAAAAATCGATCGTACAGTACATTAGACTCGGGTTTTTTCATTCAATTATCCCGATCAAATATTATAAGCATAGTAATATTATATTTTTTATTGATCGATTATAAAATGGTACTTCGTATAAGTGGCGCTCGTATGCCGGAAATGGATTATAATAGTGTTAACGAAAAAACGTTCGTATAATAATATTATTATAATATATACGCGATTCGATTTCATATCATCGGGCGAGCATAATATTATATATTATATTTGTGAAGAAGTACTTGTAGTATATGTATGGGTACCTACTTTATTTATACCTAACACCCGGTATATTATTATTATGGTTCGGGACTTAAAGCATTTAAAATCAACAAAAAACCGTTTAAAAATCTTCATTTTAACCCTAAAATAAGCATTAGTAAAAAGCGGTATTTTGTTTTTAAACTATCGAAATAAGTAAAACTAGCACTTTCAAATTTTCTATTGTTATAATCATTAACTCTTGAATTTTTTTTAAAACTACATTAGCGAATTTATATTGTCTCATGCCTAGCGATGGCCAATACGACTGGTAGATAAGATAACACAAACAAAAAAATAGCTTGTATGAGTTTCATAATAGAATACAAAGGAGAAATTATTTAAAAATCACAGAGGAGAACAAATCTGAGTTTCATCAGTAGCTTACGTAATCTCAAAGTTTATAATATGCCGAAAAATGACGGAAAAACTAGTAAAAGAGGTTTTTCTTTTCAACTGCCGAAATAAGAAAAAAAAAATCACTTTTAAATTTCATATTTGAACTCGTAAAATTGCATACATTTCCATAGCACTCTGCTAGATTTAATGGGTCGCCAAAAAATATGATCAAACGCTATAAATCCTGAACTATGAATTTATTTTATAATATTCTGTGCTCGTGAAAATGCAATATTAAGAGGACGCCACGCTCACATTTGAAGTTTAAGTTTTTTTTTTTTTTTACCCCTAAGTTTGATAATAGGTCGATCGCTCATCGCTCTAATTTTAAAATGTACAGGACAAAGTTGTTCCCGCCGAACGCGAATTCGCTATGTCGTACGCGTTCAAGACGGAATACGGCGAATATGCGCGGGTATCACGTCCTGTTAAAATATAATGTTAGACGCGCGCGGCACACACACGCGAGACAACTGTGTATAATACTATGAGTGTTGACCGGTAATAGTTTGCACGTTAAAAAATTGCATATTAATCTCGCGAAACGAGTTTCGGACACACGCGAATTCTGATTGTGTCGTCAAACCCGCACGGCAGCGGCGGCGCGATAGGCGAAAACGAACGTTCGGGAATTATTAATTTTTCTTATCTCTCGATCCGGAAACGAACGTATAGGTGCCTGCCTATTATATTATATTCCTACTCGTGTGTAATATTGTTACAATATTATATTACGACGCGTTTGTATAATAACACGTTAACGAATAAAAAATAAAAACCGTTCACATCAGATGTCTGAACGAATTCTTAAACAAATGTGCTGAATCAGCAGTATAATACTATTTCACAGGTGTCTATATTGAATATAACGGGAAACGATTTATGTTGCACGATGCGCGTATATATTAGTAAATTGCTTAAAAATTATACGCACACGATTTTTTTTTCTTACGCGATTACCGGCATTTTAGCGTATATTATTATTTTAACTCTTTTTCTTTTTCTTTTTTTTTTTGGGTAAGATTGTCTATAATATTATATTATTACCGTTGATTTTCTGAATTCCTCGACGATTCGGCAAGGGCGAGGGAGATAAAATGTTAATACGATAAAATTATTTGCACGCAACGACAAAGTTGGAAGAAAAAAGGTTATTATAGCGGTTTTTGAAAGAAAAATAACGAGGGACCATATTCTCGGGCCGGAGGAAAACGACAATGCGGGGATAATCTAAGTCTATGATAGTCTCTAAAAACCCTAGAACGCCTAAATGGTTTCTAAAAAGCCCTGTAAACCATAATGTGTACAATATTATGCGTTTCGGAAAACGCCGAAATTGAGATTTGCCATATTATACTAAACTTAATAATTTAACAATATTATACATCACCGGTAAAATTCGAACATTTCTAATTGGTAAATATGAGTATTATTAAATATGCAACTCGTGTAAAATGTGTGTTTTCGATTTTAATAAAATTGACGTGCACATTATTATATTTTATAAACGCATAAACCACGAACTTACGGGATATATCTGGTTTTATATTCATAATAAATATATAACTTAGTTCGGGCATCGGCATTATTACGAAATTATCCGAACGCGTGGTAGTACGTCAGGCCAGTGAGTTCCAGTAAGCATGCCATAGTACATAAACCTATTCAGCCGATTTTTCTCACACTCACGTTTCTGTTTCTTTTTAGGATAGGCTTTTGAAATTTGAAACATAGATTACAAGCTTAAGTAGCTTATAGGTCATTGTAAATAATAAGCTTAATATGGTAGCCATAATATTATAGCATAATATAAAGCTTTTTCAAAAGGGGAAAATCATTTGCATTTCTGTTACAGACTGATATTGGCTCTGCACTTATCATCGAAATTATAAGGAATTCTAAAATTGATACAAATGTAGGTATTCAAATGTAAGTAAAGGAGAAAATCTGAAAATTGAAATATTTTCAAAATTTAACTGCTCAAAATTCATTAGTTTAATTTCAACAACAGTGATGCGATGGAGTTATTATTGCCAGACGACAGTCAATTATTCGGCATATCCGCTCACCCCTACATTGATAAAATATCCCGAAACCACCAAAAAGGTGCTATTTTAATTCAGTGACCCATACAAAAATCCGAAATTGTTTTAACTACCTTGCCAAAGCCGGCAAAAAGGTAATATTATGTCCCAAGACCTTCTCCCAAAGAGGTCTGCCTATCAAAATAATGTAGATATATTGTGGTCAAGTGTGTTGTATATGCAGCCACTACCACATGCATAAATTGAAAAAAAAAAATGTTCTGCAATAAAAATAAAATAATAAAGTTGTTCAAGAAAATTGGAGTGAAGCGAAGTTACGGACTAAAGAAAGAGCAAACTTGGCCCCTGTTTCACGGTTAAATTTTTGTTTGAAGATCAGCCCTTTCTGAACTGTCAATTATTAATATTCTCTGATAGTGAATATTATTTTTGATTTTCGAACGGCGCATATTTTTTGATAAAACCAACAATATTATACTTGCTCATTATCATGTTTTCTTCTGTATATAGGTATAGGTATTCGTTATGATTTGCATTAAACGCGGATAAAACCCATATAGTCGTAGGTATACGTAATATTTTCAATTTATTATTACCGATTTCTGCAAAAATGTAAAATAATATTCTCCGGCTGTTGGCTTACAAATTCTTCATTAAATTATAACGTAGGTACGGTACCTATATTAATACGTATAATAATCGTATATATTCCCAGCGAAACTAATTTCAAGGCAAAAATTCTCAAGGTTTCGGTTAAAACTTTAAAAATTGTCTTTTTCTTTAATAAAAACAACGCGATGAAACAATATTTCCTATCGAAAAAATAAACTCATTGTAATAAACTAAAAAAAAAAAATGGCAGTGTTTCTAAGTATAATAAATAACCTAATCGTAACATTAAGTATTTTATAAGTACCTATAATTTATATTATCGCGTGTTAAGAACAGAAAATATAATGTATGAATATTTCAGATTTTTCGTTATTTAAAATCAAAAAATAAATACAATTTAACGTTTGACATATTTTTGTTGAATATTTCTAGTTTCAAGTACACGAATAAGTCATGAATATTATGCTGCATAATCGTTAAATTATTAAGTTATTGTTTAATCAAGAATTATCCGAACATTTTGATTAATACTTTTTTATTTAAAAAAAAAAAAAAATCGTTATTTTGGTATAAGAGTTTTGTCAACCGGTTAGTTAAATTAAAATGTATCGTAGTTATACATGCAATGTTTATAAACCCATGTCAATAAATAATAATATTATAAAATTGTAATCAACATCGTTAAAACGTCATTTTTTTTTTTTTTTATATACCCATGATATTAAAAAAAATGTATTGTATTTATTAATTTTTTATTTTATAATTATACTTTGTGCAACATAATCAATATTAATTATAAACATACTTAATTATTGGTTAAATAAATATACGAAATATAATTGTTTATTTTTAATATCTATGCATTAAGTACAGAGCTTAGTAATGTCAATGTGCATATTATATTAGTGTCAATTTATATACTATTACGTCAATATTAAAATTAAAAACTAATCAAATCGAATTTCCAATGAAACGAATTTACTGTAGATATACATCTATTATATAATATATACATTTCGAGTCGGCTATGCATTTCTTTTTTTCTAATGCAATTTATTTTGTTTGTTGGTTTTTTTTTTATTATTTGTCTACATATGCCGGAATACATTATTAAACGCTGTTTATGTGCAGTAGCGACCCCTTCAAATGGATAATCAACCAATCGGAAACGGTACACAATACGCGAATACATTGTAATTGAATAAAACGCGAAATTTGCACATTCTTCACACTTTTATAAAACATTGAGAAATATATTCTGGTGTGCGTGTTTACTATCGATGATACAATCGGTATAATTAACACGTTAAAAAAATTGTATGGGATGGGTATATTATAATAGTAGACCGGGTCCGAGACTAGGATTTACTATATTATTATATACATTGGCGACTCAATTTATTCTATCGTAAATTCTATTAAGAATACGATTCACGATGAATTAATGAAAAAAAATTACGTTTATTTTGTATGGAAAAAAAAACAAAAGATTAACTTATACTCAAGCTATACCTACGCCCAGTCTTGTTGTACATGGTTGCGAAACGTAGTCGGTATAGAAAGAAAACGAAGAGAAAAGTTATTAGTTTTCGAAATTTTGCCAAATTAAAGATATTTATTGTCTGTACACCTATAGGCTATATTTTATTTGGATATAATTGTTTAGGCTGAGATATTTGAAAACTTAACGAGGTTCATCATGAGTTTTACTCGGCGAAGAAAAATATGCAATAATTTTTTTTTTTTAAAGCGTTTTAGTTCAAATTATTATGACGGAAATCGCAAAAAGGTATTTCACGGCATTTAAAAACACGTTACACCGTATTTCGCTCAGAATCGTTATTCGTTAACATTGATTCATCGTCGTGAACAGATACGCGCATATAAAAGAATTCTGTGTATCTTATATATTTCTAATTTCGCGCCTACCACAGTGGCACACCCGTCAACAGATCGGTTCTATTTTTTTTTCCTTTGATCTTTACCGACTGTGATGACGACGACGAATTAGTCGAGATAAGTAGTCTTCTTTAAAACGTAATGTTTTTAATAATATATTCCGTTCCGTGAAATATAATTTTATATAATTAGATTGATGTTATCGTGTTAAGAAAAAAAAAAAAAATTATATCCATCTTATATAATTATACGCGGCTACCGAAATTACGTCTTCCCGAGCGCAGTGTAGGTAGATGTAGGCGCACACTTAATAATATTCCGGTGCCGATAACCGAAAAAACCGAACAGAAAAAAAAATCGCCTTCGATCAACAGACTATTACGGGTAGCCTGCAACTTTGGCGATTACGTAACGAGTGATTTATGTATGCGATTTACATTATCATATTATTTATGTCCGTCAAGAATACAGTGACGTCTTTTTTTCATCTTCTTAAATTTCAATTATTGCAAGTAACACGGCGCTCCGATCTATTGGGAGAGAAAAAAAAATTCATAATAATAACAAATTGCGCTTTCACACGAAACTTAACTTTCCGTTTTCTTTCGGGATTCAATTTAGGTAAAACGACTCGCCGACCGACATTATCGTACCGCCGTATTAGGGTGGTCCGGGTTTGCGCACAAATACCAAAATGACACTACTACTAGTTTGCACACACAAGTATCGCTCGTTCGGGAACAGTTTGTTTTATTGTGTACCTACGTACATTTTCCTTTCCACTTTATGGACTTAGGATAGGACTGTCTATGAAAATATTTTTTCGTAGGTGTGATTAATACCATAACATAATCAGAAAAAGAATAATCGAATGTCGGAGCAACCGAAATCAAATCAATTTCGCGCAGGCATTTTCTGCTTCTGCCGGTGGTAAATATGGCGAACCGGGAAAACATTTGAGCCACTTCCCAGTATCAGCATTTTTGTCATTGTATACTCAAGTAATAGTCATTTATTGACTTGTATACGTCGAAACCAACTCAGTGTCAAATTGAAAGTACATGCAAGTTATAATTTTACAATCGGGATAAGGATTTAATTAATATCGCATTGTGCATGGGCAGATATCTTAAAATCGACATGGAACTGTTTACTATGCAATTTTATATGCAGCATTTGAACACAAACTGTGCGCAAACCAGTTGTAATTTTAATTTTATCACGTGCCCAAACGATGTCAGTTATTGTAGGTAAAAAATATTAGATTTGGCGCAAACAAATTGCAGCCACATATTATTATAGCTGTTTTCCGCCCGAAAAAGTTCTTACACGTTTCCGATATCATATTATCGTGATGATTGTTATCAAAGTGCATATGTGAATTATAGGTGTTTATAGTGATGCACAATTGGTTTTCCACTTGTGCGCTATAACGGAATAACAACATGCACCGCGACAGTCGAAATAGCATAATAGTTATTAAAACTAACAAATAAATTATACGTCTCTTGGAATCTTCTTTTTTTGTTTTGTTTTTTTTTTGTTCAGCTGTTCAAACATCAATACCTAAATAAAGTAAATACGACTCGACCGAATATTAACCGTCGCGTTTTCTCCCTATATTTTGGTGTGTATCGAACGTTTTCAAAAAGCCTATTATATACAGAGTTATTAATTTTTAAATATCCAAAACAAAATATTCTAATGCAATATGCTTTCGTTTTAACCAGACTATATAATAAGGGGGTTTCAATTTCGATATACATAACAACGAGAGTCGACTAATCGACGATCGGTTTCATTTCGAAAACCATTTATAGAAATTTCTATTATAATAATTTACTATATTATAGGTAGGTTGGTATAAAAATATATGTCACTCGTATGTTAATCTACGAACAATTTTTGTTTCGATTTATAAAAAAAAAATTTAGGTACAACCAACGTTTTTGTTAAAACTATGATATTTTATGATAACTTGTATAAATATAATAAAACGAATCGCCAGACTTAAAATAAACGGTTTCACTTGGTGTGAGTACTTATTATAATACACCTAATGTTTTTTTTCAAATGTTCATTTAACGCCGTCGTTTTATACGTTTTGTATAATAATCTATATGCTATTTGATCGACACACACAGGCACACCTATCTGCCAATATTGTTGGTGTTTTATTATTTTTGGTGTGTGTGTGTGTGTGTGTGTGTGTGTGTGTGTGTGTGTGTGTGTATGAACTGCATTTTTTTTATTTATTTTTTAATCAGACGATTTTATTGTCCGTTCACTAATACACTAATAATAATAATAATAATAATAATAATAATAGTACCCGCGTATGAAAAACAAACATTGTTTTTATTTTTTTTTTACAAAATTTATTTTTTGTTTTATCGCGTATCGTTAAATTTCAATATTAGAAATACTATCGATTAAACGCCACGTATGAACATTATAACAAAATATTATATTTTAATCAAGTATTTATCGAAATATTAATTTAACATTTATACTATTTAATATGGTATGGAATTTTCGACATTCCGAAGGATATGAAATTTAACTAACAAAAATATAATTTAATACGTATATAGAAAGTGAGATTCTACCTACACCGAGTATTTTGCCCATCATTTTATTCCACTAAATACCTAATCTATATTTTCGAAATTCAATTATGTCAATTGTCTATATAATCACTGGTTTACATTGCGATTAGTTGAAATGCGACTATTAGCTGGTGTGCTAGTAATAATAGCCAACAATAATAATAATAATAAAAATGACAAGATAGAAGATATTTTATACGTATACCGCTATTACCTATATAAGCGCGGAACAGGATTTTTTAATTTTTTGCTCTTCTCGTGATACAATGTTCGATTGAGTAAAAAAAAAAGGTTTTCCTCAAACCTTGGAATTTTTAAAATTATTTGTTGACGTCACAAGCATCATATTAAAAATTGATATTTTATAAGTTTTTATTTTCGTCCAGTCTAAACGCTCATTTCTCACAAAAATACAAAAATACATAAAAAAAAAAAAATAACTAACGCAAAAAAAGAAAAACGTGATATTTTTTACATTTATTTAGTTCGTTAAAAATTAAATTGTTAAAATTATCGGATAGTTTTGCAAGGTTGATACATAAAACATTTCAAAAATTTAATTTTTTTGCAAGTTACATTTTTTTTTTATTCGAAAAATATTAATGTTTCATCAATTATTATTAGTTCTTTTTTTTTTTAAATTATAAACTAATAAAATAGGTATTTTGATCAATTTGATGCCCCCGAACACAATAATTTATTTTAAAGATTTTTAAAATTTTTTGGAAAACCTTTTTTTATCCAAATGAAAAAAGAAAATCAAGTGTATATTAAAATTTTTTAGCAATTTAGGTACACACATACGACCGGAGTTTTTAATAAATAAGTTTCTCGTGGTTTTTTATATTAGGTATATAATATCCTCCATGAAATTTGTCATCAAAACATTGATTACGTATATAATATTATACATATAGGAAAATTACCTATAACCTTAATAACAATTTTCACGGGTTTTTATCTTCTACCGGCCACGCGCAATTCATTAATATTCATAGTATATAACTGAATACTCTCCAGGAATTATTATTATATACATATAGTATATTACAGTGATTTGGGTTCATTAAATATATTTTTCCAGACGAATAATGACAAAACTACTTTAGAGGATTAATATAATTTTTTTAATCCTGAAAAGTTTCGTCTTTTATTATTTTTAATCGCGAATAGCTTTGTGGAATTTATATTCGCTATATATATATACATAGATATACCTACCAGTTGTTTGAACGCGAGAAAAAAATACAAATTCGTTTAAACATATTTATTTATTCACTCTTAAGTATTCAGTATACTGATACAGGATGATAATTTCGTACGCGGTCAATCGGGTCAATACCCATTATCGTCTCAGAAACTCGAATTCAAAGAAAGAAGTTTGCGTGTACGGCGAGGGTGTGGAATGGATAAAAAAATTAGCACCGATTACCGCGTTATATATTTATGTAAATAACATTCCAAATCGGTGCTGTGTTAAAATTCGCAAAGTTGACCTATTGGCTATTATATTAAAAGCGTCAAAAAAAAAAAAAAGTGGCTAAACATTAACGGAGAACCTATATTTCAGAGGTGGCCAAACTTTTGGTAGAGATCTACTAAGAATATATTTTTTCTGTAACGATCAACTTCCTAACAAAAATGTATAATTTATCTAATAGGCGTTAATAATGTAAACAAACATGTACAAATATTACAACAAAAATGTATAGTTATATCATGTTTTACGTCACACTTTTATTGACGTTTTTTTTATTAAAATTGATATATTGTTAATACAATTTCCAGTATAAACGCTGTTGACTTGTATTGACAACAAATTAATGATATGTTAAGATAAACATGATCAGCGATTGTGATTTATCTACTCATTGTGCACTAATAAATTCTAACAAAATGGTAGGTGGTAAACTATTGAAAAAGGAAAATCAAGGATTGAATATATGTCACAGATTCGTAAGGACGCGGGAACAAAAGTTTAGTAAAAAGAGTTGAAGGAATTGAGTTTTGACATAGTTGTATATGATGGAGAGCCACAGCAGAATATTATAATAACATCGGTTAGTTGAATATATATTTATTTTTTTTTATCAACGTGCGATAACTATTAATGAAAGTATTAACTACGCGAAAGTTCAGGTGAAAAAGTCGCGGTTGATGTAATTCGTGAAAGTTTTATACAGAAAAAAACGAGGCAACGATCCGTTAAACGGTAAGGACAACGGACCCTAGAAAAAAAACCGAATCTCCGACAACCTTTCATCACATTAGGCCGGACGTATGAGTCGTATACATGTACACGACGGAATAAAACATCGGGTTCGTTTTCAATTAAAATCAATTGTGTTAAATTTGTCAACGTTCAATCTCTGGGCGGCCAGCAAATATTATACATCCACTTGTACTGTTGTCTGTTATAATATTTCATATAAAAAAAAAAAAAAAAACAATGGAGACCGTTTTCTATGACATTACGTGTTTGAACAACACTTTTGGGTGTAACCAATTAAAATAACGCTGCTCGTCGTTCGTTCGGAATATTATATACCTATGCAATAATATTATGTTATTAATATTGTTATTTACGGACGCTTTAAAAACGTAGAATTTTTTCTGTTTTTATTTGATTGTGCGCGATGGTGTTTTACGACTAGAAAAATACCGTAAAAAAAAAAAAAAAAAATTGATACTGCAGATGGGTGTGCCGTTGTTGTAGGTGGGTAGTTGGAAAAGTTGGACACATAAAACTATATTTAATTTAAAATGTTTTGAAATGCTACCCACCGATAAATATATCGCTAACGAAATACGGTTCTGAGCAAAGTTCTGATAAACATTTTTTGAAACGCTATGATTTTACAATGTTCATCAATATTCGAGCATAAAAATGTATAAAAACTATATCGAAAATAATAAAGTTATTATTGCCGTAAACTTCCCCGGTATTTCTACGTTTGTTTCAATCATTTAGAAAAATACAGAGCAAATCAAAAAAAAAAACCACTTCAAAATGCACTAAATAAGGTAAAATTATCTTTCAGAAAAGATGCTACACTTGTAGTTAAATGTAAGATTTCTGGTAGAAAAACAAAATCGAAATATAATGCAACGGTTTTTGTACGTTTTATCGAAGTTTTAATGAAAATATGAATATTACGCCAATGCATTAACTAGATCCAAAGTGCTACAAAAAAACTCTCTTGTTTTTTTTTTTTTTTTTTTTATAAGATTTCGGGTATAAAAGTTGTTAGTAAAAAAAAAAATCAATACGTATTCTGTATTGCGCTCAGAATAATAATAATAATAATAAAAAAAAATTAATTTTAATTCGATGTTATTATTTTTAATGTACAAGTATACCTACCTACCGGCTTAAAGATTAGCCTGAAAATACTATTATGCATATTCAACGTGGACGAATGCAGGTGTTATATTATATTGTACCTGTAATACCTACGTATAATTTTTAAGTTTTTTTTTTTCTTAGATACAATTCGTTTTGATATGGTAAAATAAAAATACGAAAATATAATTTAATACGTAATATTATTATCACCTACCTACGCATACGAGTATATCGATTATTATTTATACATTATACAGCGTTCAGTTCAATGATGTGAAAAAAAAAAAAAGTTCAATGATATAATAATAATATACCTAATGTTCCACCATCGCGGGGTTTCATCACAAGTTCGACTGCCGCAAAATACAAAAAACAAATCCCGCGTTATGTTTTCGAATACTTAGATTTTTCACAACATTCAAGGAGTATCCATCCTGTGGTTGGATACACTTTGGTTTTTCAAATAAGAACCTATATTAAGAATTCCATAAATAGACGGAGTATTACTTAAAATACATTTTGGTGTTAACATTTTTGATTGGAGATATTCCACTTTTAAGTTTAGGTAGGAGAATAGTAGTAAGCACGCTCAGTAAATCACCCTGTATACCAACGTCGTCGGTTTCATTAATATAATTTTAGTCGAAATTCAAAGGATATTTTTATTAACTGCCGGTTTTCGTTTCTTTCTTTAAATCGCTCGGGGGGAAAAATTAAGTCTTGCGCGGGTAGTTGTAGGTAACTAGTTTTCGCGCATATAATTTACGCGCAGAATATAAACTAAAACTCTACAAATAAGCTGAGCGACATTTTGTTCAATCGGAATTTTATAAGTACACTATAGGTATAGTTGTCTCTACATTGTATTATTATATAAGCTGTACTCGGAATTTTCATCTGCGTTAATCAGTGGCGGTTATTCTGTAGCGGAGATGCAACGACTGTTACATTTTCAGTTAGAAGTGGGTGTAGGCGAGATAGTCCATGTAAATGTTCAAATGTGAATAATGCCAAACTTTTACGGTACGAAAAAATATTATTTATTTTATTCTTTATTCTTTTGCCATCTTAAATCGTGTTACGAAGTCCGGTCATCGTTGATGTTTTATAATTTTTATTTTTGAACACGTTAATTAGGCTCGCTATTGGGCAGACGGGATGTAACGTGGGTGAATATTGACGAGAGTGGGCGGCAGATGGATAGGTATAAATTACTAATTTTGTTGAAATACGATTGAAAAAGGTCCTTATCTTCAATACCTTTTTGATTGTTACGATTGAGCCATTTTTTAAAATTCCACGTAGCGATGCCAAGTATTATATAAACACGCTTAATCGTTGTCGTTGAACTTCAAGTTTTATTGTTGTCTATTGTTTGAGATAGCATATCACTGAATCTATCAATAATAATTTTCTAATATAAACGCAACGATAACGAACTGATTGCAGCGAATAATCGTAATATATTTACTAATCAGTACCTATACGTGGTTTCCTGTGTTATACGATACTTATATTGCTCGTAATATTTTACGCGTTTATTTTAATTAAATCGAAAATAACCAAGACGTAAGACTTAATTGTTTTTAACTACCTCAAATACTGTTACCGTTTTTTATTAAACAGAGGAAACATAATTATAAGAAGTGGAGATGCATCAACAGTAAATGCACGGGGAGTTTGTTAATAGAAGGTGACAGTCACACTATTAAAGAAGCATTTGATGAACACTGTTATTGTGCGACCCAATCAAAAATTTTAACGTCAAGTGTTCTGGAAAAATTATAAGAATAAAGTTTTGGAATCGGTTTCGACCAGAACAATAAAAACTATTCATACAGAACTCATAAAAGACATGAACACTATGGTTCTTCAACATAATTATTTAAAATATGCTCGATAAAAAATTGACTATGAAAAAATTTAAAAATATACTCTGTCTAATCCTAGACCCTTATCGAGGTTAAAACTGAACTTCGAAAACATAAAAATAATATTTCTATTTATAGAGGTCAACAAAATTAAGAATATAGACATGCATGCATGTTTTGACATGCACTTTTAAATTTGAATATGTAGATACAGATACGCTACTGATATATTACAACGTTGCACAGTTGACAGATAACTATTTAATTTTAGATTCTGAGCAAAGCAAAGAATGTATTGGTTTTAGTACAACGATGTGAAAATTGTTTTTTCTGTGAACTACTTTTCTATCAAAAATTTGTCTCCGATTTTCAAGTATGGCACCTTTTCTGAAAGGAAATTTTTCTGAATGGTACTTTAATAAAGTCATATTTTTGCTTTCCATAGATTTTCATAACAAATGGAAAAAATTGGGAAAACACATAGGAAAATCGGAAAAATTTACGAAATGTAATATTTTCAAATCGTGAATATTACGGCTTTTCAAAACATGTATAACAGAATTTCCGCTCAGGATCGTTTTTTGTTAGCAATGATTAATCTTTGTCTACAGATAAACATTAAATATCTCCTCTACCTTCCCAAATTCTCACTTACAACAGTATCCCACCAATCGTGCGATGTACGTCCGTTTGCTTTTTCATTTCATTTCAAGTGTGTTTAATTATCTGGCCAAAAATATTAAACCTATACTAAATCGTACGATAACCGATTATTTATTGGGGGGGAGGGGAAGTTTGGACTATCAATTATTTGAATTGCGGTTTTAACAACGAATTTAACTCCTGTATTAATTTCGAAATGGGAGGGGATTAACCCCCCCTTTACCTACATCCCTGGTGGGCGGTTAATTTTGATGTTTTACTACACCTATATTTTTTAGGATAGCCGCCATTGAATTAATAATAAAGGTAATTTATAACATACGTATACCTTTATAATATACGTATATATATTCTTCGTCCTCTACAGTATACAAACGTACACCTATATAGGTATACGTTTGTATAATACTCGTAATTGTATAGAATATAATATTATTTTAAAACGGAGATACCGACCAAAGTACCAACGGTACAACAAAAACGAGTATATTTTATTTGGTCGTTTAACAAGATTATGTTATTATAAAGTTTGGCGAGCAACGATTTGTCATTTATACTATGTATATTTTTGTTTTTCTTTTATACGTGGAACGTCCATGCGGATCGAGAGAATTTATGAACTTCCAGCGGAATAAATGTCTTTCTCAGAGTGAATTGTGAGTATATTATTATACTTATACCGATACTATTAATAATTTCTTAAAAAGAAGTATTTTATAAAAAACTATTGGTTTATGTCTACTTTTAATTTTGCAGTCATTCCGGCTGTGCGACCATCTGTGAATTAGGACGTCGTGTCGTCGTTTAAAATTATTGTTATGTATTATTACACTCAGCCAATAAGACCATGTAATAATAGTATATCGTCTTTGTACGATTTATCTCGTATAGTATAGACAAACGAACGGCCAATGACGATGAGCCTGTGACTATACAGCGTGATTTTTTTTTATCTCGGACCGTTGACTACCAAGCTACTAAGCTCGAAGATTTTACTGGGTAAATTTGACTTTGTTTAATTTCCCAGACAATATACGGATAAAAATACGATGAGAATCGGTTGATAATCATTCATTTAATTTTGAAATTATTGCAGTGAATCTATAGGACTTTATGAAAAAGCTCGCTGAATATGTCCGGACCAACGAATCTTAAAAAGATAGAGAAACGGTAAAAAGGACAAAGAATGTTTGTTGAAGTAAAAATAAATTTACAATAGCGGTGATGGAATAGAATCTGTGTAGAAAACCTCTAGGGCAATTTAATGAGGGAGACCAAAATCAAATTTACTCTCGTTATCCTCATCGTACATAATATATACGTATTATAATCGACGGTTAGCGATAAAATAACGTCACCCTGTATATACACTCGTTTGTATGTGTGTGTGTGTGTGTGTGTGTGTGTGTATATATAGATTTACAGGGAAAATATAATATGTGTACATATATAATAGTTATTATACACAGATACAGCGTGCCGGGCGCCTTTAACGAGCGTTTCTAATGACCGACATTGGGGACGTTTTGTTCCGCCGCCGCCGGTGCAGATGATAATAATAATAATAATAACAATATTATTATTATTATTTAGGTCTTCTGGTCCACTGGCCGCCCATTGTATACAAACGAGCTTCATTATCATTATTTTTAATTCGTCAAAACGTCATCACACCGAGAGCGTATATTATATTTCGAGTGTGCGCCAATAATGCAATAATATATAGACGGCCGTCCGAAAACTTCGTAACTTCCAGTCGTACCAGTGTACAGGTACAACTATGCTCCATGCGAAGTCGACGGTTTTTTTAAAATATTATAAATACGCAACGCGCATAACAACAGTATAAACGTTATTCTTTTTGATTTAAAATTTCACTCGATAACGAAATAATATAAATAATAATAATAATAATAATAATTGTTATTTACATTCTATTTCACCGAACGCGCGGCGGTGCACGAGAGCACGACCTGCACGTGCAGTAATGATTTTCAGCGCGTAAAAAACCGACGGGAAAAAATTAGGCGTATTTGTTTTGTCCTATATTATATGTATACATGGTTTATTTTTACGCCCGTTAACTGCAAAGATTAAACAAATATTACGTTTAAAAAAAAAATTAATAATAATAAAAAAAAAAACCACGTAATTATACATGTAAACGGGTGGAACCGTTTTTTGGCCAAAATGCGAACGCCTTTTCCTTTACGGCCGTTTTCTATCTGTAAAGTTGACGAGAATGGTATTTTTGTTTACATAAACGACGTAAAGACATTTTATTTCTCCAATTTTAATATTCCAATAGATATTCTAGGCGCCGGAATAAGGATCCGGTGGGCCTCGGGACCAAATGCGAAAAAAGGCCTTCTGTGTACAAATTTTAATATGTACATTAATAATGGGCCCTTTACGTCCATGAGCTATGACCCCTTCTGCCCTGTCTTTAATATGAGCTTACTGATATTATTTTTATTTTTTATAGAAATCGTGCAGGTATTAACGTGCATTTTATTAAGGTACATTTATCATACAATATTTAAAGAATTTACCCGGTTGGAAATAATTGCGTACATACTGCACCGTGCAGATATCGCATATTTTTATAGATATTTTACGGAAAATCTACACACGACCACGTCCTTTTTACAAAAGAAATTCCCATCGGTATTGCATTGGTTGAATACTATTATAAACGAGTTCAAATTTTAACGTGTAATATGTAATTAGGAGTGATAAAGGTCGAAATACCAAAACTACCAAGACATTTTTAAGATATATCAGGTTAAAATCGAAAAGATGTCGAAGAGCTTTAACAACGAGAATCGAAGAAACTAAAACGTACTTGTACCACGATTAAACAACAATATTTTTTTAGTTTTAGTACTTTTGTACGTTATTTTATAAATAACACATATTCGTAAAAAACAAAAAAAAAACATTTATGTTTTCGAAACATAATACTTGAAGTAATAAATATGTGACGGAAAACCATGACTGCACAAACAATTATTACGATCTCGTTCGTTATCATTATTGTTTTTGTATTTTATATACTTTCAACGAAAAATATTATGTCGCTATAAAAAATTTAAATCTACCAAACACGGTTTATTTTATTTTCTATACTGCACATTATTGGCATAGTCTGCAATGATATAATATATAGCGTTCCGGCAGAAAAGACGTGCAATTCCTTTGCGAGAAATTACAAAAAAACGCCGCGAAAAATGCGTGAAATTCATTAATATAAGATATTAAAAGGACGTCACAGATAGGCATATTGTTGCTATCTAACGGACGATATGGTAAAAATAGGCTAGCGTTAAACAAACGAAAAGATCTCTAAATTCGATTTCAGATATAAAACACGTATTTTAAAATAATTTTGTACATAACAACATTTTGAAGACAATTTTGCCAGTGTTTTACAATTATCTAAATGTTACATTAAACCATTATCGCAGGTACGAAAAATCGTATTTAATATATTATATTATGTAGATAGTATATTCAAATCTGTGAATTTTATTTGAAAAACGAAAGTATGTACTTATTTAAGGTGTACGGAGTAGCGGTAAAAAATTAAAAATGGTTTTAAAATATAGCTTAACAGATTCCACAATGATTCATAAAAACAGAAATTAAATTCACTTATAATTCTTAGAGAATTATGCTAGTTCGTGATGAAAAAAAAAAATCTCCATAAATATTTTTTGTTATAAAATATTTCAAAAAACACCGACGGGAGTGTCCTTAAAATATTTTCATCCCTAACTTTAGGTGGTTTATCTCCAAAACCGGTTTTTAAAGCTTTTTCGATTGTTTTAAACAAAATCGAATTTTTTCTGTGTTGTCCGTTAAATATAGACAGTGACGAAAATGGACACAGTAACGGATTTTTAAGACAGGACTGAATACACACATTTTTTATCGTCTCAGTCTAACTGATGGTAACATGGTAAAATTACGTTACTATTAGAACATAAGATGTGACGTTTAGGTTGAAATAAAGAGTTTAAAACAAAAATTAAGCATAACATGTAAAGAGCGGAATATTTTCAAGGGCAGTTATATGCGGCTTTTTTTCTAAAATTTATTGTCAAACAAAAAAAAGTTACAGCCATGTTAGTTTTTGATGTTTTAAATAGCTGTTATAGGTTTGTATGCCAATTTCGTAAAATCGCCTGATAATTTTGGACTGCGGGTACATAACTTCAGCTTCCCTCTAAGAGATTCCGCGATATACGGTGTAAGAACTAGCGGGCCGAACTCACGGTCGTTTTTCTCCGCTTTTAAAATCGGCCGCCGCGAGAATGCTGTCGTCGTTCAGCCACAGCGTTGTTACCGTACAGTAATATAGGTATATGAAAACTGGTTTTGTTTTCGTGGACGGATGACAAATGCCTTTCTATAATAATACGGTCTACGGCGAATAGGTATCTTGTACATCATATAATAATACGATTTTACACGAAATGTCAACGATGTGATTTGACGAGAGTTTCGAGCCAGCCCGAGGGCTATAAGTCAAATTAATTGGTTTCGTGTCAAAAACAAATGAATTCGCAAGACTTGTTATAAATAAGGACGTTATCTCGTCCGGGTTTCCGGACAGTAATCCGTTACGAAATGACGATCCACTGCTTTGATTTCATTATACCGCAACTGGTGAGGCCAACTGTATTCTACATTTCTGTATAGAAAACCACCGGCCTATAGGTCCAGCCAAGGTGACATAGTCGGAAAAACAATTTCGGGCGGGGGGAGGGGTCGATCGATTCAAAAATAAAACGATTTTTTTTAGTATTTTGGTAAAATCGATCGGTTTTGAAAAAAATGACGGGGAGTTCAAATCCCCAATAGAACCCCTTCAATAAACTTAAAACTCTTGTCGGATGGGCGCTACGCGGGTATCGTACATCGCCTTCTTACTATATCATGCGCAGTATGTCTACGGCATACGTTAAAATTTCGTTAACTCGGAGATAAGATAACTTTTTTTTTTTTTTTTCAAATGCTTAAGTAATGAAATAAACGCCGTTTATAAAATATATTAAACCATCGTGTTGTACGTATTAATGCATCGGCCTACTGGGCAGAACAGTGGGTCAGTCTACTCTGCCTCCGTGGAGGGGCATGTTTGAAAATGATACGATCGCATACGATTTACCTAATTACAGTTTAATACATGAGTCCATGTTTTAAACAATATGAACATAATCGATTACTCCGATTTGTTCGCGGACACCGCCGATATTATTTCCAGCCCTTTCGTTTATTGTCTGCATAACAGCGGGATTTCGTCGGTTCACCTTTTACGGGGTATAAATATCACCACTATAACATACAATAACACAGATATAAAAACACGTATTATACTAACGGCCATGGTGCCCATGGACATATTGTGTACCCACAGGTAATGGGAATTCAACGTGACAAATCGAGTATATGGGTATATATATTACATAGAAAACGACGACGTGATGTTTACCCGCTGTGAAATTAAGTCGTGAAAACGGGACGCAAACTATTATAATAATATACAATACCCACCTATATAATATTAAACGGATTTACGATAATAATCAGGTGATCTCCACCAGAGTGGTGTGTATTCAGGTATTATACGTGTGACGATTAGGGAGGATTTTTCGGACCCTGACCACCGAGAACTTTCTTTTGTCACGGCATCTTGTAGAGAAAAAAAAATACCAGACTGGTCCTATTGTACTATGGTGATGTCGTAATAACGCGCTGCGGGTAAATATGTGATTACGTGAAGATAACAATAATAATTATCGTCCCTACCGTTTGATGATATTGTTATTTGACATGGCATTATATTACGATAAAGAAATGTACAAAAAACCCATCAATTATTATGCAAATGTTTTGCCACACAGGTGGTTTTCGTATCCCAATACCTCCGATTTAATAATGTGACCAATCGCGTAATGAGAGATATTACATAATTTATATAGGGACTCATAGTATACAGCGAATGTACTGAGGGTTTTGTTTTTTATTCATTCTATAAAAATAAAGTAGCACATAATACGGGGGATTCAATCGTAAATCGTATAGTTTATTTTTTCTGAATTCGAGAGTAGTTGAAATTCCCTAATCGTAAATTTAGCACATACGAGGTTTTTCCCGCCAACGTCGACGCTATTATAATAATCGCACGGCACGTTTTATTATTTTCCCCGCGATGGATTATTTACAAGATAAGGAGAAACTACGAGACAACGAGAGAGGAATAGTTGGAATAGTTATTAAGGAGACAGGTGAGATATTATAAATGCAGTTCGTGGAATCCGGGGATAATAAGCCAAAGAAAAAGTGGTTATAGACATACGAGCAAGTTGAACAGGGTGGACTACGATCACGATCAAAATAATTTAGGCAAATTTGATAATGTCAGGTGGGGTAAGTAAATGATCGGAATAAGCGAGGATAGGGATTATAATCGAGACTAATGCCGGGTTTACACTAAGCCGACAAAACAGAAAATAAAGACACAACAACAAATTTTTTTTAATTTGGTGACAAATTAGGAACAGCAACAAAATGTACCTACCTTAAAATTCTATTTATACCATAAAAAAACCAAATGGAAACAGAGATAAAATACCCACGTAGGTGTGTTATGTTTATCTGTATAGTCGTGATGCGCAGCCTACACAGATCAAACAGAAACGAAACATCGTGTATTTGTCAGTTATTAATTTATTAGCAGTAATTGTCTCGCATTTAAATTTAACAATTTCCCTAATATTTGTACTTTCATAATCCCCAACGTTACTCGAATGCCAAATCATTTTACGTGCAATTACGTGTCGAAGTGTCATTCGCTATTTTCCGGCAGATTACGGCGGCAAAGGTTTTTATTAAAGTTGCGAAATACTGCGAACAATTATTATAATTACGATCGATAATAACGATAACGGATTCATCAATTTTATTTACAATAGTATAATTTGTCGCGGAAACAAAACGACATAAGCCCTTTGACGTTTACCGCCCAGAGCGGACACGGGAATTTCTCCAGAAACGCGTGCGCACGGTACACACGAGTTCGGATAGTGTCGCGGAATCGTTTCCGTTTCGTCTCCTCCCGTTTTGCGGGAAAACCCACTAGACGCGATTTATCCGGTCTGCGAACCTGTAAAATAACTCCATTGATCTGGCTGACAACAGGCAGGCCAGTCACTCGTAGAGACCGCAGTGCACCGTTGTCCGCGGGAGCCCGTAACAATACGACGCCTAAACGCTGCAGCGCGGCGTAGCTATCGGCGGGCTGTCGGTTGGCCGTAACGCGCGGCCCGGGGCGTGGACGCGCGGTAAACGTGGTCGGCCCGGCGGTTCGCGCGGGATAAAAATGCGCCCGCGGGTGAGGATCAACGTGGCGTTTTCCGCGCAGGCCGTCGCGGCCGCGGGGGACGACAGTCGCCGGCGGTCATTATTTTTCGATACCGTACGCGTCACACACGGCGGACAATCACGAATAACAATATTGTTGTTGAGTGCACGGCGCTGACACGCTGCGGCCGGGCGAACGTTGTCACGATACCTATCGGGAAGGTGCCCGGCCGTATAATATTGCGGCGACGGTACCCGAACCATGTTTCCTGTTAATTGTCCGTCCACAATATAATATTACATTTTAGCAATGAAAAACCGTGTACCCATGTATGCGTGCACGCGTGTGTGCGTACGGTCTGCCCGGAATCCGTTTTGTCCGCAGCCGCCGGCGGCGCGGAGGAGAGTTGAAAAAACAAAACGGGGAAAAAAAAAAAAACAAAACAAAACAAAAACTAAATACCATATATACCTATGTATAAATCGGCGAGCTATTTCGCGAACCTCGCGTTCGAGTGTACACGCATATTTTTATATATATATGATACCTGCATTACGAGTATGAGGCCGTTCGTTAGGTAGGTGTAATAGGTACAGTAGGTATCGCTCGAATTGAACCATTCGTTTTAGACATTTCAATGACACGCGCGCGCGCGCGCGCACACACACACACACACACACACACACACACACCTGCACACACACCGACGAAATACATTCGCGAACGGTCGCCGATATAATAACGATAATACGCGCGAACGCAAAACAACAATGTATCGTAATAGGATATTTATTATCTTGTAGTGGGTACCTACGTTGAAGTTTCCAACACGGCCCGCGGTCCCGTTTGGGTAAACGTTCGTTTTCGTTTTCGCGCGCAATATCTCGTAGGCGTATTACGTTACGGACGGGCGAACCGAGACGCTACTGTCATCGTCATCATCGCCATCGTCTTCACCATCATCGCATTATGTACCGGGTATGGTGTCAGGTATGGGTGCGACGGAACGTTACTTTTCGTTCCACCGACCGCGGCGGCTCCGCGTGTCTGTCTCGGACACACGCGGAGACTTTCTGCGCGACCCGAGAGTTTCGCGTTTTTCGTAGGTACCTACGGGATTTCCGCGACGACAGCGACGACGACTGTCGGTTTTCGTCGGCCGCCTCTCGACTCCGGCCCGGGTAAAAACAATATTTCGTGCCATCGAAGCCATTGCTCAATAAAGCTGGGGTCCGGCTCGCGGCTCGCGCAAGTTTGATATCATAATAATCGGTGTGATAACACGTGGAAATGCGAAATTTCGGCAACTTGGACGTGATCACGTCGCATAAAACGTCCTATGCGCAATCGTGCCGTACCGCCCGCCCCGGACGGAACGCGCCGCCGCTATTCGAGTCACACGCGTAGTAACCCGTCGAGCAGAGCGTCTAGAAGCAGTTTTTTTTCCCGTTGTTTATAGAACGCGACACGGGGATATCGTGCCGGCTGGCAGAGCGTGGCGTGAATGGGTATAACGTGCGAGGCGCTTTATCTCGTAATAAGAGATATGTTGACTAACGAAAAAGGTTATGTACAGGAATACCTCATAGCGGCCCGCGGTTACAGTGTTCCCGATTCGTCCGGGCTCGGGTCGTCCGGGGGGAGGGAGGGGTGGGGGNGGGGGGGGGGGGGGGGGGGGGGGGGGGGGTCGGCCAATTTGACCGAAACTGGTTTATAGAAAAACAAAAACTTCACGCCTGCTCCGCGTACAGAACATAATCGCGCGGCGAACGATAAAATATCCACTCCGTAATATCTACAACGATGATAATAATAATAATCGTGTAACAAGCTCGTCAAATAACGTAATTCAAGAATGCAATATCGTATAAAAGATGGTTTTAGCGTACCTCCTAAACGGATATTCTCGGCCGTCTGTCGGTCGGCCCCCCCCGTATCCGAGCGGATTGCTGCTGCTGGTGCCGCAGCGATCTCTCGTCCGCTGTCCGTTCGGTCTGTTGTTGCGGCGTTCAGTGTCGGCCGGGAAATCTCGCGGCCCGAAGGCGGCGGCGGCGGCACACTACGCGACCGTTGACGATTGCCGTCCGCGGAAACCGGATCACGAAACGACCGCACATCGGCACTGTATATTCACGCGTGTGATATGCAAAGACGCACGTACGCACACAAATAGAAAAAGAGAGATAAAAAAAACCACCGAAACGAGCGCGGGAATTCAAAACTCTTTTCTCCGCGACGAGAATCACTTCTCTCGCGGGGCGGCGCGCGCGTTGAAACGACCGCGCAAATCAGGGGGGGGGGAGAGAGGAAATAAACAGCGAAAAAAAACGAAATAAAAATACGAGAGAAAAAAAGAAACAATAACGATAACAACGATTAGGTGCGTATTTCCACAAACGATAACAACAAACAACAACAACGACGACGACGACACACGAACGGTATTATTTGTTGTTGTTATTACGCCGGCACCCGCGACACGACCGGAGCTGCTGGTTGTAGAGCGTAAACGCGCCGCCAATAGCAACACTCGGGAACGGACTGCTGGCCTAGCGGCGGTGGCGGCGGCGGCCACGATTTACGGTTTACGACACAAGACCGCGCACGCACGCACGCACACCTGTTGATCTTCTTGAATCGGTTGCATTCTTAACACACGGCCGCCGCCGCATTCCATCGCGGCGGCGGTTGCGGCGGCGGCGGCGGCGGCGGTAGTGGTCGCCGTTATCAGTCGCCCGTCCGCCCCTCCCGCCGCACCCCTCTCGCAACCGAACCCGCCGCCGCTCCCCACTCGCGCCGGTACCGTAACAAACTACACCGGCGCGACGCCTATTAGAGTTGTGTACGCGACTGTTCCGATTGGCGATCGCTGTTTCCGGCGCGTTTTTTGAAATTCAAGTTAAAATAACATTGTCGAATACGATACCGATTTAATTGTAAAATCGCTACGGCCACGCGCCCGTCGCGGGCTTTATGAGCCCCGATTTGACGTGCACAAAACCACGTCGGAGGGGGGGGGAGGCGATAGGTAATCGAATCCCGATGATCGGTTCCTAAATTGTTTCAAAATCAATTTCGATTTTCCTTCCGCTCGATTCAGACTTAGGCGTCCAGAGCCGTAGCAATAAAGCTTTCTTGGGGCCATAGGTAAATTTAAATCCATGCACTCGGCGTTCCCTCTCCCCAAAAAAAAATTTTTAGGTACCTTTTTAGAATTGTTAAAACTATTATTAATTAAATTTTTAGATAAGCGTATATTTATTAATTTTAAGATTTATTTGTACAGACATACTGAATATAAAAAAAAAAAACGTATTAATATTAAATGAAAGAGGACTGTGCGATAAAACATAGGTAGGGAAAAAGTTTTTCAGCATCACAGTATTGTACTTTTATCGATTTGATTGTCGAAAATTCATCAATCACATCCTCAAATAAGAGATAAAGATAGGGCCTCTCCTGTTCCAAATATTTGATCTCAAATAATCATTTATGAGTTTGAGTTTGCTAAAGGTACGCTACTAAGATTACATTTCACCTATTTCGAGAACTAATTCGGATATGCGCCGAGTATAATATCGGAAACCGATTCGGAAATCAACGTTTAAGTAAGGAAACGGCGCGAAAAAAAAAACGCTAGCAATTTGTTCTACAATGTCGGATTCGAACCCAGCCGCACAATAAAATGCATAAACTATATTTTAATGTTATAATTGTATAATATTGTTTCCGCTTGATCACAGTAACGTTCTCTGTTTACTATACTCCGTGTTTTTACGTACCGCATAAATTTGTCTATTCCCGGCAATATTGTCCGAATGTCACCGAGGTTGTTATTAAAAAACGAAAAAAATAAATACACAAATGCTGCAGAAACCCCGTGCTAACCCACGCTAAGACACCGTCGTCGCAACCATAACGGAACACGATAATATATGTACCTGGTATCCAAATTCGAAAACCAAAAAGTCCAATCGGACCGACGGGTATTTGCGATCGCGTTCACAACTCTAATAGGCGTAGACAACGCGTAAGCCGGTGTAGCCGGACGGTGCACCGGCGAACGGCGACCCTCGCGCAGCACGGAACATACAAAACCGGGCGGCGAGCCTCGGGATTGGGTTTCTCGATCGCGTCGCCGTCGCCGCCGCCGCCGCCGCGCGACCGGTTTGCGGCCCGTCGTCGCGATCGCGAAGACCCGCCGTGCCCCGGTGCAGTTTAGCTATAATAATATCAGCGGCTAAAATATTATAATACCAGTTAGCAGCAGCAGCAGCGGTAGTAATAGTAGTAGGTAGTTGTACTGTAATACGACTACAGTGTAGTACGTCGTCCGCAACAATAATAATAATAATACCATACGAACTAATACCCTCGACGACGAAAAATCACGGGTACCATAATGTGTATATTACGATAGTAATATTGTTACGCAGCGGCGTACCCAAGATTTTTCAACGGCACGGGCTAGAAACGTTTAACGAAATTTGTACCACCGCGAGTTTGTAAAACGCGAGTAAAACACAGACAGGGTACATTTTTTCTTCTGGAAAAAAAACTTTTTTCTCGAGGTTATTGTTTAAAATACATAAATGTGTACAATCGTCGATTATTTCGTACTTCGTCAAGTCGTGTGCAACGCGCAATGTTTATTATTTTAATATAGAAACGAGTTTTTTGGCAATTTTTTCGCATCGCGATGATTATAATATTATTTCGTTAGAAATCATAATACGTTTTCACTGCTGAACAATTGATATTTTTGTTATTTTAACACGGCCAATGGTAGGGTAGGGAGCTGAAGCCTTCTTAGCCGACGGTCCGAGTACCCCACTGCTATACGTATGGCGACTAGATATAAAAATTCAATAAAAATACATTTTAAAATTTAGGTCCTCCATTGTAAAAAAAAACCCCTCCCTTGAAAGAATTGGCCAATGTGTATTGTGAATACTATTCTACCCATTTTGCCCATAGCTTATCTCCATCTATATACTTTTCTTTTTTATCTGATTATTCTTTTATTATTTTTTCTACAATCAATTATAAAAACTAATTATTTGAAATCATATTGCCAACTTTTTGGTTTGTGTCTTTATGATGAAAATACTTTGAAATTTAAATAATTTTAAATCAACTTAAAGTACACAGGTATAACTTAAGTATACATATTAAAATTAATTTTTAAAGTTAAACATTTAAATGAATAAATACAAAACGTTATTAACATATATTTCTTACATATTTATATTTATTTATAATTTATATTTTTTGAAAAAAGAGTACAATTGCATGTATTTACCACTATTGTTAAGGACATAGGACTATGCATCAAGAAAGTACTGTCTTCCGATAAAGAGTACATCTGGTCACCATAGCTATACGGCGCATACATAAAAAAAACATTAGATTTTATACACGCACAATAATATTGACTTTTACCGGCGTAATATTCGGCCGACGACGACGAAGAAATTTCGATTTTTTTTTTTTCAACACGTAATATTAATATTATGTACACTTAAGTACAGACGCACGATTTCTTTATACGCGGCGATTTCTTTCTCGTCGCATCGCTCCGGGCGCAGTTCTTTTAGGCCGCTACGTCCGTAGAAATTGTCGTTTTCGTCTTTCTATCGCGTACAATGCAATATTACTATCATTATTATTATCATACAACGTGTACCTACGTGTCCGATTATCGTGTTTCTAAAATTTCGATGCGACCGCAGCGTCGGCGCTATTATCTACACACTATATTTTATATTTGAAAAAGGAAGGTCATCGTTTCCGTCGAACATTTTAATTTCGTTTACGCCAAAATGAAAAAAGTTCAATTTTCGTTTCCGTCTAATTTTTTCTACCTGTATCTAAATTACCTATTTAGTTTGAGAATCCATTTGCCCAGTTACCCAGGGGCCACCGCGATAAGGCTGTTCTCGTTGACTCTCAGAAATTTTTATTTTTTAAATTTTTTATTAAAGTCAACGTAATTATCAAATTTATTTACGTTACAAATTTAATTGGGAATTTCTAACGATTCTAAAAATCACATCGGAAAATCGATATACTTTTACAAATTATTTGAATTATTGTTGCACACTTTTTTTTTTAAAAAAATAATTGTGTTCTAGAAGTAGTTTTCTTTGTATGTTCATCGAGTGCGTTTAAAGTATTAACAAGCTTTTTTTTTATTTTTATATTACATAGGCAGGTAATAAAGATAACTATTACGTGGTATAGTTTATGTACTTCAAAATCAGATGGTTTATCCTAAACCCCGACATCCACCGATAGCACTGGTTGTAAATTTATCTTTAAAATTACTAGGGGTTCTCAAACAATAATATAGGTAATGAGGCAAAAAGAGATTTAAAGGAAACGATAAAATATTTTTGATTTTAGTGGAAACGATGGACGCCCATTTGAAATGCACACGATTACGAGACATGTGATGTACGCTACGTGTATAAATACCAAGATTGCCACAGGCCATTGGCTAGGAGTGAGTCGTTATTGGTTTAAAACAAATAAGTAAATAATATAATAGCAAATATATATATAATAGCAAATAATAATTGAATAAGTAAACACAGTTTTAGTCTCTAAGTGTAACGAAGTTTTTAGTTTAATAAATATTTTTTTCCCCCGAAAAACACTTATGCGGTTTTAAAAAACACTCAAAATTATTCATTATCTTAGCTACACCATAAAAGATACAGAATTTTAGTTGAAAAACATCAGTTATTTTAAAAAAATTAAAAAAACTGACAACAAATGACAATATATCGGTTTTATTTTTGTTGATTTTTGAGTTGCCTGTATGGCTATACAAGGAGAAAACAACTAATATTTTACGACTATAGCTGGTACCTTACCAGTGTACTGAGCTCCGCTTAGGCTCGTTTTATGATTGCAATGTTTTTTATATACTTTCAATAAATGTTGCTATAAACTAAATTACTAAAGCTGGATGAGTTGACTTTTTTTTTAACTTGTTAAATCAAGTTATACTTAAATATATGGTAAATTAATACATTTGAGTTACTATAACAATAGCGAAGTTACAAATTTTAAGGAAAAAACAGCTGATACTGGGGACGGAATCAGCCACTTTTGTAGGTGGGAAGTTAGCAAGGTAGGATAGATTAAGTTATTTAATTTATATCTGTATGCAAATATAAAACATCGCTAACGAAAAATGACTCGGAGCGAAGTTAAGACATGTTTCGAAATTCCGTAATTTTTATAATTTTCGTCAAAATTTAATCTTAAAACATTTATGAAAAAAAAAATGATAAATAAATAACTAATAAATCAATTTTTTTTTTAGACCACTAATTACAACATATAATACACCTTGTGTTCAATTTTCAAGCATTTCTTTGAAGTCATGTTATTTAATACTACCATGTAAAAATACATATAAAAAAACGAAAATATCAAATTCGTATACATAGCCCGATTTAAGTACACGAAAGAAAAAAAATGAAAAGTATAACATTTAAGACAAATTGTAAATTAATATGATTTAAAT